TGAGTTCTGCACAGCTGCACGACGGTGGGATATGGGTGGTTGATAATGACTGCCACCACCCCGATGAGGAACGAGGCGAAATGATGTTAACGCTACGTCTACGTACCCTTGTCGAGGCGTGTTGCGTGGAGCATCCACCATCGATGGTGGCTCCTGGGACCCCCGGTCGTCTTCGACATTACTAGTACAGGGATGAGCAGCTTGCCATGTCTTAGCCATGGGTCCACTAATGCACCATCTATTCTTGAGTTCGACGTGAGCGGCGGGCCAGTGGGTTAGAGTTGGGAGTGGCCTGAGGCCTGTGTGTCGGCTTGGTGCTAAGATTGAGGGAGAGGGCGTGTGGGAAGGGTGTGGTCGGAAGACGAGGGGGTAGGCGAGTGACCAGCAGAGTTTCTCTGTTGGAGCAGCCAGAGCAGCCACTAGGACGACACTAGCACCGCTGATTGGCGACTCTGCGCAATATACGAGCAGGTATTGTCTGACGCACCAGGTAAAGTGGCCCCGTCCCAAGGGGGTGAAGTGTGGGTAGGCGTGTGTGTGTGTGGTCTGTTGTGATGACTCTCATCCATCACCCCAGCCGTGCTCCATCGACCCCTGCCACGGTTACTAGCTGAGGTGTGTCAGACGAAACGGATGGCCGATGGGTGTCGAAGAAACGGGGCGTGCGTGAGTCGGCGCCTCCTAGCCCACGCATGGGACGACCCTGACGAAGGGAACACAATCTGTCTCTTGCTCTTTGCCCTTTCACTTCACTTTACTTCTCGTGAATTGGGGCCCTGTGCTCATGCTGGTCTCTACTATGTGGAACTGGCCGGTCGCCCTTCCCTAGGACCTTCGTTGGGTGAGCATCGTCATATGGCGAGGCGGCACGTAGCACCGTGACTTGTGATGTGCAGTTTTCTTTTCTTCTCTCTTCAACTTGCCCCGGCTTCGATTGCCGCAGGGCGAACGTGCCCGTTTTTTTCTTGTTTTTTCTTGTAATTTTTTTTTTGGTCAGGTTGCCCAGGGCTAAAGGCATTAAGCTGACCAAAACAACCTTGAGAATGTTTTGAAGGAGGCATGGAAGTGCAGTCGAACCATAATGGAATGAGACACATAATCCTTCACCGCGACCTGGGAGGCTGCCGAACGATGTGATGTGTGCTATGGCTTATTATGACCCCCGTACTTGGAACCAAAGCTATCATCAATGCCGCGTGGTTGGTAGTCATAGGTGCTGCTGATACCAGGTAGCAAAGCACTCTGCGACTACCGCCAAACAGCACTGTGAACGAATAAGTTGGGATGCCTAGAAGCAGCAAAGGCTGATTGGCTCACTGTCTTGGTCTCGTAGCTGAAGTACCAGCCTGTGAGGTGCTTGGCATGCCGTTTGCATGAAGTCCGGGAGTAGGTGAGTGTGGGCTTCGGTGGCCGGCTGCCTTTCTGTTGCAGAAGCTGCCTCGCAGGCTGGCGACGGATCAATGCCACACGAGTTTTGCTTGGCTCACTGGCTGCCCATCGCTTCCCGATCAGGCCTCATGGCGGCACTGATTGGCCTTGGGCTTGCAAGCGAGCATCCTCCAGGGCTGCTGGTCGCAGGCGTGGGCCTTGTGGCTGCACCGCTCCTCCCATCTGCAGTTTGCGCAGGTTATTTCTTCGCAATGATTGGCTGACAAGGCTTGCTACAACCAATCAGCCTTCGTTATATCCGGCTTGAGCGGATGCTTGCGTCGAGTGGCTAGAGGACAGAGACGTGGTGATGACTGTTAGCGTCCACAGACCAATGAAAGGTGTTCCCGGACCGGCAAAGTATTGGTAATTGGTGCCGAGCTAGATACTCTCAAGGTCGAGTCGATGTGAATGGCTAGGCAAGCCGCACGATTGTCTAGGTGAGAGTGATGGTAAAATGTGTTCACATCGATACCACACTCTTGGTAGCGCTAGTACTCGGGGAACCATGGTTGTGTAAGTGTACTGTGCAGGTTGGGCGACGCCAGTCAACAAGCTTGGGCTGTGTTGTCCATGTTTGCTGGCGACAGGTCCGAATATGGGCAAAGGACCCATGCAAGACGGCGGTCTAGCAATAGTTTTTTTTTCCCTTCTTCTTTTTTGGCCCGCCGTGGGCCGCTGTGGCCGGTCAAGCTGGGCCCGTCTCATCAAAACTTCAGTACTACGATACGAGCGCGGCAAACGATGAGCAACTGCAGTCTCTTGCAACGGTACAGGTGACAGGTGACAGGCGGTAGGCCAGCTGGGCCGTAGACGGGGCAGCTCCAGCAGCAAGCGGAGGAACATGCTTGTATTCGGTGAGTGTGGAGTCACAAGGCGGGCGAAAGAAACAAGATTCGGATTGCCTTTGGAAGGGACTTTTCTTCGATCCCCAGCGGCAGCGGCCAATGTGGTCATGGGTCGCACATGGGCCTGAGATTAGGAACGACCGTTTGAATGGACGGGCCAGGATTACGTTCCATGAACAGAAAAGTGGATTAGCATCATGGGTACTATGTATGCGGGCAGCTGAATGGAGGACGATGTCTCTTCTTGGTGCAAGAAACTCCAGGAGGGGGGCGCCGCAACGCTGCGTTGGATGTGCGTGGTGCATGCGTCTATCAGAAAGACTGCACGTCTGTGTGGCTCGGAGCGGTAAACGGGCGGAACGGGGAGAGTCTGTCCGAGATCTGATTCGCCAACAGGGCGAGAGTACCGATGCAGAGTTGCCTGAGGCCATAGGCGTGTGTCATTCCAGTGCAGCTATGCGGGCAATGAGCAGGTCGACATCAAGGGAAGTGGTCCAACTGGATGAGAAGATGGTGTCTAGTCCGTAAGGTGTTCAGCTTTTGGTATCGTTCTAGTCCGTCCATGTGTGAGCAAATATGCCGGACTGTCAGTTGCGCTGAGCCAGTGAGAGACCTGACAAGCTCCAGGAGAGAGACTGAGGACAGCCTCGTAACGACTAACGAGGTACTGGAGCAGGGGTCCCCGGGCGCAAGTTCCCGACGAGTGAGGCTGTCGACAATGGAGCTATGATGGACCATGATGTGAAGGCCCATATAATGGTCTGCAGAGGCTGATCTCGCCGGTCCAATAGGCAATTTCAGACATCCCGTTGCAGCATAGCGCCCGTGGCTCACGATGCAGTGCAGCACCCAGTTGCATGTTCTCGACTTGCCGCCCAGTGGCCACTTGCCAGGAGGTACCTATACGTAGGTAGAGAGCAGAGGCAGGGCGTAGAGAGATGCCCACAACCATCTCTTGGGTCCCTGAAGCCCTTGCTATGGTCTTGGTGGCCGTAGGATTGTCGCTCAGCAAATTGGTAGACCCTTCTTCGAGTCTGATAGTGTGGCGCGCCACGGGGCCACTCCCCTGGTCAGACCAAAAAAGACGAGTTCATGAGCGGATCAGTGAAAGTAACAATCTCGGCCTGTGGTGAGAAGGGCTTCGACGGTATTCTTCGGCGTACGATGGATATGGTGATGTGCCATGGCATCCAGTCTAGGCCCGGTCTATGGTCCACAGCAGGCTGCCTGTGGCCAGGCACTGTGATGCCAAAATCGGCATCAGGTGTAGTCTGTGCTGCAGCAATGCGGTGATGCAAAGGCAAGGTAGGACTGTCTGTTCACCTGGCCGTGATAGTTGGGAATCTGCCGCAAGGTTGCGTTGCATGTTTGATGGTGCGCTGCGTTGCTCGCAGAGCATCCGCACTGGTTGGGAACGAAAGGGTAGCAGTGCACTTCCGATCAAACCGCCGGCGAGGTTGGCGCTTGCGGTGTCAAAACGCGAGACACAGTCATGGGCTGCAGCTGCGAGAGTGCGGCGGATCATGTACAGAATAGAGTGTTGGACGAAGCTGAGCAAGGTAATGACTATGAATGTCTTTGCGATGGGTGCAACGGGCGTCAAGCAGTGGTGCAGGGACGAAGGAAAAGGGACGTGGTGGGTCGACGACGACAAGGACGACGACGACGAGGGAGGAGGTTGACAGACGGAGTCCCGTGCTCGGCTGGCTTCCTTCCTTCCTTCCTTCCTTCCCGCCTCCATCATAGAAAGACACAGACAGACAGAGCAGCCTCAGAAGCCAATCACGGGTCGAGGCGCCACACCTAGAAGCTCAACAGAAGGCAGGGCAAGAACCAGCCAAGGAGCGTGTTAGGGAGAGCAAAGTGGCAGGAAGCAGAACCCCGACCTGAAAACAGAAAGCACCTTAGGTAGGTCAACAATAGAGCAGGCCGAAGCGCCTGAAAAAGCAAGAGGCAGGTCGCACTCGTGGCTTGCTGCACCTGCCAGCCACCTGTCCTCCTTCCGCTTTTGCCCCTCCAGTCTGCTTGTCTGCCCGCTCTTCTCTGCTCTTCTCTGCTCTGCTCTGCTCTGCTCCTGCCATTCTGCAGTTTCTAACCGCTCTCCCAGCTCTGCCGTGTGGCTGCCTGAGATATGCGCTTTCATCCTCCGTGAATGCCTCAGGCCAACCACCGCGGCCAAGAAAAGAAACAAGCGGTCTGCAGGAACTGCGTCGACTCTGGGCCACACTTACCTCGTTCGGCCTAGTGCATCTGTCAGATCTCATCGTCCAACTCCTCAGCCGTCCCTCCCTTCACATCTCAAAATTGTTCGGGTCACCAGCGCGGCGTTTTGGTCAACCGTCGTTCTCGAGTCTCGATACTCCACCGTCCCCGTCTCGGTCCTTTGCTCCTTGTCCTGGCCCCTGTTCATACCGGACCTGACTTCTTGTGGTGAATCTCACCCTGGAATCGTCCCGAACTCTGCGACACTATGCTTCGGATACTCCACGCACTTTGTCCTCTGGATTACACGTATGACTGTCTGCGCAACATTATGCTTGAGCGCTTGAGCAATATCACTGCGTGCTAATGGCAGCGCTCCCTCCTGCACAACCTACAATCCTTGTTCACCTCTCGACTCTCCAGCTTAGTCCCAAGCGCCCGCTGCGTCCGCCACCGTAATGGAGAGACGGGGTGGGCACTCATCGTTGTCAGCGCCATCAGACGATACGCACAAGCAGGCCAATGCCCATCGAGGTTCCCATTGCCGAAATACAGAGGTACGTACGAAGGGAAGGGGTGGGTGGCTGACGCAGAGCAGCCACGACCAACCAAGCGCTGCCATAGACACGCGATATCCAAGACCCAAGGTTGCCACCACCAGACTTCGCAGCCGGCAGATGGTTGACTGCCGTGCCGGTACGCGTACGGGTCCGGGCACGTTGCCAGCGCATTCCATTATCGCCCGTCGTCAACCCGGGCCCAACCATCTGAGTTCCGAACTGATCGACCTCGTTGACATGTTCCAGCCGCTCGAGACCGGCCCCAGCCTCAGAGAGCCCAGGGAGCAGCCGTGGAACCCGGCAGATTGGCGACACGAGCCTCAGCTTTCCGTCCGTCTGTGACTACGTGCCGGGCAAAGCACCCAAGCAGCTCAACCCACAGGGAGCCCCCAAGCGAGACTCGATTGTGAAACGCCATCCACCATACAGGGCCACTCCCTCGCTCTGCTGCTGATCCCTCAATCTAGATGATGCACGATGCCGCCCCGTGTTCAGGTTCAAGGCTGCACCAGATACCCGCCCTCCGCATTACCTAGAGTTGCTTGCTCAGCCGTGGAGCTGGCAGAGCATCTCAGGATGGCCCAAGACGGAGCATCCGGTTTGTCTAAGCAAGCCAAGGAGCGAAAACGATTTCATCGACGACGATCGTGGACGAAACCCCCATTTCCTGATCAACAGCATCCTGTTGTGTACATTCGCCTTGTTGTTGCTTTGCTTTCTTTTTTTTTCTTTCTCGGTCTCGTCTAGCGGGGTTACACCGCAGACGCCCACCTACTGAGTAGGTCTCCCTGCGTCCCCCGCAACGAAGAGCTAACAGTTTATGGCTTCATGTCGGACGATAACTGTGTCGTCCTGTGTTGACTTGCTTGAGTCGGCCAGAAATGATGGAAGACTGAAACCTACACCACCGGAGCATGGGTAATCGACAAGCCCATCAGTCCAGAATTGCCAAATTAGCCAATACGACACGGCGTGGTTGTCAATCCAGGCATGCGTTCGATTTCCTCTAGATTAGCGTCCTCGCCCCGCTGTTGCTTCGGGTTTAGACTTCTCGCTGAAGCCACGCTGTCGTCCGTGCTCTGAGACCTGTCAGCTTGGAGGTGTTGCACCTCTCGGCGCCTGATTCGTCGAAGCGTTGAAGTGGAGGTTCCTGTACGCAGTGCTACGGGCTTCTCGGAGACTTCAACATCCGCAACCGTTGCCGATTGGCTCGTTTTGGGGACCGCGATCTTGCTGTTGATGATAACATCGCATGGCAACTTCACAGGAGACGCATGGCGCTATTATGTTGCTCCTTTCTCGACAATAGCGCTCAGCCGCCAAACACCACCGGTATCCCATCCTCCCCAGGCCTATTCCTCCGGTGTGATACATCATGGGGATGCATGCTTTCGGGGAATGCGCCTGGTTTAGAATTAAGTTGAGGCATTTGGGTTGGGAGGGCGATTGGTGTCAAGAGGCCTCATGTCAAATTACGGGCATCGGATTAAGTTCATCAAGACACATGAAGCAGCAAAGACGACACCTAGTGCAAGACGTACTTGTCTCCGAGAGACAGCTTCTGTTTCCACGGCCGGCATGCCAGACCAGCTGCGCATTCCAAGTGGCAGTGCATGGTGCGTCTATCAAGCAACTGGCACCCAAGTTGCCAAGCTAGGCGCAACTGAGCCAACATTCCACGAAGACATAACCCAGCAGATGGTGACATGCTTGCCGCAGAGGCGGAGAGAAACACTGATATATGCACCGTCGACTACATGGTGAGATTACGAGAGCTCGTAGGTTACGCTGGTCTCAATCAGTTCACCCATCGCCATCGTGTGTGAATGGTCACCAAAACCCCAGTCTAGCATGGCTCACGGACCTGAGACGCGGTGCATCACAGACGTGCTCTGCTGCCCTGTTAAGTGTCATTTCCTGATGGCCCCGTAGTCAGGGCTTCGGAGCGGAGCGAAGGGTTCCCCACGGTTTTACTTCGAGGCGGCCAGCGTTCCTACACAAAACTCCAAGCTTTCGCATAAAGCAAGTCGACAACATATTCCAGCATCGCGGGCGCGGCGCGCTTCGTGAAGGCAGGGTTGGGCATCATCAAACGGGTCCCTCCAAAAGTCCGAGCCAGATCTAGCCTTCTTTCTGCCGTAAGCTTGGACTCCTACGTGGTTCGACGTTGCCCGCAACGTACCTCAAACATGCGGAGCCAGGCCAACCTGTCACTCGTGGAGCCGATCTATTCATGCGATGTCCGGAGTTGCCTCCAACTGGTAAGCAAACCCGTCGGTGTGGGTTCCAATCAGCGCGCCCGCTCCTGCTTCCTATTTCTTGTTTGATGGTGCCCTTGCCGCCGCGCATTGGCATCCCACACACTTGAAGTCCTTGACAAGGCCCTGGAGCGTTTGATCAATATCAACCGGCGCTTTTTCCTGCTATAGATGCGACTTGCAGCGCTACCCTGCGAAATGAGCCGATCATATACACTCCTTCGGCTAGGGAACTTTGGTCAGGCAAAGGACCTAGCGCTCATCAAATCATCCTGCAACTCGAACATGGTTACAGACAAGACTTAGTCGATGCGGGCCGTTTAAACTATCTCGCAACACGTCGCCTCGTGTTGATGACGCTTTTCCAGAGACACATGAATGCAAGCCAACGGCACGCTAATGGCGGCCGTAAGGCGACATGCTCGAACCCTCGACAGGGGGCCAGCCGAAATCAACTCAACGGACCGTCACCGGTGAGATGGAACCTTCTTGGAAGCAATATTACAACCTCGAACGACGCCCGCCCCATCCTGAACCACATGGCAATCTTGTTCTCCAGGACCCAAGCACGGAGAGGGAACACAAGGGGAAGGGAGACCGTTGCTTGCCGTGTGACGAAATTGTATTTGGTTACTTTCTTTTTTCTTCGGTTTTTTTTCCCCTTCCCCTAAGAGTTGACCGAGAGGCGAACCAGTCACCCCGTGACCCCTCACTGCAAGACTCGGTCTCCCTCGAATTGAGTCTACAACGATTCGGCGCCTGCGTGGCCTGGGAGTTTGCTTTTGCAGTGCCAGGAAGATCGCAATTTGTGCTCGGTCTGGTGCGCCGCGCTCATCAACAAGCCTCCCCTGTAAGCTGACGGGAAGAAGCAAATACCTAGACGGGACCAAGGTCATGAATGACCGAATGCGCTCACTCATCAGGGGTCCACACCGAAGCAACCCGTCAACTTTGGCCTCGCAAGCCTCGGTCGTTCGGCGGTCTCTCAATTTGCATTATCTCAAACTCGCCTCCTCACTGACCACATTGACCAGTGAGCCTCGGAAAGTCAAACTGGTCAGGTCAGGTGAACGCGGTTGGCTCTACCAATGGTGTCTCGGTTCATTTCCCTGCGCTAGCGAACGGGCCAAAAGACATCAACTCGGCACACACGACGCACTTGAGTTCACGGACTAGGTAGACACATTTACAAGATGGCCTTCACAGCAGAGAACCGTACTGTGCCCACCCCTGCGGACCATGCCATGGTCGATCCGTGCTTGTCGGGCCTCGATGCCAGGCGCCAATGCCACGGTCTTCACGTTCCCAACGCCGCCTCGTGAAAGGGCAATCGACATAAGGGGCCGAAGGGTCCAAGTTGAGATCCGTGACGACGAGGCGCTGCCACGGAAGTGCAGTGCAAGGGCCGTGCGTGGCGACGGTCTAGAACTCTCAAAAGACTGAGGCTGTCGCGGCTGACAAATGGCGCCATGATCAGAGACATAATGTCGGGTCTCTGGCGAACCTGGACAGCATAGGTAATTGGCAGAATTGCCACAGCGAACACGGGCAAACAAACTAGAGCTAGGCCGACGCAACTCGTTACGAGTTCACTGTGTCTGATACTCAGAGACTAGTTGGGAGTGACTCAAGTGCCCATCACGGACCTTCTGGTCCCAAGTCGCCGAACGAGCCGATCAGCGGCGTGCGGCTCCCGGCACTCTGATCAGCAACGAGGCGTGGACGAGTGACGTTCATCGCGATGTTTAGAAGTCATGCACAAGTCGTTCTAGTGTGAGTGGGTTAAACGCAGGTTGCACTTTATTGGGGACAACATCCTACACCTGGCGAGTCCATAATCACAACTAGTGTACACCGCACACGCTGGTTAACTCGGACACCGCTGGACTGGATCAAGGATGGATGCAAGCCAACGGTCAAGTTGCCACTTCCATTTTGCGGATCAGTGTTCTGTACAGTATGCTTTGCATGGAAGCCCGGACTTTTCTCTGCAGCCTGGGTGGTTCGCGAAGTCGATGCCAGATAGAGGGGGGCCCGCCGGGAAATCCCATCATGGCGAAAAGGTTCTTCTTTTCTTCTTTTTCCTTCCCTCCCTTCCTCGAACGAGCGCCGGGCAGCAGCAAAACAGAGTGTTCCAAACGAAACACTTGTCAATTGCAAACCCAAAATGATTGCCGACCCAGACTTGTCGGATTCTGTGCCCCACAAGTCGAACCCATGCCATGAGAACGTAGGGAATAGGGGGGGAGACGACTCTGGAGAGCATTACGGCGAGTTCACGATTCGAACATTGTAAACACGGCCACGCCAAACTCCACACCGCCCTCGTATACGTGAGGCACTGCCACAGAAGGGCTAAGATGGAATGCGCCCTCAGGACTGTTTGAGATGGCGTTGAAGTGGAGAGGCGGGAGGGACGGGAGAGGATTGCCGATGACGATATCAGCGACGCATGGTCAACGATCGCCCATCACCAACCCATCAACATGGAGTAAATGTCGCATCAGCAAGTTCGCAGATTGGTTTGAAGATCCGATTGCCTGCGCACCCAGCGGTCCTTGGCGGGTGGGATCCGGTCCCTCCCATAGTCTAAAAGACCAGACCGTCCTGGTTCGTGAGGACACCCCCAACGGTTCCCCCGTAGCGGGTGCGAAATAAACTCCGCGAGTACAAAGAGGGAAGGAGCAAAACTGCGAGACATTTCAAAGGTGGAGATCTTCCCCGTTGCCTTGAATCCGTGATCTCATACAGAGTACCCTGTGCATCACCGATCCGCCCAAACGTCGAAAGCCAACCCCGAGAAAGGGGGGTGAAGGTGAAGGGCTTCTCCGGTTGCTGGCTTCCGCGATCTGCCTGTACTTTTGGAGACAGGATGTGCTAGCATGTAGTGCCAGCGTCTCGTCGGCCAGTGCCTTCAGACGACCGTCAATTCATCATTGGATCCCGCCCTGCAGATCACTACATCTCGTCATGCTCCCATCTCAAAAAGTGCGTATGCGCGCTCTTTCTCCCGGGGGCCCAGCATCCAAGGACCACGGGCGGTTCAGCGATGCTCGAACCGCCGTTGGACAGATCTCCTACCGACAGCACCATCGAGCAATCCCTATGGCTAGAAACCCCAGGGACAGGCGGCGCGCGCCTGGACCGCTCAATGACCTCACTACTTGCGTCAAGCGTGGTTCCGTCGCGCCGTCACGCTGTCAATCTTCACTGCCCCTGAGACAGACCGGTGACGAAGGCATTGATGCTATCAAAGGCAGCCGATGCTCAGGGTCCAGAAGCCACCAGTCCAAGCGAGCGTTCCAACGGGCGCCAACCCAATGGGGGGAGAGGCTAACGTAACGGGTCTTGACCCCATCGCGCGCCCTGAGGATTTCCTGTGCGATCGACTCTCTCTCGAGTCTTTCAATGCGCACAAAGAATGTAACACCTCGGGCGACTGACTGATCTGCGCATTCTTTTCTTGGAAACCCCGGGCAATACACCTGGGGCATAAGGAGACTTTGGCACCCGTTTGGGGTCGATTTATAGCCCATTTCCAGGGTTGCATCGAATGTCTCTTGGACATCCTTGGGGCCAGCCGGTTGCATTCCGGCGTTGCGAGTCGTTATTGACGGCCAAGGCAGGGCTCAGGGGGCGATGGGTCATGGAAACGATGCGTGCCTTGGTGCCCTATCGACCAACCAAGGCGACGATCGCAGGAAACCTTTCCTTGGCTGCTTGGTCCAAACTCCTTGGTCAATTCGCAGGCGACGACCGCACGCCCTGCTCTACGATCGTCGGCCGCTCACTGTCCAGTAGAGACTGACAGCAGGGCTGTTCCCCCCCCAAAAGTCCCCCCCGTCCCCGGTCTCTCTCTCCGCCCTCCCCGCCTCATTGATCGAGGACCCCGCCATCTCCGTTCGGCACTACCGGCCACGGCCGACGCCGCTGCACAACCACCTACACCAGCGTAGATCTCGGCAGCCTGCATTGCAACTTCCAGCGTGTTGCCGCCCCGGGAGCCGTGAGACGACGGCATCGTGATACCTGGCCCTTTCTCTACAGCCCACCCTCGTCCGACCACCCACGCAAGGCATTAATAGTACACTTTGTCCGGGAGCTTGCATTCTACTCCAACCTGCGACTCATGCCGACGGGCGCTGCCGTGTGCGACTCTAGATTGTATCCTTCCTGCCCTTCCTCCTCATCTCCAGTAGAAGTAACGTACCAGGTTGTCGCATTGCACGTTGTGTGGCTTTTGCGCCATTCTCAGCCCTCAAACTTGGGGGCAAGCAGCCGGGATTGTAGAGATGATCCAAAATCACCACCGTGGCTAGATGCCCACAACGGCCGGCCGGCCCACAAGCGCATCGTCCACATGCCCGTCATCAGTTGCCGTTGTGCAACCGATGAATGCGTACACGTAGCTTCAACCCTGAATCTCACCGCCGCTCGATTAAAGCTCACCTGAACATCCGCTAATTAGAGCATTGCGCGTCAGCCTCTGTCGTAGGCAAGGAGGGGAAAACAGCATGTGTTATTCCTTTGTACAGTCAAATGTGCTCCCGTAGGAGCCGGGGACAGCCAACTGGGATGACATGCAACTGTTCCTTCGCTCTCTTGTGGCCGCGCGTTCAGCAGGATGGCTACCTAGAAAAATGCCGGGATACGGCAGCAAACAGCGTCAAGTGTAAAGGCAGGCGACTAGACTTGGCATCAAAGCAGCGACTAGTCTGACGTCTAGGCCCCCCCTCCAAGTGGCCAAGGCTGTGTTTTCCTTTCACGCGCCTCGCGTTCGCACTCGCCTTGTCTGCTTCCGACTGTGGCGTCGCCCTTGTTTGCCCATTGTTCGTCGTCAGCCTCGTGCCCTGTCCAATGCGCAAACACTGCCCCGGCCGTATTCCAGGCTAGGACTGTGATGTTTTGCTTTTGCAGAGGCAAACGAATAAGGCCACCTGATGCTTGGTTGTTGCTTGCCTGCTATGGATCACATGTGGGTGTATAACTATCAAAAGTCGGCAAGTGTAGATTGGACAAGTTAGCTGTTCTAGCTCAATATCCGGTGAAAGGTATTCAGGCAGCAGAGACGAGAGGGAACGTGCCGTGTCTGCTCTAAGTGTTTTGCTGCATTTTACCACCTAGCCCTCTCCAGTGGCTCATCCGAACTTGCTCTGATATGCGAGATCAGAGCATACGCCCTCCTGGTCAGCTACTTGGGGGTCTGTAGCAACTTCGGGACGAGGCTTTGCTACCGGCTGTGACGTCCACGACGCCTACGCAAATGTCATTCCCGGTTCCATTTTCGGGTATCAACTTGGGAAGAGTCCTGTACGAGTCTGCCTAGCTCGTACATAAGAACTGGACGTGATTATGATTACCAGACAACTGGACGGGAACTGATGTCGTTTCTTATCATGTCCTTTTTCAATCCAAAGTGAAGCCCTGTGGACGCGTCGCCCAGGCCAGGAGGATGTTTATATATTGTGTCCCAGGAACTACACTACACAGTTTGCCGTGGACAGGATAGAGTTCCCGTGCTTGATGAATTGGAAGGGTATACCGCCATGTCCAAAAGAAATCGCATATCTAGTATTCCAGAGAGGAAGATGAGCAAGCGTGCTCGCGATGGAACTTGCATGTCTTCAAGGCTGAACATACCATATCCCAGGGGACGAAACCCTTTGTTTCAACAAGCGCATCATCAGGCCTTGGGTCCGGGTTTGGCTGCAAAGCCAAGTGACCACACGGATGATCGTGGGCTTCATCCAAAGGCGGAGGACGTGCCCTCCAAGGCCCAGCATGGCAAAAGAGTCATTCGCGGGCCGAGATCGAACTATCTCGCAGAAAGAGATGACCTGACATACCAAGCCAGAAAAATGTGGCAACTCTTGTGCGATATCTGATCACTATGATGCCGAGACGCGAACCTCGTATGCCCAAGTCTGACATTCGCGCGTGATCTTAACTTGACAAATATACAAGGGCATCACAGACGTCGCTTAGTCCTCGATTCACGCACTGAAGAGTTCACCTCAAAAAAAATAGTTGACATGGTCCCTTTTGTTCCTTGCTCTGGAGCCCTCGAATCCCTTCGACCCCTTCGACCCCTGCGCCATTGCTCTCAACGCCCCCTATCCGCGAGCTCTGCTTCATTCTGACGGGATTCAGGCTCAGACGCGACAACACAAAACACCCTGTCTCACGGCGGATATTCCCCGTCCCATCTTCATTCTCACAACGCATCTACATGTTTCTGCCCGTCCGTGCGTGTGGCGCCGGACAGCTCAACATGTCCAAGACAACGACACACTCACATACACGTAGAGTACACTTACACCACCGATTCAAGAACGACCGAGAGGCGTGTTGACTTGTAACACGAACGAAAAAGTGATGGACCCATTGGACACAGGAGACGGGGAAAAGCAGAAGAGGCGTGGGGGACAAAGGACATGCAGTCATGGACGCGACATTCGGACTTGAAGTCGAACCGCTGCACCGTTCCAACATCACCCTTTCATGCCGGGCTCGCAACGGTCGCACATACATGATGTGAGTCCCCCCATTTGTTCAAGTCTCTTAGTGGCTTCTGCCGGTGGTTTGGCGGTATCGCTCCGGGGTTACAAAACAAGCAAGCTCGAGATTACGGGCAAGGGGCCCACATCACTTGGGAGATGTATCATGATCGACAGAGAGCCAACGAAAGTGAAAAAAAGGGTCTATTGTGAGATGGTTGGCGGTTCAATGTTGCCATTCATCATCCTCTCTACTCTATCACCAGCGCATCGCGCTAAAGGTTGCAGCTTGCTGCACCGTTGTATAACCCGTGCCAAAAACCCCTTCGGGACTCAGCGGCGTGCATTGTCCGCGAGTGTACGAGAGGATCACCCAGTAATCACGTCAAACAAGACACCTAGTACTACAATCACCCCCAAAGGCATCTTCCTAAATGTGGTTACACCCAATACCCTACCGCTTCGGCGGGGCGACCCTCGACGTGAAGAAGGGATGCTTCAGCGCGTCGGCAGGCTTGATCCTCTTCTCCGGGTTGAGCGTCAGGCAGTGCTCGAGCAAGTCGACAAAATGGTTCAGGTCCCTGGTCTCGGCGTCATTCATACCCGCTGACGCAGCGAAGAGGCGGGTGCGCAGATCACGGGTTGGTTTGACGACGGGCAGGACCCTGGCGGTTGTCTGTGTAAAGCAATATGGGTCAGCCAACCGAACGAATCCATGGGGGAATCATGCTGCTATTTTCATACGCATCGAAAGTCGAGAATGGGACAAAAGAAAGAGTGTGCGGCGGGTCCCCATGGTGGTGGAAACATCTGTCAACTTTGACAAATCGTACCGACACGTTGGACCCTTCGTGCAGAGAGGCAATTAAAGGGGCAAAACAGGGTGTAGGGGGGGCGAAGATGAGATGATGCGGCCGTGACAATAGTCTCTGAGACAGCTACCCACGTCCGCATCCTCCGAAGTTGGGATTGTTTTGTTCGCCGACCCTCCCAAACTGGGGACTGTGACCCAGCAAGTCATGCGAGTCCGAACGATCCGAAAGGAGTGACACCACGTTGATCGCGGTAGCTGTCGATGACTATCCCGGCGGCCGAAAGGCATGACATGGCGAGCTTTCCGGGCCCGCTCGGACTGGACGGCCCGCAGAATGTGGATGATGCATACGCATGCGCAACCGCGCCTCAGCGCTTACAGCCGCACTCCGCCTCAACTAGGCCCCCTCGGACCGTCGGCCAAGTCAACATCCCAGAGACTGATTGGTTCATGGGCTTAGGTTACGAAACAAGCCGAATGCAGAAGCGTTGGAAATACGGAAAAGGAAAACACGGCAAGAAACAGAAAGGCAATCACCATGAGCCAATTACGTACCTTTCCAAGCGCCTTGTCCCGCTCCATGCTGACAAAATTGCCCATTTCGTCAAAGTGCATCGCCGATAGTTGGCCTCTCTTGTAGAGCTTGGGCGTGATCTTTCCGCGGATCTCCATGATGGCTTTTAGCATCTGGTTGTTGCTGTCGCCAGCGAAGAGGATCTTGCCCGTATACAGCTCGTACAACGTGCAGCCGATGGACCACATGTCAATAGAGTAGTCGTAGGGCATTCCGAGGATGACCTCCGGTGCTCTGTAGAAGCGACTGACGAGGTACGGGGTGATCTCGTTATGTGCCGTCGCTGCGTCGGACTTGTCGATACCGGTTCCCAAATCGCAGATCTTTAGGACATTTCGGCTTTCATTGACCTGGAACTGGTTAGTGGAAATAGTCTCAAACTGCTTCATAATGAGTGTACATACCAAAATGTTGTCAGGTTTGAGATCGGCATGAATGACACTGCATTTCCGCATGTGAGCAAGACCAATGAAGATTTGGTGAGCATACGCCCTCGTGGCGCCCAGGTTGATGCCAACGTTGTTTCCAAATTTCTTCAATACTTCTCGCAGGTTCAGGCTGAGGTGCTCAAATGCCATACACAGGTGGCCCTTGTGGTCAAAGTGTCGCTCAAACTTAACGATGTGCTTGCGGTTGTCCGGGTCGGCGTCGTTGAGCTTCTGCAGAATGGCGATTTCGGTGAAACCTCCCTTCCTCAGTGCGTCGTTGTTTCTCATAATTTTGATAGCGACCAGCTTCTTATTCGTAATGTCGACGGCCCGCGCGACGCCGGAGAACATGCCCTTACCCAGGGTGGACTGGACCTGGTATCGACCGTTCATAATCTCACCGATGCGAATCTTGTAGTAACCATCCTTATCGTCGCCCTCGAGAATGGCGCCATTGGGCGGGGCGAGAGCTGGTGAAGCTTTGCTTTCATCTACCACAGCCACCTTGGCAGGGTTGGGAGCAGCGTACTTCTCGTCGTCGAAGTCTTCGGCAAACATGTCGAAATCATCGTCATCGTCGCCTGAGGGCTTCTTCGCCGGTGCTTCCTGGGTCTGTTCTTGGGGTGGTGCCTCAATCTGCGCATTGGGGACTTCACCATGCACACCAACGTTACCGTGCCGCATTTCGTCACGTCTCTCATCTTCCTTCATGTCAACGGTGGGGTCGTAATCCGCTGCTGAGGGTCCGTCTTCTTCCGTGACCTCGCCGCCTCCGTGGGTGTTCATGAGGTCGCTCTCGTTTAGAATATCAATAGCACCAGGTGAGCTCCCTTCTCGAGCGGGTGATCCGAAATCTGAAGGATTAGCGGAGCCATAAAAGGAGGAGCCGGGTTTCATACCTGTGCCCGGAGTTCCTATGTCACCGGGACCCGGTGTGCCTGGTGTGCCCTCTCGTGCTGGGGAGAAGCCGGCCGGCTTGTCGGTCGCGTGCAGTGCATGAACGAGCAGCGGAGTCGCAGAACTGGACTTTGAAAGCAGCTCATCACGACGTCGTCGCCGGCGTTCAATCTCAGCCTCCTCGTCAATGACCGTTGGCTCCTCAGGCTCATCGTAGCCGTGTTCGGGCTCGACCACCTGCGGCGCACTGCCTTCCGGCGTTAGCAGGAACCGAGCCCTCTTAGAGTGCGGAGAGACGGACGTCTGGTCTCGAGAGCGAGACACAGCAGAGTTCCTGTCGTCTGCAGAGTCTTTCACTGGTTTAGCATCGTCTCTGGAAGCACGAGAGTCCTTCCCTACAGCGGCCCCGTTCAACGCCGTATTTCCATTCCGTGAATCTCGATCTCTGTGCTCGTCGTACTTCAGGCCACGAAACGAGTCGGTGAGGCGATCGCGCCCACTATCTCTACTGTAGTGATCGTCGCGGCCTCCTCGGTCGTTGCGCGGGGGACGGTAGGGTGACCTAGTGCGGTTGCGCGGTCTCTTGTCCGGATAACGGTCTCTATCACGATCGCGCTCCCGGTCTCTCTCGCGGTATGTATCTCTGTCGCGGCTCCGGTTTCGGTCACGGCTGTCGTAGCTGTGGTTCGATCCCCGGGAGGGCGGGCGGTCCAGGTCTTCGTAAGAAACGCGCGAGCGGCGATAGTCGTCTCGCTGGCCATCCTCGTAGTGCACACGGAAGCGTCGCGTGTCCTGCCGTCCTCCGCCAACGTAGTCGCGCTCGTCGCGGGCGCGCTTGAAGCCGCGGGGAGGGGGCGAGCGGCTCCGCCTCGGAAGGTTGTAGTGCCTAGCGGCATTGTCGTGCTCGGGGGATTTGGAGGCCGAGTATCTATCTCGGGTTCTGTCTTGACGGTCAACACCGTTTCCTTCAAACTTCTTCGGCAGTGAAGTTGCCTTCAATTCCACAGCGTCATTCTCCATAATCTCGCCTTCGTCCGAACTCGACGCCATCGTTGCGATGCGACAGCAAGCGTGGTTCCACGACTTGCCGAAACGTCTGGTCTTTTATATCTTGATTGCAGCAGTATCCGCCAGAGGAAGAGTCCCCTAGGTCTTTTTGCTCGCGAAACGCAGCAGCGACGTGTCAGCAGAGATCAACAGAAGATTGATGTGCGGCAGGAATTGTTTGCGAACCGGATGACTGTGTCGACTCAGCTCATGGGGAAGAGGGAAGCAAGGCGACACGAGAAAGCCAGAGGGCAGTGCAAAGAGGGGGACGAGAAAGGGTGATGTTAATGCAGATTCAAGGAAGAGTGCTGCTGTCTGTCGACAGCTTGATGTGTATGTGTGTGTTTCAGCGATCCAGGGTCGAACGGTTTCTGACCTTGCACGCTGCAGTTGCTGGCTGGGATGATGGAATGCGACGAACGAATTTTGGCGGTGACACGAGATGGCCAACCGGAGAAATCAAGGCGCCAGAGAACTGAGCCGACGTCAGTGTCACATCTGGATTGTTCCGTAAGTGCGCCGGATCCACTTCGCGGGGCGCCTCTTGCTTTCTGCATATTTGAATATTCCTAAGGATTATGCTGTTAAGCATGATACGCTCACTGTAAGTGGGGACCCCTTATTTCCGCAGACCGATTTCTCCAGGAGGGGCAATTTTCACCCCACGTCCGACCGTCTCTTTGCGCCGCGCTTCCTCCTTCCTCTCCTTCCGACTTCATCACTCGACAAACCTCTGCGACTCCAGCCTTGCTATCCCTCAGCACTCCCGCCCCCAAGTTGATCTCCAAGTCCCAGATACCCCTCAACAAACTCAGCAGAAATGGGTGGTGCATCCCGTGAAGGTTAGTTCCTTGCCCTTCCTACCCGTACTTGCGCGACGCGTGCTGACAGGTTCTCTCTAGGTGGCAAGGCCAAGCCCCTCAAGGCCGCGAAGAAGCAGGCGAAGGACCTGGACGAGGATGACCTCGCCTTCCTCGAGAAGAAGCGCGCCGGTAGGTCATACTAACTACTCCAGATACTCCTTTTTTTGTTCCGGCTTGCGCATCGACACTAACCCGATGATCAATAGAGGAGAAGGCTCGCAAGGAGTTGGCCGCCAAGGCTGGCGGCAAGGGACCTCTGAACACGGGTAACCAGGGCATCAAGAAGTCCGGCAAGAAATAAGCGATTGGCCGTTGGGAGAGTACTCAAAGGAGACGTCGCGAGGGGAGATACAGAGTCGATAGTCGGCGCGCATCGACATTGGCTGGTTTTTCGGAAGCCATAGGCAGAGCGCCTTCTTTTACATACCTACACGAGCATGCAATGAAATGATATTAAGGGTTCTTGGGCACGACCTCGAAATTAGACACACTCGTCTTGTGTTCGCATGGATGATGCTGGCGGCATCTGACTTGTGTGTTTTGCATGTCCTTTCAGTTCCAAAACGGCATTGACTCGAGATTCTTCAGGGTCGTGGTGCTTTACCAGAGAAAAACTGGAACGGAGAGTCTCTAAACAGTGGGAGTGTTGCTCCTCGTAGCAAAGATTTGCATTTTCCCAGGCACATGTCGCAGTAATCCCACTGAACCCACCGCTCCGTCTCCATCCAGTGTCCGTCTCACAGTCTCGTGTCTCGTGTCTGACTGTACTGGCCCATCGTACCACGGGCACAATCTGACCGACGGCCCGACAGGATGGTGCCGATAGTGCCCGTTTTAACCACTTGGCGCCAGCTGGGCACACCGAAACGGGGGCGCGTCAAATCAAACGGGCCTCGGACCTGGCGCCGGACCCAGGGCGAGAAACAGAAAAATCCATTTTCCTTCAAGCATGTGCATATGGGCAAATATGGAAGAGCAAATTCCCAACATTTCCCATCCCACCAAGCCTGTTTTACACTCGTACCTGCCCCTGCAGTGATGGTCCGACCCGCTGCTGCTACCACCGCGAACCGGCGCTAGCTGTCATTGCAAAGAACCGTGCCCCTGTTGAACGTCAAACCTGTCCCGATATCTCAACGGCCCTTAAAAGGAATCTCAGAGCCTACTCTCGTAGACTCATATTTCCCACTGAAAACACATTTCATTCGTAGAATTCAAAGACCAGTCATCCGCTTGATACAGAAACAAAAATATGTCTGCCGCCAAATCTTCCGCCGGCGATGCATCCGGCGTCAGAAACCGAAATCGCCGTTCATCATCCACCACCGAAACCCTCCTGTCTTCGGTAGAATCGACGGCCATCAACCTCGAGAAGAAGGTCGAAAAGGCCCTCTTGATCCTGTGGGACGACCTCCCCGCCTGGCGCCGCGACAACGCCTACATCATCTCGGGCTACCGCCCAGACTCCCGCTCCTACCTCGGCTCCTTCAAGTCCCTGGGTTACTTGCACAACGAGTCCGTCAACATCTGGTCCCACCTCCTCGGCGCCATCGCATTCCTGGTCAGCGGGGCGTTCCTGTACGGCGTCGTCGCGCCGCGGTACGACACAGCCTCGCCTGCCGACGTGCTCGCCTTCGGGTGCTTTTTCGCGGGCGCCGTCGCGTGCCTCGGCATGAGCGCGACGTACCACGCAGTGTGCAACCACTCCCCCGAGGTCGCGAAATGGGGCAACAAGCTCGATTACTCGGGGATTGTGTTCCTCATCGTCGGGAGCTACGTGCCGGCCATGTACTACGGCTTCTACTGCCACCCCGGGCTGATGAAATTCTACCTGTGGACGGTAAGTCTCACTCACACCCTTCGCAGCACTCGTACAATAAACACTAACGACTGTCAAAAAGATCAACCTCCTAGGCCTCGGCTGCGGCGCTGTCTCCTGGATCGAGTTCTTCCGCACGCCTGAATGGCGCACCTTCAGGGCGTGCATGTTCGTTGCCCTCGGGACCTCGGGCGTCATCCCCGTCGTCCACGGCGCGATCATCTACGGCCGGGATGAGATGGAGGCCCGCATGAGCCTCAGCTGGGTTGTCCTGCACGGCGCCATGTACATCTTTGGCGCCTTCCTGTATGCCTTCCGCTGGCCGGAGCGATCGTTCCCGGGAACCTTTGACATCTGGGGCAGCTCTCACCAGATCTTCCACTTCTTCGTCGTCATGGCGGCCGTGACGCATTTGTACGGCATGGCCAAGGCCTTCGACTACCACCACACCGTCAAGGGGTCGCTGTGCTTGTGATGAGCATGGGAATGGCGCCGTTGAAGGTTTAATGAGTCCATGATAGAGATATATAGATATTTGTTAATAAAGGGTATCATTCACGCGTACATCTATCTACGCTCGCCGTTGCCGGCCGTGTCTAGCATTCCAAACCAAGATCCATCACCCTCACCAACCCCGACGCCATCGCCACCGCGGCCCAGCACGAGTACTCCCGGTTCGGGTTCCACGCCATCGTGGTGATCCGCGTCAGCGGCTCCGAGAGCACCGCGCGCTTGGGATCCGCAAAGTGCCCGTCCCCTTCTTCCGCGCCGCCCTGCACGTCGGCGTCGTCGTCTTCCGCTGCCGCCGCGTCTGCCTTGCCTTTGCCCTTGGCCTTTGCCTTCGGCTTCTTGGCCTTCTTCTTATTGATGGCAACTTTGGTCTTCCACGTGTCCACCTTGGGGTTGACATTGGGCACCGGCCCGAAACCCTGGAGAATCCGCGATGCGCCACGGCAGCGATCGCCTTCGCCAACGCTTTCGTCTCCCAGCACGGAGCCGTTGAGCCTCTCGCGGGGAATGTACTGATGGTCGATGATCTTTATCTTATGACCAAAGTGGTGTTTCGAAGCAAAGATCCTGTTGGATGGGTTCGCCGCCCAGACGGTGCCGTCCATGTACCCAACAAGTACGAACGGATGGTGTATGCCCGCGGCGAGACACGTAGGTAACCGATCGCCGTCCATGACCTTGCGCACCTGCGCCGCGTACCACCGTGAGTGCACGAAGCCGACCGACGCGTTGAGCGGGTTCGCTGACGGCACAACGGTGAAGAAGCCCCGCAGGTGGTCATGCCACTGGAGCAGGTTCGGCTGCGGGGTGATTGTAAAGCAGGGGAAGCTCGTCCGCTCGCAGGAGGGGTCGGAGAAGTCGATCAGCGTGGTGTAACCGGCGATAGGCGTTGACGCGACGAGATAGGGGTCCGATGGGTAGGCCGTGTCGATGTGCATTACGCGCGTTGAGTGAACGTCGTGGCGAGCGAGGAGGATGCGCGGGGAGATGGACCAAAGGGTGAGGGAGCCATCCGAATGGCCAAGGACGATGCGGTTGGTGTTTACCCAGGCGAAGCATGTGGCGGTCACGTTAGTCTCGGAGGGGATTCCCAAAGATACGATGGGGTGTTCGAGTTTGGCTGGCAACTATCAGTACGTGATGACCAGGGTGGTTGAAAAGGGGTGTCCTACTGAAAGCATCCTGCTCGTCGTCGCCAATGTCCTTGACAACGACAATATGAACCTGACCATCACCACAGAGTACCGCAAGAAGGCCCATGGCGCCGTTCTCTTTGTACGGCACCGGACACCATTTGAGCCTCATGACCCTACCCCAATCAGAGCAGATAGTTCTAGCAAGACGTGCTGGACGTCCAAGGGGACTCGTGATGCCGGCCTCATCTTTCTTGCCACAGAGAGCCCAAAACTGGATAATGCCCTTGTTCTGATCGTAAGCATCTTCGAAATCCAATAGCTGGTCGGTGTGCGGGATGACGGCAAGGGCAAGAATCTGCGCGTCCTGTCCGACCCTGTTGGCCCATTCCATGCCGATGACAATGCCGCCCGCGTCAAACATCCACCCTGCCGACTTCTCCTCCTCGCTCAAGTTGTCCGTCAAGGGCAGTCCTGACTCGGACAGCACGACACTATCGTAAGGTGCGATTTTGACCTCTTGCTGATCCGGATACGGTCCTATCACGGACACCAAGTGACCGCCAGGGTTCAGGCGATACCCTTCGGCCTCCTCTGCGCTCATCTGTCTCTCACCCTCGCTTGCCCCCTTGTAATCTTTCAATCTCTCAAACCATGCTTTCGCTGCATGCTCCTGGTCCTCTACAAACCCCGGGTCGAGCCAGGGACTCGGGACTGGAGGCGCGGGCCCATCGGGTAACTTGCTCGGCAGAACCGCATACCCCGCCCACCGGTTGAGCAACCAACTCGCAACACCCACAGCCTCCTCCTGGGGTCCGTAGAAGAAGTCCAGAACCTGGATTCTTTGACCGCGCTTTAGCGCGCCGGTGTAGTGCCTCGTAGGCCGTCCATCGGCGTGATAGGTCCCGAGGGCCGCCATGTCCGTTGGCCGTTTCCTCAGGCCGGCGGAACTGGTGTAGGCGGGCAGCTCATCGTCATCGTCATCGTTGGCATTTCTCGGGCCACCTATTTCTAGACTGGAAGGGTCATCTGCCTCAAAATCGTCGTCGCCGCCGCCGTCAATGTCCATGGGGTCGTCTTCATCGTCCTCTGGGTCCGGGGGCGGCGCCTCGAAATTTTCATCGTCGAGGTCGTCGTGGGCGTCGGGCGGCTCACCGTCGGAGCCATAATCTATGACAGCGACACGTTTTGTTTTGTTGCGAGGCCGTGTCCTCACCATTGTGCCGCGGTGACTGTGGGCTGATCGTTTGTGTGGTTGAGGCGAGGTGAGTGAGAGCAAGTTGAAAATTGGAGGTGAAACTGAGAATCTCGATCAAGGAAACACTGTGTGCACGGTGCGGGACTGTTGGTTACAGCGGCAAATGTGGGCTGACTGAAGCGAGATTCGCCTAGGGCGGCCATGAATCTTAGATGACAGCGGCACATTCAGTAAGAAGACAGTGTAAGGACGGAACTGCGCACCTCGATGTCCAACCTTCTATGTCGAATCAAGCTGTTCGTACAAGACTCGGCCCTCTTAACCTAGGACAGACAACGGCCATCTACTAATCGTTCACCACCTTCGGAAGACCGAAAATTTTCTCTGGACCCCTAATTCCTTACAAGAGCGACGGGTTCGCTGACCAGGCCAACGGCTCACCCTAAACCTCGCCAGCGCTTCCTGCCTGTCTTCTCGCTCACTCAAGACTGATGAAAGCTCATAGTAGACACGTCAGTAGGACGACAGGGCCTCAGACGTCAAGATTGTGTTCTCCATCACAGCAATATCGAATGTCATGTACAGCCTCATCGCCCTGGCTCAAACTCGGCGCACAGGCAAGACCCATTCTAGAGATCAGTTCACCAAGCCATTGCCAGGTCATGTTAGGACTCACCTTATCCAAGCAATTCGTATTAGGCAGACGTCTTAATTCTGTTCATTTGCAATGACTGGCGCCAAGGCAGACCCATGCGAGCAATGCTACGGTCCTGATCCTTTGCAGAAGTCCTACATTCCCTCCAACCAGGGATTCGCATGAGAGAACGCCGCGGCCTAACTCCGCCACCACGGGCCGTTGCGCTATTAGAGTCCTAGGCCACCCACGCCTCATCACGTCCAAAAAGCACAGATCTTAGCAGCACTTATACTATTGAAAGTGGCTTGCTTATTGGACTAGTATTTCAGCTGTTTTGCGGGGTTGTCTGTGAGACTCTGTGTGGCTAGAGTATATGATGAGTTCCGGCGGCACATTGAGTGACAAGATGGAGACACGGATCAAATCCTCTATTGAACAGAAGATGCCAGGTAGCAGAAGTAGCAGCAGCGGCGACAGCAGCACCGGCAGCTCTATCAGATCACTATCGTCCCTATACTTAGTGTAAGCGAAACCACCATTTCCAAGAAACCGTCCCCGCGCGGCCTCACTAACACATTCAGTGCCTTGACAGAGCAAGATGCCAAAGACAAAGAACCCGATACCCCCCAAGAGAAGACAAGGCCACCAGTAGCACCGCGAGGTGAGCTCGTCCTCGTCGTCGGTCCCTCTGAAGTAGAAATCCGTGTCTATGCCCTCATCCTCTCCAACGCCTCCCCCGTCTTCGCTTCGATGCTCGAGAAGACCCGCTTCGGCGAGGGCGTTGCCCTTCAAGGCGCCACGCCATCGAGCCCGGCACGCATCTTACTCCCGGACGATGACCCGAAGGCCATGGAGACCATCTGCAGAGTCATCCACGGCAAGACGCTCGATGCGGGGTCGCCAGGCGTCTTGGACGCCTCGCCGAGCGAGGTGCTGGCCGTCGCCATGTTGGCGGACAAGTACGACTGTGGCCCCGCGATGGCGTTGGCTGCCGAGCATTGGCTAAAGCTAGAGACGATGGAAGACATGGCGAGGTGGGGATTTATTTGTCCCAAGAGACGGGATTTGCTCATTGCGGCATATTGGTTTAAACACGAAAAGGGTTTCGAGGCCGGGTCGAGGAGGTTGTTGGCCGAGGTTTCTGGGAGCTTCCGGTCTCTGGCTGAAGGTCGGAAGAGTCTGGATGAGAACATTGCTCTGCGAGTCGCCCGTGAGTTGATCCTCCTATTTCCATACCAGTCCATACGAAAGCTAACACACAAACAAAGTCGCTCTGGAAGAGAAGCGGAACGAGCTCCGCCTCTCCCTCTACACGTCCCTAATGCAACCCATCATCAACCCCCCTGTTTGCAAATGTTCCAGATTCAAACGCCGGTGGTGGTTTCCGCGCTCCCCTCGGCCCGCCGAAGTCGTCAACTCGGTCATCCGTTGCATCGATCGCGACGTCATGTCGCGCGGGATGCCGTACATGTCCATCAACGAGGCCATCCGGCGAGCTGAAGAGATCCCCAGGAACGTGGTCAAGAACCGCACAGGGCGGTCCGCGGGTGATTGGAAATACCCGGATGGGGAGAAGGTTAATAACGTCTGGCGGCCGTGGCACAAGGCGCTCATGTGGCACCGCGCAGAGGAGTTTCGGGAGAAGGAGTTGAAGAAAGGGGTGTGCTTGCGGTGCATACATCCGCAGATGCGGTGTGAGGAGCCGAGTCATAACGAAGGGAAATTGAAAGAAATCTGGGAGTGGCTTACACCTGGTGCGAAGATGTGGTTGCGTGCAGACGGGGTTACCAAGTTGCCTGAGTGGTAGAGTATATTCCTTGGACAGATCTATTCAAAAGTCAACAACTATCCGTGCTACGCGTGGTAAGAGACAGAACGATCTCGAGCAGCAGGTAATGGCTTCGTGTTCTAGTGCTGAAATTTGTGCCCACAGGAGTACAAGACCGCCTGAAGACGAAACGAGCAACGAGAAAGCACTGATGGAGAAGACCTTATCCAAGAGGGTTGTGCATCACTTTCAGTCTTATTGTCAGCAGCATTGTTTCGGCGTCATGGTTGCGTGCCTTTATACTCTCCTCTCCTTATGCATTTCGATTAGAGTGCCCAATGGCTACCAATGCTAGCCAATCTGAAGGTTTACAAGCAGCAGTTGCCATTCCCCTCGCGTATGGTAAGATCTTGCATGAGTCCCAAGGATCAAAAGGTCGAAAAACATGTATGCAACGCTCGATGCCGGCAGGGTCAGTTGCCATCCGAGCTGGTTTAGCTGAGACTGAAGAGTTGGCATGGTGGCGAATACTTTACATCATGACTAGACGTTGATATGATAGTAGCAGTTATGGACGGCAAACGGCGTGAGTCTCATCACGACAAAAAGCTCTTACGAACTTCACATCCGGCATGGCCAACAGCGCAGCCCTCACGAAATCACTCTTCACATCCAACGCAGCCGCAGCCGAAGCCGGTGTCTCCGCTTCTGTGACATCTGTGTCCAGCTGATCTCTCACCATGTCACCTTGCCCTTCGACCTCGCCTCCGACCGTCGCTGTCATCTCCGCCGCCTTGGCCATAACCCAACCCCTAGCAACCTCACTCATCCACGTCTCAGGTAACCGCCGCATCCAGCCTTCGTCCCTCACGTCCGTTCCGGCACTCGACTTTCTCTCTCTCGCCCACGACTCCAAATCGAATGCACAGAACACGGGGTTCCGCCAATACCCGCGCAAGACGCCCTTGACCCACGCAATCTCGTCTGCGTTCTCGAGGTCCATGGTGATGACGGTGCTGGCATCGCCGAACAGACGATTTACGACGCCGAGGTCCCAGGTACAGGGACTGACTGAGATGGTGTCGAACCTTAGACTGAGTCTTTTCAGATGGGCGGTTTGCTGAAACAACCGGGCAAACCATTCCGCCTCCGCACGCGAGGCGAGGATGTGCTGTGCTTTGTGGACGAGATCCCTGATGCCGCGCGGTTCGTCGTCCTCGATGTCGGCCCGTCTGTCTAGCTCGAGCACGTCGTGACAAGTGTCGAACCAGTGTCGAAACGTCCTCGTGGGGTTCTCCGAGTTGGCGGCATCGTACGCGAGGGAGACGATCCCTCCGCTCTGCGTCGCTATCGTGCGCGCCTCGCGGCAAGCCCCGGCGATGGCAGGAGGGCGCGTGAGCAGCACGTCGTGCTTCTTGCTGTTCCGCCTCGATGGCCGCAGAACCCGGGTAGGAATTGCAAGTGACCAAATCCGGTGCCTTATCTCGGGCGGCAACCGTCGGAATTGCGGAAAGTACGGCGCGGGCCCTTGTCGAGCGAAGAGCCTCTCCATCGCATCAAGCCTCTCTTCCAAAGCTCTTTGTGATCGCGCAACCTTCTCTACGAGGCGGATTGTCTGCAACTGCAACTCGTTGGCCGTCATCTCGTCGGCCGGAACTGTGTGGTTTACAACGTCGTTCACTCGCGCCATGTTTCTCTGGTCAATCCGCTCGCAGTACTCTCACAACACCCGACGCAAATGCATACAGACAGTCGCCGGCTTTTGATCTCACCTAGCGAGAAGACATGAGATCATAATCGGAGACCGACGAGACCGACGAGACCCCAGAATGGGAGCCGCGGGGATCTGTTGCATCCCATCAAAACCCGAACGCACACGGAGTCTTCCGTCTCCGCCTCATCATTCTTGGCTTCTTGTACGGATTAGCGCATCGTCTGTTGTTCGCTTATGGTTTGTCATTATGCCACAGCATGCACGCCTCGTAACTAAGCATCTTGGTAAGCAAGCGACCGTCCGATTGTGCATGCAAAACCGTGCGGGACTCGATTCATTGGCAAGTTTATTGGTGGTGTTTGCGAGCATTGCAACGAGTCAGCTGTGATTGGATAGGTGCCATCCTTCGGACCCCACGGAGACACGAACACATCCTTGTTTTTTTTCCTTTTCTATCTACAACTTGAAGTCGGCGTTGTTCTTTTCCCAGCCACGCGGCGTCTCGTCTAATTCAGCGACCTTGTCGACAAGTCTTAGCTTGAGGTTGCGGTTTCGCTCGGTGCAGAGCTCGTATGTCGTGCTGAGGTTGAAAAGAAGAGTGTGCGACGAGTAGCCAGTGTTGACCATGTCCTCGAACACGGAGCGGGCCTGTCCAGTCAGTAAGTTGTCAGGTAGTACGGAATTCTAGGACGAGCCTTACCTCCGTAAGCTTGCCAGTGTAGAGGAGACAGACTGCGAGGTTGACTCCGACCATTTCATCGACCAACTCCTCCTTCAGCCCCTGCCAGGATTGCAGGGCTGCCTCGTACTCGCCATCGGCCATTTGGCAAAGTGCGGTGACGACCGCCTCAACATGCTTTCCGCCCTCTCCGGAATCCCGAACACAGCCGCGTGCGGCCTCCGTATCGCCGAGGTGCAGCCATAAAAGCGCCAGGGATAGAGCCATCTTGCCATCGCCGCGGTCCTTGAGCGTACTCAAGTGATGCGCAGCGCCAGCCAGATCGTCCATCTCAATCAATGCGCCCGTAACGTTAATGCCCAAGTCAGTGAGCCGTGCCTTCCAGAGCTCCCGCGCTGAGTTATCGTGCCGAGTCGTCGCCTTGGTAATCTGCTCTCGCGCTTCCCTCGCCAAGTCGTGATAGCTCATGACAGACCTCCGCGGATCACTGAAGCCGAGTGCCTGCAACCGCACATTGAGAACCCGCAGCTCCCAGGGCACCAGGTGCTCGCCGGTGGTCTCATCAATGTAGACACCGGCGTTGAGGTCTTCCAATGCCCTGACCTCTTGCGCCGCTATTGGTGTTGCGTCGATGAGCGTCAGACATGCCAGCCGCGTATACAACAGGCTGAATATCCTGTGATAGTCAGAAGGGTCAACACTACGTCGCTCTGGGCTCCCAGTGGCTGTGAGTTCTTGAACGGCAGCAATGGCGGCCGCTCGGAAGTGGCCTTTGGCCACGAGATCTTCTAATGACGCATCGGCTGGTGGTTGCTTGGTCGAGTTTCTAAAGGCAACTGGGATGTTGGTTGGATTGATGTTGTGGTATATTTCTGGGCGCAGAAGAAAGCTGAAGTCTTTAGTGACGGTCGTCTTCACAGGCGGTGCCGGGGAATGAGGCACAGCTGGTGAGCGTTGGCCTGATATCGGACGCTGCTGCGTCGTTTCTTCCTTTGCGGCAGCCTTGGGCGACAACGGGTCATTCAGAGGTGTGCTGTGAGAGCGTGTCAGTCGATGAGTCTCACTTGAACGAGAGGGGCCTTACTCGTCGAGGTCTAGCGGGCCCTTAGTCGAAGACCGGGGACGAACGGCTAAATGGTGCAATTATCGTCAGCTTTATTTGTGTTTCAGTTGGCACTTGTCGCTGTCTGCTTCAGGGCTTCCTTCATGAGGCCTGGACTTAGTATCTTGGAGGACCACCACTGTGATGAAAAGGCACGGGCACCGAGCGGCGTTTAAGAGGGCCAGGGAGTTAACCATGGCGAATAGACAAGAGAAACCTACGTCTCGTTACCGATATGTTCCGCCCATGTCCACGATTCACTGGTGGTTGGCTCATATTGTTGATCCAAAATCCGATGGTCTAGATTGTGTTGATGGAGGAGCAAGGTGATGCTCATGGTCCAGAAGAGTACAGGTACCGATGTCACTTGGTCTGTGCTGTAGCTAGCGGGGTGCAAGGGGGCGACAGATATCGGAGAAACGGCGGTTATTTGATCGTCGCCAGGAAACACCCCTTCCCATCCATAATCCCGCCGTTACACGGAGTACTCGACAGTTTTCAAGCTTGAGGACAACCACGAGAGATCCACGACAATCACTTCATATTCAGTAGAGGTGGCATGGCAAAAGACTTCTATTAGCCGGCGATGATATCTAAACCGAAAGGCAGAGCTTTTGATCAACCCCAATATCTAAAATTTCCATCAGATATTCGTTCTCTAACCCTTGGCAGCACCGGCCTTGATGAGCAAGATGTCTCCATCTTCCACAACGTAGTCCTTGCCCTTGGTCATGACTTTGCCCTTGGCCTTCACCTCGGCTTCGTTGCCAAGCTCCTTCAGAGTGGTGAAGTTGTAGACGAGAGCCTGGATGAAGGTCTTCTCGAAATCAGTGTGAATAACACCAGCAGCCTGGGGCGCCTTGGTGCCGTTACGGATGGTCCATTGACGGACCTCGTCCGTGCCGGTGGTGAAGAAGCTGCCAAGGTTGAGAACCTTGCGCATCTGCAGAACGATCTTGGGCAGAGCGGACTCGGCGCCAACGTTCTTCTGCTCCTCCTTGGACTCGGCCTCTGTCTCGTAGCGGGTAAGACGCTCCTCGAAAGAGACGGAGATAGGGATGATGGGGTCGCCCTGAGCGTGCTCCTTGACCCACTCGGCGACCTTAGGAAGGTACTTGTTCTTCTTGCGAATGAAGTCCTTCTCCGAAAGGTTCACCAAGTAGACGACAGGCTTAGCAGTCAGGAGGAACAAGGGGTTGATGACTTCGACCTGGGAATTGTCAGAACATGACTTTGCAAACAAATATGCAGAACAAAGTAAAAGATATTGTGTCGTATCAGAATGGGTTTCTTATCTCAGTAGACCTTTGGCCTTCGAAGAGCTGGGTTAAGATTATCGGACCATGGGTCCTTTGTCATCATTTGACAGGGGGGTTGTAGTAGGTAGGGAAAAACGAAAATGAGAGGGGATTGCTGTCTTACCTCCTTGGGGCCCCAGTTGCCCTTTCGGACTTCGTTGCCGTCCTTCAGGAACTGGAGAATCTTCTCCATGGTGGCCTGCTCCTCCATGGCCTTCTTGTGCTCCAGACCCTTGCCGCCAGAGCGAGTCTTCTTCTTCTGGTTCTCGAGGGCCTTCTCGGTGAACTCGATATCCTTCAACCGCAGCTCGTCGCTGATGATCTCGAGATCACGGGTGGGGTTGACGTCACCCTCAACGTGGATGATCTCGGCATCGTCGAAGCAACGAACGACCTGGAAGATGGCATCGACGGCGCGGATGTGCGACAAGAAGGCGTTACCGAGACCGGCACCAGTAGAGGCACCTCGCGTCAGGCCAGCGATATCGTAGACCGTCAGGTTGGCAGGGACGCGCGACTTGGGGTTGTACTTTTCGCAAAGCCAATCATAGCGCTCGTCGGGGACGATGACACGCGCCTCCTCGGGGTCGATGGTGGCGTAGGGGAAGTTGGCAGGGTTTCCCAGGTTGCACTTGGTAATGGCCTGGAAGAGGGTGGACTTTCCAACGTTTGCAAGGCCAACCTGAAGAGGGGGTCAGCCTGATCCCGCACAGGTTCTAAGGCGTAGCACCCACAATTCCACTCTTCAGGTTGTTACCGGGCCTGCCCAGGAGAATCTTCTCTTCGACGACTTGCTTCTTGGGAGGCATGGTGCGTCTTGATTTTGCGTACTGACGGGTGGTTGTGTAGAGTACGGTGCACTTGAGCACTGGAGCTTGGCGAAAGGCAGAGCTAGCTGCGCGGGGGAGGAAAGAGGGAGATGGAGAAGCGAAGAGAGGGAGTAGGATGAAGGACGTCGTTTTGGCGACTCTGGCTGTGCGACCAGCCCTCAATCACGCGGATTGCCCGAGAGTGGGAGCGTAGAGCGGTAGAGAGAGAAGAGAGAGGAAGGAAGAGGAGGAAGAAATCGCGAGGATTGTTGATCGAGAAGAAAAAGCTTTTGCGCCGGGCGGTTGTGTGGCCTTGGTAGATGAATTTTAACGGGCCCCACCAAAAAGGAATGGAGCGGGGGTACCTGAAGGGTTCGGCGCGACGGCGGAACGAAAGGCCGGGCAGAATGGCGTACCTGATGGACCGGGCTCAGGTTCGATCTAAGCCCAGTTGGGAAGCAGGGCAGGAACGAGGAACCCAACAGCTGGAAGCAAGCTCGAGGAAAGCGCGGGGGCTGGGACACTGCATGCTGTGCACCTCTGACCTCATTCCTCCCCATTTCATTGGATCGCATTAGGCTCAACCCGCTTGCGGTGAAGAGTACTTCGCTGTCCCACACAGCCGCACCAAATTTGTGCTGCCAATGCCGACTTCTTGGAGTATCTTCATGCGCGGCCAGTTACAGCAGCCCTTTACCTTTCGCTGACGCCCGCATCCTGCGCCGAGCATCGCCTGAGCTCAGGCCAAAGGTCCAGTGGCTGCAAGACGAGAGCCTGGAGGCTGCTGTTTGCTGGCTGCATAATGCTTGCTCTCCTTCATATCAAGCCCCTCAGAATGTGCTGCAGCCAGCTGGTTGTTTGAACTGTCTTTGATTGCTGAAACATCCCATTTACCTTTTGTCCCATCCGTAGAGTTTTCGGGTTTCCCTAAACATATTTATCCCACGGGTACCTGTGCCTAAATAGCTCAGTTCCTTACCTCGTCTCATCTTCTCCCAAAAGCCCCTCCCGCCTTGAAAACGACCCGCGCTGCTTTACGACGTAATACGCCCGAAAAAGAACTCAAACAGCCGGTTGAAGATGCCTCCCCGATCGAGCAACCCCAGACAATCCGTTGCTTCGCATAGATCGACACTATCGCTGTCAAAGACCGAAGTGACGATCCACGTCTATGATCTGCTTCCTGTAAGTTGCTGGACCCACCGCATGCTTGATACCGTCACTGCCTGCTAACCGAGTCGCCTCCAGCCGGGAAGGTTATCCTCTGTTCTCTGGACTGTCGGCGCTTCTCTCCTTCATTCGGGCGTCGTTATCAATGGCAGAGAGTATGCATACGGCGGACATGAGCGACGTGGAGTCACGGGAGTCTACTGGACAAAGCCCAAGACCGAACCGCCTGGCGGCACGTTCAAGTCCGAGATCCTCCACGGATTCACCTTTGCGACCCAGGCCGAAATCGATGCGATACTGGAGGAAGCATCGAAGGAGTTTCTGGGCACTTCCTACAACCTTTTGACCAAAAACTGCAATCACTTCACCTCGTACCTATGCAAGAAGCTGACCGGACGTCCCGGTCCCGGCTGGCTGAACCGTGCGGCAAGCATTGGTGTCGCGTTACCATGCGTCGTCCCCCGAGACTGGATCGACCCACCCGAGTACGATACCGCCGACGGCGCGCTCTTGGAGGAGGACGACGACCATGCACACGAAGGCTCTAGGATGCTGAAGCAGTCGCCGCCGAGTTTCCTTACCCAGAACTCAAAGGGCCAAGACGAGGATGCCGACTGGAACAGCGACGAGGAGCGCCGCCGCGGTGGTAACGGCAAGGGCAAGAAGGCAGTAAGGGACTCTGCAGGGCGCGATCTGCCTGCAGCAGAGAGGGCCCCTGATCGGAAGTAAGGCCATGGTCGAGAACGAAGGTACGAGCCATGGTCATATTTGGCGTTACGGATCTGGCGTTTTTCTTGGTTTGGACGGCGTATAGCACTTGATACCAATGGGGTTGGAAATCTGCATCTCGACGTAAACATCCGAATGCAAGCAAAGTTGCTCTTGCGATATATAGTACAGTTGTACACGTATTGTACATGTGCATGTTTGTCTGTTTCCTCCACGTCTTCCAGCCGCCACATGCCCTTCTCCTTAGACACGTCTCGGGTTCTTGCTCTTCGTTCCACCAAACTTCAACCTTGTCGAGTCGGCCACTCGGATGACTTTGCTTCTCCAGAGCTTGCCTTCGGGGGCCATGAGCACCTTGACTGCCGCATCACGTCCGACACCGAATCCTCTCAGCACAACCTCGAGCTTGTTGATCTTCTTGTGCCATCCGGCGTAGTTCAATCTCTCAAGGACATACGCTGTCAATTGGTATGCCGCATCGTAACCCTTTCTCTTGGATTTCTTGAAGCCTATGTTGCCGGTCGACAGGGAGATGATGGCCCCGCGGTCGGGTTTCGTGACTGTGACGTGTGTGTTGTGCTTGTGGGAGTAGACGTGCATATGGTATGGCTCCATAAGGTCTTCTTGTTCGGGGACGAGCTCCTCGAGTCCTGAGCCGGTGGCGCCGAGGGTGTTGGACTTCCTGCCCGCAGCACGGTTCAGGGTGTCGATCAGCAGACTCTGGGACTCGCCGGACGTGCTCGGCTCTGAAGAAGTTGTCGTCGTTGACGCTTGCGAGCGCGAGCCGTACATGGCGGCAAGGAGCTCCTGGCCTCCTTTCTTCGCATCATCGGCGCGTGGTGCTGGTGTCTGGGAGAAGGGTCGCAGGAGGGCAGGAGAGTATCGCGTAATCGGTGATGAGCGAGCGGCGTTCTGGAAGAGGGATCTCGCCAGGAGGCGAGTCGTTGGTGCGGAGCTCATCGCGAGATTCGTAGCCTTCCTGTCGCAATTGGGAGAGCCTGCAATGTGTCGATGGCCCGTGAAGTTTTCAGAAATTTGGCAAGCTCTCGTTGAAAGTCTGGAGACATTGACGCTGTCTGATTGGTTCCGAGGGCAGCAGGGGGGCCGGGTCCTCTTCGGTAGAACAGGGGCCCAGATTTTTCCGCGCTCCGCCTTCAACCGAAATCGCAGAGCTCGCAAGTCTGGACCCCGTCCTGTCGCGAGCCAAAATTTCTCTGCACCTTTGCTCGCCCCCGAATCGTCATCCGCATCTCTCTTTCGCCCCTCTCCCTTTTCCCTTTTTCTGTCGCTTTTCTCATCGTCGGGAGGCGGCTGGCTTGGAATCTCACACATTATGAACTCTTTCGTGCAGTCGGCGAGGAGCAATCCTCAGAATGCTCTCGTCAGAGCTTCCGCGCGAGCGGTCCAAATCCACGGTAGAGCGCCTGCGTACCGCCGGTTACTTTCAACAGAGCTCAGTGGCAACGCTGCGCTGGCATTTTCACGACAACCCTCCGCATTCCGACCCACCCCACTGCGATCGCAGTTCCTCCCTGAAGATGTTCGCTCCATCTCAAGCTCGATGCAGTCGCGCTCTTTCCACCTGACGGCCCGACAGCTCCAGAAGCAGCAGACCGAAGAGCCCAAGACGCCCGAGGATGCCGCAAAGCCCACCGAGGAGACAAAGACCAAAGAAGCTGATTCGGAGGCAAAGGAGGAGGCCTCCGAGAAGAAGGAGGGTGAGGAGAAGACCGAGGGAAAGGAGGAAGGCCAAGAGGGTGAGCAAAAGCAAAAGAAGGAGGATGCGCCGCCCCACCGCCCCACGGCGATAAGACTCCTTGGGAGGTCTTCAGAGAGACGCTGCAGACCGAGTTCAGCAAGTCCAAGGAGTGGAATGAATCGACAAAGGCTCTCTCTGGTGAAATTCAGGACTTCGCGGAGAGCGAGAGGGTCCGCAAGGCTCGCGAAGCCTACGAGAAGTCTTCTGGTGCCATTTCGTCCGCAGCGACCAGTGCCGTCAAGACCACTGCTGGAGCAATTGGCAAGGGTGCCGCCTGGACCTGGGATACCACCGCGATGAAGGGCGTCCGCAAGGTTGCCAATGTTACAGGAGACGTCCTCGACAAGGCGACGAAGCCCATCCGGGAGACCGAGGCGTACAAGAACGTTAAAGATGTCATCGATGACGGCAGCAGCTCCCGCTATGGTGGTTGGGTCGAGAAGGAGGAGCGTAGGAAGAAGCGTGAGGCTGAGGCGCTCAAATCTGGCAAGCCTGAGGTCTTCGAGGAGGACCCCAAGTAAGTTGACCGATACTGTTGTTCGCAGCATGTAACTGACCTCACCAAAGCGCCGGCACCAACGTTACACTTCACAAGGACGCCGCCTGGAAGGAAGCGTGGAGGGACTTCAAAGACTCCAACAAGTTTGCTCAGGGTTTCTTCAGCGCCGGAAAGGTGTACCGCGAATCCGACAACCCCCTCATCGAGACCGCACGACTGGTCACGGACAAGATTGGAGGCTGGTTCGCCGAGAACGAGACCGCACAGGTCATCAAGAAGTTCCGCACAATGGACCCCAACTTCCAGACGGAACCCTTCCTGAGGGAGCTGCGCGAGTACATTCTGCCAGAGGTCCTCGACGCCTACGTCAAGGGTGACATCGAGACCCTCAAGCTCTGGTTGTCCGAGGCCCAGTACTCCGTGTACGAGGCCCTGACCAAGCAGTACCTCACAGCCGGCCTGAAGTCTGACGGCAAAATCCTTGACATCCGCCACGTTGACATTGTCCGCGCGCGCATGCTCGAACCCGGTGAAATCCCCGTCTTCGTCATCACCTGCAGGACACAGGAGGTTCACGTCTACCGCAACGCCAAGTCTGGGGAACTTGCGGCCGGCATGGAGGACAAGGTGCAGTTGGTGACATACGCCATCGGTATCACTCGTGTGCCGGAGGACGTCAGCAACCCCGAGACGAGAGGATGGCGTCTCATTGAGATGCAGAAGAGCGGAAAGGACTACTACTAAAAAAACAAAGACCCACCACAATCACCGACATAGCCCTTACTTTTTGGGTATTATGTTTTTCTCTCAACTGTAAACGCGAGGCAGGCTTGAGGATGTTGGACGATGAACAAACACCCCTCCCCTCGCAACCTTTTAGCCGACAAAAAAGTGTTTTATTACTTGTACAAAATAGACCGGGGGGCATATGGGAACTGGCGAACATTGGGCGATGCTGCTGCAATGGGGAAGCGTGGTCGGCCGGGTAAAACAACCAACACCGCTCTTGAAGGCTATATGTGTACGTGTAGAAGAAAAGATGTCTTTCATGTAGGAGAGACGATTACCATACTTGCGATGTAATACCACGAGAACGAAGCGTCCTCACCCCAAACTCTGAGATATCTCAGTCCTTCCCGTCTCCCACCCGCCGTGTCTTGAACGTGCCCTCTTCATTCTGCTCCGCTTCATCCTGCAACTGGACTCGTCTCCTCCTAGCCTTGCTCTTGTCCTTCTCGTCCTCGATTTCCCTCTCCCTCTCCTGTTCCTTTCTCAACGTCGTCCTAACCTCCATCAACACCTTCCCCAGCAAGTTCAAACCCCAACAGCTCCGATCCGACGCCGGCGCTTTCTCGGGACTGAACCCGATGCCCCAGATGCGATCCAACGGGCTTGCCTCAACCAGCTCTCGCTCGCCCGTCGCCAGCAATTTTTCCTTTAGCTCCGGCGCACAGCGGAACTTGAGTAGGTTTCCTTCTCGGACAATACGCTCCCTGTTGGCGTTCCACAACGCCTCGTCGAAGCCCTTGACCTTGCGGCCGAGCGTCTTGACTTTGCGCGGGTGGTCTGCTTTTAGAACGGAGAGCGCGACGTCTGCGTCGGAGAAGAGAAGGGCCTTGTCGTGCATCATGTAGTGCTCTGCCGTCTTGAAGGTGATGGGCGGTGATGCGGGTGAGGACGGAGAGGTAAAGGGGTCTTTGGTCCACCATTGAGAGAGGTAGCCTTCTTGGCCGGTTTCGCGCCAGAAAAATATTGGCGATATGTCCATCTTGAATTTGAACGCGAACATGAATCTTTTCTTCTGAACTGACCGATCTACGGTGTGAGGATTCGGTACGGTCATATGTAGACGAGGCGGCGGTACAGCTGTGTCGGGCGGCATAGCTGTCTGCCTAGCTGAGTGTTAGTTCCGCCGCCGGATGAGTCAATCTAGTTTGAGGCTTCAACACCAAATCCATTCAAGGTTAGGCGAGGCGAACAGCTGAGATCACCACTGACTCAACACATGCGGATTGACTGAAACATAACCCAGTGTCGCTCACGAGCAGAATAGTACGTTTATTGGAACGTGTGCACTCTCCCCGTTCAATGGCCTCTTCATCCTCACGATGCAGCTAACTTAGACAGAAGTCGAGAGCAAAACAGCAAGCTGCTCATGCCTCTTGACAGCATCATCGAAGCTCGGCACCTCTGCCCCCTCTCCCTCGGCGAAAGCCTCGTAACCGGCCCCGATGCACCTCGCGGGCACGGGCAACTCATTCTGCCAATCCGCCCATTGCCACGCAACCCGCTCGACCTTGTCGCTCTCAAAGTCGTGGACCTGGATCCGGACCCCGTCGCCATCCGCGAACGCCTGCAAGGCCGCGCTGTCCTGGGACGTGAGGCGGATCTCACCCTTTTCGCCGTTGATGGTCCACTCGAGCTGCGGTTCGCCGGGGAAGGGCTGGCCGCGGCGGAAGCGGAGAAGGAGCGTGGCGTCTGGGACGGCGAAGTCTGAGGAGAGGGTTGCGGTTGCGGTGACGAGGTCGGGGACGTTGGATGGGACCGTTTCAACGATTTCCTGGGTTGAAGGGTCGCGGATTCTGATGTTTGGTCGTTGAGTCTGAAGACGGCTGTGCTGGATGTCCGCTTCGCCCAAGACGTGTTGGATTTGGTCAAACACTGAGATGTCGCGTTAGCCAGTCATGCACACAGCGGACGAGAGGACCGCTTGACCTACCGTGTCCGAACCCGATGGTGACCATGTTCCCTCCAACCTCTCGCTGGGCAAAATACTTCAACCCGACTGGCAAGATCTCCCGATCGTTGGAGCCGCCAGTAACCCTAAGCTCACTACTTAGCACTTTTCCGATCCGTCCCTCCTTCAGCAGCTCACGAATCTTCAACACCGTCGGCGCAAACCGCCCCTGCACCCCCACCGCCGTCCGGGCCCCGCTTTCCCGCGCCGCATCCGCCAACTCCCGCGCATGCTCGACGTCCTGCGCTAGCGGCCACTCGACATAGACGCTCTTCCCGGCCTTCAAGCTCGGCAGCGCAGTCTCGTAGTGCTGGTCGACGCGCGTCGAGACGACCACGAAGTCGACGTCGGGGTCCGCCGCCAATTCGGCGGGGCTGCCATAGGCCTTGGTCTCCGCGGGGAGGTCGTAGGCTTTGATGGCGCGACGGGCAGCCTCGGCGGTCGAGTTGCAAAGGGCCGTGATGGTGTACTTTGAGCGGCCGAGCGGGGAGAGGAGGTAGGGGAGATGGGCGCGGCTAGCCCAAGCTGTTGTGGCGCTGGACGAGAGTCCAATTATGCCGAGGCGGATGGGTGCCATTGTGAGGATTGGTTTGGTGTCTAGGGATCAATGATTCGAAGCTGTTGAGCTGCGTATGAGGTCATTGGAGAGAGTCATGAGTGAATGATATATAGGTGAACTTGTAGGCATGATGGTGTGATTGCTGGATTTGTAAGCTCCACAGGATGACAAGCGTATTGGTGTAACTTGGTTGGTCGCGGGGTGGCAGCCTTCTTGGTAATCTGCTTGGTTTTGAATCTGATTTAAAATCTTCCCCTCAAACCGAGTGGACAATTCTTTCATGGGATCGCTCGAAATGCCGTGGAAATCCTTCGTAAAAGTTCCGGCTTCCTGCGGGCGCGGTCCGCATCTCATGACCAAAATGGATTGGAGGAGGACAGAACGACCACGTTCTCAACGTGCCAACAGCCTTGGTTTGTAACAAGCTGCTTCAGTCTGGGAATTTGTAAGCTTTATCGAGCTTCTGATCGAGATTGTTGATGTATGGAAATTCAATGTGTATGGGGCTTTATCTGAAGTCTCTGGTACTACTTGAGCATCTTTGTGGTTGAAGTTCGTAGCGCTAAATGCGGCATCGAAATATCACATTTCGAAACACACAATGTATGACGCCAAGTTGGCTTCGTATCTTGAGATGCCTGAGTATCCGGCGTGGGTACGTTGGATGAAAAGAACAGTTCATCTTGCAGCAACAGCACATCTCCAAGATTATGAGGACGCAATTGTCGAATAGGAAGAGTCAAGGAGTGATATTCGTGTCTTGTTCCAATCGTCGGCTTAACCCCACAGGCGACTGGATGGAAATACAAGCATAAATACGGAGGAGCAGAGGACACGACGAGAAAGTGGATGCATGAAACAGGCGCAGGAATCATACTGCATACAAGGAAATGAGCAAGCCATATGAGAACGCACTTGTAGCCTGTAGAAGTACTTCACTAAAGTCTTGGTGAAAACAAACACGCCCGTCATAGCCTTGCTGACGGAGAGTCTCAGTGGACTGTGGATCCTTCCTTTTGCGTTCCTTGCTAACCGTCCAATTGACACAGGATACTCCCAGAAGTAGTTAATCAAAGTGACTTTCAGATCGATTCACTGAGTTCCAGCTTCATGCTCTAACAGTAAAGCCCCAACCTGTCGCTTGGCAGCGATCATGGATCATGACAATAAACACATAGTAAATTGAGATCTCTAAGCAAGAACCTGCTCAAGATTCCTCAGACTCTTGATCCTCGGAGGGTGGCTTGCCCAAGATGCCTGGGCCGCCTCGTTGAGATGGATGCAGAAAATACCTCCAGCCATCGCTGGCTCCATATCCCGCAACTCACTATCCCCCACATAAACCATGTCCGCAGCAGTGATCCCGAGGTGACTCAAAACTTTCGGGAACAGCCCTTCAGTTTTTGGTAATCCAAAGTAGTTCGTCGTGGCAAGGAAATCGATATGGTCGGCAACACCCAAGTTCCGCACCGTCCGTTCCTGCGCATCCTGCGGTCCTTCTGTGATGACTGCAATCTTCTTCCCCATCCCTTTCAAAGTCTCCAACGTGATCGCCGCCCCTTCTTTGAGTTGCAGTGACTGGTTCAAGGTGGTTTCGTACACCTCCAGAAGCTCGTCCAAGAAGGCATCATCCTGCGGCAAGGAGAATCGCTCCAACAATGATGCGAATCTCTCCCTCCGGTACTCGAACGAGGTCTTCCCTTCAGAAAAGGCGCCGGCGGTCTTTTCATGGAGGATCTTGGTGTATTCCTCCTTCAGAGATACCCAAGGGGTCTGGTGCCGCTGGGAGACCACCTCTAGGGTCTTGCTGGTTGCGGCGGTGGAGGCACGGCGGAACTCGTGTAAGGTATCGTCGAGGTCGAAGCCGAACCAAGATTTCTCAGCTAATATAGCTTTCAAGCTATCATCTTTAGATTCGCTCATCTTGTGACTGCTGCGAGGTTGCACCTCGGGATGGGAAAAGTTGGGTTGCAAAGAGACATTCTGTTTTGATGGCGCAATTCATGGGCAAGGTGCGGAGACCGGCGGAGCCCGCAGGTCGTTAGATCCCCTGATCGAGTCAGCTGGTTCCAAGGCTTGACGCTCTAATTCATACAAAGCACCAAGTGTAGTTCAAAGAGGTCAGAGTCACTTGCAAATATTTAATTACCAAACCGGTATCCTATGTACCCATATGCCATATCCAGCATGCTATTGCCTAGCAAAACCCGCGGCATATGAACTAGTAATGTACAATGGCCTGTATTACCTCCTCACAGCATCTCATCGCCTCCGATGCTCTCATCTGCTTCACTGATATCGTAACCCATCTCCCTTGCATTCTCCACTCTCTCGCTGGCTACACGCGCGGCATGCCACGCATCCCACTTGGCCTTGTCTTCTGATGACTCAACCAGCGGCTTCGATAATCCCTTCTTGCGAAGGCGGCGGCGGTGCTGCCGCTTTTGGTAGAAGTCAAGAGTGCTCATGTCAACAGTGGTAATATCGGTACCGGTGACAAAGTCGACGGCGTCTGCCCAGAGATCTGAAGCATCTTCAGAGACCTGATTAGCGACTTGGCGGCCCCACCCATTTGTAGCCCACTCGTCGAGCTTCACTGGAATGGCAACACCCCAGGTAGGGTCTGTTGATGACCACACACATGGTGTTGAGGAGCAGGCGGCAGGCCGACAGTAAAGCTCGCACATGGCGGACTCGGCAGCGTACCACAGTGAGACGATGAGGAAGACCAGGCCAACGAAAGTCAGGCGGAATGGCTTGCGCTTGTAAAGGCTCGGCACAGGAAGGTGAAGGTAGGAAACCTCCTTGACAGGAGTTGCTCGGATACAATCCGGACAGTCGCGAGCGTGATCCGGGTGGTGCTGATGGAACGACGTATTTTCTACTCGCTGCTTCTCTGAGGCCTCCTTGATCGCCATCCGATCGCCTTGTTTGCCTTCAGCATGGGATACCTGCCCTTCCAGGCGCTCGATACCCTGCTTTGCTGTCCGGATGTTCAGGAGCCCATCTTTCAATGTCTTGCTCATTCTGTCGTATTGTTCCAATTCGCGATCTCGTTCGGTCTTTGACAGGTTTGGCTTGGCCGCAACTTCCTCTCGTTTTATCGAGATCTCGTCAAGCATAGATTCGATCTCGGGGGGAGGGGCGTCTTGAAGTTTCTGCAAGTTGAACAGTTCTTCGAAGTCGTCAAGAGTTGAGTCCTCAATCTGATGTATGCGCTGAAGCTCCAAGAGATCGTCCTTGACAGTCGGTGGCTTGACCGAGTTGGTTAGAGGACGACGTGGCCTCGAGGATGACCTGGTGCGACGCCGCAGTATGGAGGTCGTGGCGGTTCCTGCGGACTCCGTCATAGGCTCTTTGCGATCGCTTGCTTCGGGACCCGATTCGCCGAATGTGGGAAAGGACGGTGCCCATGATGAAGGGCGCGAGCCTCTACGACTTGGGGGTCTGCTGTGGCTTGCAGTTGAAGTCGTTTCAGGCCTGGTCAAGGGTTTGATGTCTTCCTGGATGCGTTCGACTCGGGCCGTGGCAGGCGTCTCAACATAGGCGCCCGTTACTTTAGGAGTGGGAAGGGACAGCGGATCAACCTTGGTAGGTCGAGGAGTTTCGTCGGCGAGGTCCTTATCCTCATCCTCGGTGACAGGCTCAGCCGAGGGTGCTCTCACCGATCCTCGTTCAGATTGGTTGTCAATAGGCGCAAACAGTTTCATCTCTTGTTCGATGCGGTCAGTGGGATCGCTGTCCGATGAAGCCAAGCTCTTTCGACTGTCCTTAGCAGAATCGGTCGAGCGCTGACGTCGTTCTCGGCGTCGTCCTGCAAATTCCACGTTGGACTTCGGTCTCTCTGCTTCTGATAGCTTTGGTCCATCCGTAGGACTTGGTCTCTGATCGTCTGCCTTCTCGGTATGAGCTGATTCGGGAGCTTTAGTGTCGAGACTGGGTTGCGGCGGATCAACCTTCGGTGCCGACTCTAGAACCGGCTTTTCGGACTCACTTCTACGCTCGCTTCTGCGTCGTCGAAATCCGGCCTCCTTAAGGGGTTCTTCCTCTGTTTCTGTCTGTTCCACCACAGCCGCTGTGTCCTTGATCTTGCCCTCGGGTTCGTCCGGTTGGTGACTCTGAAGACTTGCATAATCACGCCGGCTGACCTTATCCTCGCCACGTCTCTCCACCTTCTCGCTACCGTCACTGTCAAGTTTCTTCACCTCGTTTGTGACTGCGGCTTGGTCTTGAGTCTCGGAGCCAGGGCTGCTGCTAGCAGCTCTCGCAAGTCTCTGAAGTAAGTCCCTAGAGTCTGTCCTCGTGTGTGATATCTGGGGCAGCGCAGATTTGGGGCTTGCCACGTCCTTCCGAGTCTCCTTTGGAGACGTGCCATGCGACTTCCTCTCATTGGAAGTCATATAGCTGTGGTACACAGTGACTGGGGTATTGGGTATATGCTCGCCAGCCTCCTCTGCTGCATCTAAATCCTCCCCTTGTGTTTCGCGAACAGGCGTCGAATCTCTGACAAACTCGCTGCTGCGCCGAGCCTCTGGCGACATAGACCTTGACATGGAGTTTTGCTCCCGGATTTCCTCTAGTCGGCTGGAAGCCATGGCCTTCTTTGACAAGGACTCAGCTTCTCGCGCGCGTATATCGTCAAGCTTCGTGTTCTTCGGCCGGGGCCGTTCCTCCGCATCTTCGTGAACCGGAAGGTCGTCGGGAGTTGGGTAATGTGAACGCAGCTGGGCCCTTGACTGCTTAGCCATCTCAGCTTCAGCCTCAGCTTCTCTCTCACTGATTCCTTGCAGCTTCATGTTCCTAATTCGCGACTGCCGCTTTCGTTGCTCCGTGAGCTCTGCGTTAGCCTCTTCTTCCCGCTGGCGGATCTCGTCAATCCTATTGTTCGACCGCCCTGCTCTAGTAGTGGTCCCGATTGGTGAGTTCCACCTGGAAGATCCGTCCGCGTCGGGGCCAACGGAGCTTCTTGGGTCAGTGTATGCGCTGCTGGCAGGGGTTCGTCGATTCGAGACTTCGCTGAACGCCGCGCCACCCATTGTTATGCGTGGGCTGTCCGAAACTTGCAAGTCTCCTGCTGTGAAATCTGCATCGAGCTGCCAGGCATAGCTCTTCTCCGGTGACAACATTTCCGGGTTCGCAGAAGCCGGCCGAGACGTTGGTGGGGTAGGTTCCTGTGGAAGAGCAGCTGCCTCGATGGAGGGGAGTGGCGTGTCGGCCGCGCTTTCCTCGCCTGACTTCGCGCCGATGGATCGCTTAATACCCATTTCATCCTGCTGCAAGAGTTCCTTGATTCGGCCTTCGGGGACGTGACTCTTTGCGAAAGCCCCGGGACGGGGATTGTTGCTCAGACTACCATAGCTTGTTCTCCTACCCAAGTTCTGGCCGCCATTCAAGCTGCTGTTGCTCGCCCTTCGACCCAGGCTCTGGGCTCCGTTAAGGCTGCTGCTGCTTGTCCTTCTCGCCAAAATGTGTCCTGTCTCGGAGATTCTAGGTCCTGTTTTGTTTTTGCCGAAGAGGTTGTCTGTCTCCCGTGAAGCGCTCGGCGATTGGCTTATCTCGCGCTCGTACTGACTGAGGCGACGGTCAAAGCTTCCGGAGCTCGAGAGACTGTTTTGCGATCCGGGGCTGCTTCCATATCGCGCTACATAGTTGTCGCGCAAAGAGTCGCTCGACAGTCTTGAAAGGGGTCTGGGGCGGGCGTAGTCGACTGCATCTTTTCCCAACGTTCGTCGTGTTTTGGCGTCGTCGTGAGTCTGTCGGCTGATGTAGGGCCGCGGAGCAGGACTGGGGGACGCGTCAATAGCGGGAGAGGCTCTTCGCGCCCTTTCAAGAGTATGGACGCGGTTCTCGTCCGCCAGCTTCCAAGCCTCAGCGACAGAGGCACCCGTGCCTTTGGCAAATATTCCGATTGTCGATTTGGGTCGTGGTATACGGGAGCCGGGAGAGCTGATCTCAGCGGAATGGTTTGAGTTGATCGAGGGTGTCTGCGAAGCAGAGCTTGATGGTCGTGGAATCGCGGCTCGTGAAGGTGGGCGACCAGTCAGATTGCCATTAGGATTGGTGTTGTTGTTCGTTGGCGAGTAGCCAAAGCGATTGGTTCCTAGTATCGTCTGCGCAGGATTGCGCGGTTCGAGGCTCTCTCTCGACGATTTGGAGAACAAAGGTTTTCGGCCCTCTTCATCGATGGTCAACTGAGTAGAAGCGCGACGGTTCGAGCGTGCGCCGAAAGCGTAGGAAGGAGATCGGTTATGGTCCATAGCGACGTCGGTTTGCGCCCACGTTGTTGAATGAGTGACAGGCTTAAGCTGCGCAGAGCTGCATTATTTTGGTTTGCGATTTGGTGAAAGGTCGCGTCATATCAGTTTTAGACGCGTTCGCTGTGGCGAAATAAACTGAGACAAACTGTCAAGTTGTAGAAGGCATTGCCGCCGTATCAATTCTCATCTTCGTCAGGGGAAATGTATTGCGCAAATGAAAAGGCCAATATTTGGGCCGGAGCACGAGAAAGTGGTGAACCGCGTCTTGCACTGGGAATTGACCAGGGTCACCCTAGGCTTCTTTCCCTCCTGGGCTAACCCCCACATGGCCCCTCCTAATCTCGGATCGGAAAAACGTCGGCGTGCATGACTAATCGGCAGCAGCCGGTAAGCATGGGGTTAAGCTCCAAGACAGCTGGCTGATCTGGACCCAGCCGTTTGGAAAAACGGTCCACTTGGAATGACGTGGAAAGACGTTGGACAGTGCCAAATGGCGTTTCTATTGATATGTTTCTTTTCAATAGCTGTTGGATTCAGTGCAGCAATTACCCGATGATCTCGCAGGTTCCAGATGCTCTGCTGACCTCTATTGAAGGCCTCCACAGCTCATTACCATTCATATCCCAAGCGAAGATTACGTCGGCACGGCACACCTCATCGAGTCTCCCCTGTCCAGTGATCCGGTGGAAGCACGGCTAAGCCGGGAAGCTATGCCGTTTCTGGACAGGTTCTCCTGGCATCCAGGGAAGAATGCAGGGGCCGCCAAACATATACAGAGCTTGATGCAATAAAGCGGAGGATCGCCAACTGCAACCCACCGTCTCGTTGTTCACGCATAATCCCTCGTTGTTCCGTCTTGTGAACATCGGTACCAGAACATCGGTACCAGAAAGACTGTCGCCAATTGGCCCTGCCAGTGTCCATCGCACACCATGAAGTCCCAAGCAGCCGCCGTACGGCCATGCGGCAACATGTACCGTCTGAGGGATCCATTTGTTGTTGTGCTGAAGTCTGACAACGTCTAGGGAGAGGTACTCAACTGCTCGTCATTCACTGGGCTTGTACCGATGCGTCTCAGTGACGTGCCGGTACGCTGTCCCACCTGGCATCGGTCTCCAAAAGCTCAAGACCGAGCTGCGCCAAGCTGTAGCGCAAGTCATCATGGAGCAACCTTTCATGCGCGTCGGCATCGCTGATGAAGACAAACAAGCCCCTTGTTACGTCCATGTTCCGCGAATCGACCTCTCAGAGCAGGTCCAGTGGTTTGGGCCATCCCACCCAGACGCAGTGGATGCAGCCCTTTGCAAATACCTCTCTTTTCAGCACGATCAACTATGGCTACATCTTGATCAGCGTCCGCCCTGGAAAATTGCCGTCATACCCATCGAAACAATTCAGGGCTCTCCAACCGAGATTGAGGTCGTCTACTCCTTTCATCATGCCGTCGGCGATGGCACAAGCGGTTCCATCTTCCACAAGCGGCTCCTTGACGCACTCAGCAATCCAGTCGTCATTTCGGGACTTGAGGCAGACCAGCTCAACTTCCCAGAGCCACCGGTATTGCCTAGACCGCAGGATCAACTTATTCATGGCCGGATCAGCTGGTCGTACTTTCTCTGGGAGTTGTGGGGTGCCTTCGGTCCTTCATGGCTGAAGACTAAACCTGAGGTTACTCCTTGGAAAGCTCGCACCATCGATCTATCCATGCCTTACCAAACCAGCGTTCGCATTCTGCGGGTTCCTGCTGTGACCGCAACTGAGCTATTGGCGGCCTCTCGGGCTCACTCTATGACTCTGACACCATTGTTTCATGCACTTGTCGCCGCCTCGCTTTCTCGCCACCTTCCCGCCTCTGAGGCTCCTGCCTTTGAGTCAAGTTCAGCTATTAGCTTGAGACGGTTTGTCCCTGCAGCCACGGGACTCGATGTAGACAACCAAATGTCGGTTCTCGTCACATCAACAGATCACCCGATATCCGAGGCGCTGACCGCGAATATCCGAGGATCCCGTGGACCAAATTTCGAAAAAGCAGTTTGGGACGTCGCAGCTTCTGTCAAAAGGGATCTTCAAGACAGGCTAGCAACTTTGCCTCATGACGATATTACAGCCATGTTGAAGTACGTCAGCAACTTTCACGAGTTCTTCACAACGAAGAACGGCTGTGAGCGTGGCAACAGCTGGGAGGTTAGCAACCTGGGTGCTATCAGTGGCGGCACCATCGAAGGGAATTGGAAGCTGACCCGTGCTGTGTTCTCACAGTCAGCCATGCCAGTGGGAGCTGGCTTTGGTGTTAATGTCGCAGGCATAGCCGGTGGAGAAGTCACCGTCACACTGACTTGGGATGAATCTGTCATAGACTCGGCTCTGATGGAAACGCTGGCCACAGACCTCGAAGCATGGACGCAACAGCTCGGGGCCGGCGTGTCCCTTTAGCAATACGATACTCGCCTAATTAGTTAGTTCTCTTGTCTATTAGGAGTAACAACGTCTCTGAAATAGAGACCAAACTATGATGGCAGAAAGATCAAACACCGTGCAGTCACAGAACTTGAAGGGTCCATAGACTTGAGGGCCTTAAGGATATCAGGTACGGACTAATCGTTACGTGTTTGGCTATCGAATGAATGTTCTGGCTATACACATTCTACTTGTGCTGAAGGTTCTCTTTTAGGACAAATAGTAAGAGTCTTCAGTGTAACCAAAGCCAAGGATTGCCTAGTTCTAACATCTTCGCACGCCGGACATGAGTCTAGTTGTTGAGCAGATTGGATTCTGCTACCGACTCTCGTTATCCCTCGCTTTGCTTGGCTTCGACCGAGGCATTGGTAAGTGGGTCCACTTTGCGGTCGGCCAATGGATCCACCAGCGCCTGGGAACCACGACAAATCGGCGACTGACATGTCTCAAATGTCCTCACTTACCGATGGTTAATGTCCTTCGAAGGCAACTGCTTTGTCTGTTTTTAAATGCGTCGTCTCTCAAGAAACTCTAAGTGAATCTATTTGTATTGAACATTACCTGCTCAAGATCCACGTCGGCCTCCGCGGACATGGAGGACCGGGCCAATGCGTCCTCCGCGACCCCGTTCCAAGATCCCTTTCCTACTCTGCGTGCCTTCTTATTTAAGTCTGTTTGGAAAAAGAGTTGAAATTTCATATGGCGTAACTGACTGAGTAGTTCTAAGTTGTCCGTTTGCCTGTCTTCGTCCCATACCACACTTAGACCCCTTGCGATGGCGTCCAATCAAGAATACTCACCAGCAAAGTTGCTTGAAATTGCGACAACCGATGTCCGGTCCCCACTCCAACAATCCGACTATGTCTCAATCCTCTCAAAGCCTCCATTCCTGTCAGTTCCCGGGACGTTCAATACCAGAGACATTGGCCAAGTCCCCGGCAGCGCCATCCGGCCAGGCCTCGCTTTCCGCACTGGTTCTCTCGAAAGCCTCAGCAAAGACGGCGAAAATGTCATCACTCAGCAGCTCGGGATTAAAAGAATCTTTGATTTAAGATCAGAGAAGGAGAGAATAAAGTACCCTGAGCCGGAGATCCCGGAAGTGGAAAACGAATGGATTCCCAATTCATACATCAACACCGTCGACGTCAAGGACTTTGCTAGCGGCGGTGGTGAAGAGGGCTACTGCAAAATGTACATGGATATCATGGAAGTCTACGCTCCCACTTTCAAGGCGGTTCTGGAGCATGTGAGAGACCGGCCGAACGAGCCGTTTCTTTTTCATTGCGCACGTAAGTCGAGCCTCCAATTTTATCAATCGCGGGAAACTACGGCTAACTTGCTTGGGGCGCTGAAAAGTGGGACGTGACAGAACTGGCATTGTGGCTGAAATGCTATTATCCCTTGCTGGTTCCGACAATGAGACTCTCACCCTGGACTACATGATGACACGCATCGGGTCGGAACCACTTCGTCAAGTCTTGCTCGAGAGGGCGATTCAGGACAATGGGGCTGAAAGAGGACTTGACGATGGACCCTTTTACAACCTCTGCAGCCTGAGAGTCTCGTCATGGGAGCTGTTTGTGGAGCAGATAAACAGCAAGTATGGTGGCTTCGAGGGGTATGCCACGAGAAGACTAGGATTTTCTATAAACGATTTGGAGAAGATTAGAAACAACTTAAGGGCTAGACACATTTGAGGACTTGTTCATCATGATTGACAAGTCCCGAACAGATTAGAGGTACATTCGCATATGTGCGCTTCCAGAATCCTGGCGACTTCTTCGTTCATATGCATCTCATCGTCTCATGATAAACATCTGACTGGAACCAAGCCCATGCGCCAACAGTTCCCATCGTCCCAAGAGATGAGGCCAAGTCCTCGTTAGAGTGTTACTTGCTCCAGAGGCACAGTCGGATCAGAGCCTTGGGAAGCCCGGTTGTTAAACGCTTCTGTAATTCAGGGGTATCAAATGCACATGTTTCCTCCTCCTACTTACGCTTTCTCTTCCTCATTTCGCTTTAACCTTCCGAATGACGACTCTTTGTCCATCAAGCTCCCAACCGACACCATGATCCCTCGTCAATGCCTCCCAACCCTCCCCAGCACATTTCTCCAACCACTCCTGGTCAACAGCAAGATACGTCCTCCCAAAACACTTCAACACGTGTGTTCTCATCTCCGCTTCAGCAAATTCCAACAGCTTCGCTCGATGACCATCAACACTCCTCTTCACCCTCCGGAACGCGACATAGTTGTCATGGGCCAGCGCTGCCAATACCGCGTCGACTTTGGCGTCGCGCAACCGGTACCGGTGCCGTATCGCATACGCCTCGGCCAGGTCTCCCCTTCGACACGCCGCGTCGAGGACGAGGTAGCCGAGAACCTCCTGCAGCTCCACGCTCGTCAGGTTCTGGGTAGGATGTATCGTGCGAAGGACGTGCAGGATCGCGGGGTGGTAGGACTCGGGGTGCTTGACCAGGACCGAGAGGCGGATGTTGAATAAGTATGCCTGGATCGCGAACTCATCTGTGCGTTTCGAGGCCACGATGCCCTCGCGGAGCTTCCGTAGCGCCATCATCACGTCAGAAAGGGACTTTGTGCTGGCGGAATCGTTAAGGCGCGGCGAAGAAGTGGCGGAAACGGAGGGGTAGTCTTTGAGGTCGAGCGAGGCGAAGCGGCGGAGGAGCTCGTCGCGCTCGCCGGCGTCGGAGCAGAAGGTCATGTAGCGCTCGACGATCTTGGTATAATACCGTTCCTGAGTCTTGAAGTCGAGGAGTCTGAGAAGCGACAGGCGTCAGTAAAATCATCTTCTAATCGGCGTTAGTGGTGCAGTCATACCTGGTGTCGCCTTTGGAGGGCAGGCCAATGCTGTCAAGGGGGTCCAAGTCGACAGGCTTTAGTCTCCCCCAAGGCCCTGAATGTGAACGACCGCCTCGACCGGGACCACCGCCGCCACCGCCAATGCTGCCGCCTCTTCCTCCTCCGCGGAACACTCTGCCTCCGCCTCGACCTCCGCGAGTCGACATTGTTGTGTACTGGGTTGGTGGTGTTGAGCTTAGCACGACGGGGTGCAGGAGTCAAGGTCGCAGGGAGAGGGGCGGACAGACATGTCGTCAAAACAGAGACGGAGACATCCCACCTTCCCTCTATCTTATCTAATCCCCGACAGGGCGCCAAGGCTTGAGCTCAGGTACCCCAGATGTCGCTTCGGAGAGGAAATTCTGGGGTGCTCTTTCCTTCTTCAAAATGTTTCCTCCTTCGCAAAAAAAGGAGGCTGTCCCCATGGATGCAAAACAGACAAATTGATCTTGGTCTCGGTCAGCGGTATGTACCGACTTCCTTGAAGAATTTAGGAGCTGAGCTTCTGGCGGTCTGGTTACCCAATGCCGATAGCTTTACCCCACCACCAATACCTCGTCTTAGGGCGGATATACAAATCGCGGGGAACCTCGGCAGCTCAGGGGTCTCAAGTCAAAGCTTCAATTGCACTCATCTTTGGGGTCCGTCTTACACTTCGGGCTTAGTACAACCTCCTCAGAGACGCGCAAATAAATCAATTGTGTGGACAGTATCGCAATTGAGCATCGTAAATAACCGCATTCATCGCCAACATGTCGGACCGTGTAGCGCAAATCGCCTCTCATCTCAACTACCCCAAGGGTATGCTCGCCGGCCAAGTGGCCATCATTACCGGCAGCGGGCAAGGAATCGGCGCCGAAACAGCACGGCTTTTCGCCAACGAAGGCGCAAAAGTTGTAGTCTCCGACATTGACGCGAGTACGCTTCACCCAACACCTAGCCGCGCGCATCTTTACTGACACCACCTCGTAGAAAAAGCCCAAGAGGTCGCAGACAGCATCAACGCTGCTGGCGGCCAGGCCATCAGCGTCCCCGGCGACATGCTCTCGGCGGACTACATCCCCGAACTTGTTGCCAAGGCCGCCTCGTTTGGCGGTGGCAAAATCCACCACCTGGTCAACAACGCAGGCTACACCTGGGACGGCGTCATCCACAAGATGACGGACAAGCAGTGGGACACCATCATTGCCCTGCACTCAACGGCGCCCTTCCGCCTCGTGCGCGCCGCTGCCCCCTATTTCCGCGTCAAGGATGGCGAGAACCGTTGCATCGTCAACATCAGCTCTACCTCGGGCGTCCACGGCAACGCGGGCCAGGCCAACTACGCCATGGCCAAGGCGGGAGTCACCGGCTTGACCAAGACCATCGCAAAGGAGTGGGGGCCCGCGTTTGGCGTCAGGGCAAACACCGTCGCTTTTGGGCACATCAAGACGAGGTTGACGGACGCGAAGGAGAAGGGCGCGTTCGTAGAGGGGCCTGGAGGCGAGAAGATTGCACTGGGGATTCCCCAGGCGCAGAAAGGGGCGGACCAGCAGGCGCACGCGGATATCCCGCTGCGGAGGCCCGGAACGCCGACCGAGGCGGCGTCGGCCATTTTAGCTGTCGTCAGTCCGCTGTTCAGCTACGTGAGCGGGCAGACGATCATGGTGACGGGCGGGCGAAATATGTAGCAAGCCCTTCCAGCGTAAACAGAACATCCAGAGCAGGCAGATCGAGTGGCCCAACATCACTGAACAGATTGTAAATTCATGCGATTTGCCAATAATTAGGTATCGGTACTTGAGTTTCCCGTCCCCCCAACGCCCATTTCATGCCAATTGTTTCCTGCGACAAACAACAAATATCCCTCGGTATCGTATCACTCCTTTGTCTCCGCTTTTTGCTTTGTTTTCGTCTGCCTCCCTTCCTTTAGACCTTCATCCACAGGGACAAGACGCCCTTGGCGTACTCGACAATCTCATCGCCGCCCAGCTTGCTGTCGCCGTAGACACGGTCGACAAAGGTGATGGGCACCTCGGCGACGGTGCAGCCCATGGCCTTGGCGCGGACCATCATCTCCATCTGGAACGTGTAACCCTTGCTCTCGGTGCTCGAGATAACCTTGTCGAGGATGCTCTTCTTGTAAAGGCGGAAGGAGCCCGTCAGGTCGCTGACGCCGGGGCGCAGGACTGTGTCGGCGAAGAGATTGGCGCCGCGGGAGACGAACTTGCGCTTGAGGTCCCAGCCGTAGACGCCGCCGTTGCCAGCGTAGCGGGTGCCGGTGACAATGTCGTAGTTGCCCTCCTTCTGGCGAGCGACCATCTGGGGGATGAACTTAGGGTGGTGGGAGAAGTCGGCGTCCATGATGATGACAAAGTTGCCCTTGACGAACTGCAGGCCGTGGACGTAGGCGGTGCCGAGGCCCAGCTTGCCAGTGCGGGTCTTGAGGATGACGTGCGGGGAGTAGGCCTTGACGAGCTGGTTGGCGACCTCTTGGGTGCCGTCGGGGGAGCCGTCGTCGACGATGATGAGTTCCCAGTCGAGCTTACTGTTCAGGGGATGGTGGTCAGCAGGCGTTTGACTGTGAGAGCGGCTGCAAAATAGGAAAAGGGGAAATGATCCCGAGAAGCTGGAAAGCGCAAGCGCACTTACTTTTCGGTGAAGGTGCGATTCAACAGCCAAGTGACGATAGGGAGGTTGCGGCGCTCATTGTAGGTCGGCAGGATGACCGAGTACTTGTTAGCGGCCATTATTGCTGCCGAATGGAGTCGGGATCGAAAAGTGAAGAGTCGAAGAATAAAAAGTCGCGAGATTCTTGGGCGGGCGGGGCGGAAAGGAGCGTGATGAAGTTGGTTGCGCGTTGGGTGAAGCTTTACGGCGATGCTGTCCTTTGGCGATGGAGTGGCATTTTGGCACCTTGGATGGCGGATGACTAAGCGTGACCTAGCCCCTGAGATCCAGGGGGTGGTCACAGGGCGGGAGCACCAGGAGGGATCTCCCAGCCTGCACTCGAGATTTTCGACAGTGACAGCTGCAAAACCCGACTATTGCTTTTGCGCCAAAAGTTTTAAGAATAAGCCGTTTGTAATTTCTTGAGTATCCTATACTGGGGTTTTGTGAGCAGCTCCTATCTATTTCCACACCATTTGGGCGCAGTCCGCCGTGAGCTCTTCTTGCTTCACCAGGCTTTTTGCTTGAGAGTGATGCCAAAAGAAAAAAAAAACATGGGCATACTAACATAAGGGAACAGTAATGGACTGACCTCATGGCCCATGTCTTGAGTCCACAGGATAAGCCAAAATGCAATATTTGACTCTTTACTTGGAGCCTGAGAAGATTGGTTATGTTCGTTGTTCTGCCGTGTAACAGGGCCTAATTCCTCAGCCAATGCATTCTCTTTTCTCGCCGGGGGAGACAGCTTCACGTCGTGTCATGCTAGCAGCTCGATATCAAAATCGATGAAGTGAGCATGCCTTAGGTAGGCTTGTTGCAAGCGTCTCAGCTCAGTCCCAGTCTCGATGCCGGATCACAAGGCACAGGGGAGGCGAGTCCTGGGGTATTGGGCATCTCACTCTACATTTCTGCCTCCTCAGATTCCTCTAAGACTAGATTCCACAACTTATATCTATCCGTTTCGACAACAATGCATTGAGCCGTAGGTACTGCAGCCCTCATACGCCCTCGAGCCGATCATAGATGGCGTGCAGCAGCCTCCGAAGCTCAGACCACAGTTCAACGTCGATGACGAGCGCCCATTGGCCACAGTAAACCAGTTGGTCAGGGGTGGGGACTCGTCGCGCCATCGAGGCCTGCCATTCGCCCTTCCCCGCATCGCCTTGCTGCAACACTACAACTCTGCAGTTCTGCCCTGGCAAGCGTGGCCAGCCATCCTATCGCACAAGCAAGAGAGCGAGAGGGAGAGCTGCTGGTGCGACGGCGTCACAGTGCCATCGGAACCGACGCACACACGGTCCTTGGACCACCACCGCCTGGGGAAAGATTCGACGTCGCAAACGATGAGACGGACTTGCAACACTCCCAGGCTGTGTTTACCACAAAAGAGGCCCTGTGCCTCTGTTACACCTTCGTCTATTCTCTATTTCCTGCAAAAATCGAGGAGACGGCCATGACATGCCGCCGTTCAATCGCTGTCGCGATCATCGACCAGCGAAACAGCTCACCCAAGTCAGCCTTTCTTACCTTAGGAAACCCAGCTCGGCAGCTCCACGAAGCGACTAGGCCTCTTTTGGATTAACCGGCTCTTAACCGGGGCTAAGCTCCAGCCCTGCAACATCCCAAGGTCCAAGATCGCCAGGTTTGGCCAGCGGCCGTGGAGCTCTTCGTCACGTCAGATTGGCATGACGGCAGATGAGAGGTGCCTCTCCACCCAATTTGTCGCGAGGGGAACCTTGTTCCTACCGGCCGTTTCCTTGCATCCTCATAGCTTCACTCTCGTCGCTCGAGGTCCGCTCCCTGTTCTGTTTAGCTAAGGTCGGCGGCCAGCGCAGCGCAACGCAACGCAGCTCCTCATGGCCCGCGCAGATAGTCCATGTGCGCGCGCGCACACACACACACACACCGAGGCGATGGGCGATGGCGTGTCCCGAGCCGCCCTTGCCCTTCCCGCTGCTGATTCGTCCCGTAGACCCAGGAGCAGGACCGGCCCTCCCCCCAACCCCATGTTTCTGTACGATGACCTGCCGTGTGGTTGCAGCCAGGCCCAGCGGGTGAGGAGGAGCTCCCATGCTTCCTGCTGCTTCTCCGACTCCGACTTTAACCTCACCTCTTCTTCCCTCTTCCCTCTTCTCTTCTCCGCCTCTTCCCAACTCAACTTCACCCCCTCCTCTCCAGCTTTCCATCGCCAATCGACATCACCGTAGCCATTCCCATCAGCTCATACCCTCATCGATACTCGAGTACGGCCATTGAGCCCCATATCCAAGACCGACTGCGACATTACCGATCGCGCACTGTGCGCCTACGAACTCCCGTTACGTCATCGCCATGGACCCCATTCCCGTTCCTGGAGCTGCTCCCGCCGCTGTTGGCGCCGACAAAGGTGAGTGCGAAGCATGTCGAAGCTCTCATCGTGATCGCGTCGACTCGGTACTGCTGATATGATGTTTGAGCCTTTTGCGCTGGCCAAAATCGATTTGTTGTTTGAGCGAGGCGTTCCCGACGCAGTTCAACCATCATGCTTAGACCTCCATGCGCTAACATTCCTTCCTGGTCGCAGTCCCAGAGACTGTTGTAGCCACTACCAGCGCAGACACCAAGCCTATGGAGCCTGTAGCCACTGAGACAAAGCCTGCCGAGGAGAAGAAGGATGAGAGGGAAGAGACTGCGCCAGTGCCCGAGACATCAGCAGCCCCTCTCGCCGAACCTGCTAAGCTCGAGGAACCGCCTGCGCTTGCTCCGCCAGCTGATGCGCCAGCTGCGTCAAAACCTAGCGTTGATGCGCCAAAGCCCGCCTCCATCGAAGAGGTTCCCGACCAGGACGGCCCCGTCGCTATGACGGGAGTCCAGGAGCCGAAAGCCATCCCTGCCGAGCAGTCGGCCGGGACGTCCGCGTCTTATGCTGAGCCCGTGAAGGCATCGGTAGAAGAACCCATCGCGCAAGAGCCCGCCAAGGCGCCCGTAGTCGACGACGAGCCGGTCAAGGAGCCCATCACTGAGAAGGCTGAAGCCGTCAACGGTGCTGCGACCAAGGATGTTGAGATGACGGGCGCTCTCAACGATGCCGAGCCTGCCGGTGCGGGCGAACGTGAAGCTGCGCCGCAAGCTGTCCTGTCCGAAGCCAAGGTCGGTGACAAGCGCAAGGCGGACGACCTCGTCGAGACCAACGGGGCCAACGGCACCAACGGAGTCGAGGAGGCGGCTGAGGAAAAGCCAGCCGAGAAGAAGGCCAAGAGGGGACCCGGCCGCCCTCCTTCAAACGGTGCCGCTAAGGAGTCGCCCAAGAAAGACTTACCAAGCAAGGAAAAGGAGTCTTTCGGTCACAAGGTGGCCAGAAATGTGAAGAAGGTCATTCACCCTGTCGGCAGGACTGCGCGTAAGACCCGCTCACAGGGACCTGTTTGAATTTATGGACAGATTGGTTGTTTGGGAAGCGGACATCATCGCTTCGACTTTTCTTGAGTGAAAGCAGTCAACACAAGACCATCCGGTCAAGGCTCGGATGACGCCATATACGCGGGTATATTCCATATTCCCGCAAGTTCATGATGGGTAGGCAAAAGGTGGTGCGGATGCTGCTGTTATTTCTTGCTTTTCTGCGTCGGCTCGAATTTGAACCAGCAATCAAGGGAACAGATGGAGGAGCTTGTAAATAGTACGATGCTTGCACATGCAACTTCCAATCACGTTTTGATCACATATACGATGTCTGCTTTGACGACCAACGTGGTTCATGCTCGCAAAAGCTCCGAACATTATGCAGGCGAAGCCGGTCTTTCTTGTTCATCGCCTCGGTGAGCAGCTGTTTCTCTTCCAATGTCTTGCCCTAAACAGCTTCGGTGAAACGCAAACAACCCTAGGCAGTAAACAGATCGACGAGCTCTTCACAACTGATATGAGCATCGGTTGAACAGGACAACTGGTCCGAGTCCATGGCATGTGCCATCGTCCAAGAGGAGAGAACTCAATGAGGTGAGATCGACAAGGTCTAGAGGAAGTCGATGACGTCTTTAGAGGCCCCGGGCTGTTCGGTCCAGACCGTGACAGAATTTGAGGGTCCACCAAACCGCGTCACCAAGGGCCAAGGGTTTGCAGATCATGTTGAAGACCACGCAAGTGGGCGAGGAATGCCAGGCTTGCGGGACCCCTTTTTTCTCTTGACGGGAATGAAGCCCTCGGAACGCAAAAGGCACATGCGGTCATCTTTTGTACTAGTTGTCAAGTACCTAAACGGGTGTCGATCTGGGTGAGATGCAAGAAACAGAGACGAAGAAAAAGTATGTGCCCCACAAGTCGAGGACGCGCGCGCGCGGAAAGAGAAACAAGATGTTTATCCGAGCAGAAAAGAACGCAAAACGGGCGAGTCGTGACGAATGCAACCCCTCTCCCGGGACGAGGAGTAAACAAAGAAGGGGGAACACAGAACGCTAGGCGGTATCGAGGACGAACGGCTTTTTCCCCCACGGTGCGGGTGTCGTTGCGTGTTTCTCAACGCCAAAACGGGGACGGCGGCGGTGGCTTGAGAGGGCGGGGCGTGAAAGCCATGAGGGAGTCAAGAACGAGAGGCCGCCGCTCGGACTGTGACGTAAGGGCGAGACGGGCCGGCTTCTTCTGGCGCCTGGTGTGGGAAGTCGCGTCGACGGGGTCACCTGAAGTACCGTAAAGGCCCCGACCCCCCTTCCGTTTCCGTGGGATACGTTTCCCCCCCTCCTCCGCGATGTTCTGTGCTAGTTTCTTGGGGGTGTTCTGGAATAAGGTAGCGTGCGCTTGGGGGGGATCGGGCGGGTCTTGGCAGTGGGTGAGGGTCGCTTTGCTTGAGTCGTCCCCCTTTGGGCCTTGGTTCGAGCCTCGTGATATCACGGGTGGAAACTTGTCACTGGGGATTGGAGCCTTGGTGAGAAAAAGTTGGTTCGGCGCGTCGGGACGAGGGACGAGGACAAAGCTGGTTTCGTGGTTACGGAAGTTAGAAAATGCTTATTTTTCAGCTCGCGCGAGTTCCGGTCGAGGGGGCATCCCAACACAGCGTGGCGAAGTAGCAGTGATTCTGTTCCAAGGGAGGGAGATTTATGGAGGGTTTTTTTGGGTTGTTCTTTTGGAGCGTACCTGAAAGGGCACTCACCTTCCTTGAATGTAGCTGGGCGATCCCTCGTACACAGTCCATTGCCCTCTTCTGACTGGCAGTGGCCTTTGCATTGAGTTTGATCCGGTCAAACCTCATCTCAGGACTCTGGTCGCGTCAGTTGTCTCCAGTCTTTTCCAATCCTCTCCACAAAAAGGACTTATTGCATGCATGTAGGTACGAACGAACCCCCCTTTCCCCCCGAATTCCCAAGGCCCCCAAGGACTCCCCCTCAATGCACAGCCCTGCTCGACGATTCTGTCCCTGGGGGTCCTCCTCCCAAGGACATGCGAGGACTGTCGGTATTTGGGTGTTGCGGGGAGGGGACGCAAAGGCGGCCCCCTTTCCAATTAACCTGACACCCGGGCGCAGGGTGCTGCTTGACATTGCAATGATGTCGAAGAAATGAAGAGCCATGATTGAGATGCCGTCTTTCCGCTGCAAGGCGCAGCCAAACGGCGCCAACGAAACGGAAGGGAGAGAGAGACCTCGACGGCAACAGACTCTACATGAGAACCTGGGTGTCAGACTGCAGCGTCCGGCTCTTGCTGTGTGGAATGATGGCATTGGGGCCTTTGGCGCGCTCACGCGAGCAAACCCACACCCTGGTCTCATGGGCCGACCGGAGAGTCCCTGCTACCTAGATGCAGATCTTTGTCCGTTCCTGGGACAGAGGAATTGTGCAGCCCCGAGTATCAGCTGGGCGTAGCGGTGCATCGTTTGCATCAAGACCTGAGCATATCAACATTGTACGATAGTGGGAAGCCAGAGGAGAAGCACTCTGTGAACGAGAACCAGATGTGGCCTAGATGCCGGCCGCCTCGTATTCATCGACCCCAAAGCCATCCCTTTCCCAGCAGGTGCAGGACCTATACGGGTATAGGACTCGTTGGCGGGCCCTCCCAAGTCTCTTCTATGCCAGCGTGTGATGGGGGGTGAGTGGGCGAAGGCAGCACAATTCTGGCCCACTTAGCTATGTCAAAAATAGACACAGCCACGGCGTGCCGCGGGCCTGCCGATGCGCTTGCGAGAAGACGGTTCTTCGCAGCACGGTTCCATGGACTGACTCTTGGGGGGCGGGCCCATGCTCCCTAAGCACTTTCAGGTGTCCCGAGCTTGGCTGCGGTGCCAGTCAAAAGACGTGAAAAGCCAGCAACGGGCCTGGTGGAGCCTTTCTCTTTGGATGGCAGTTGTGTTTTTCCTTGCCAACTTGCCCGATCAGGTCGTCTGATGTTCGGTATTGTCCATGATTTCCGTCCACGAGACTGGAAGAACCGTTTCCGCCTGAACCGTCCTGGGAGTACGTACCGACAACCCATTACTGAGATTCTGTATGTACATTCATACTATGTAGAAGCACCTCCCAGACCCTGCATGTATGTACTTGCAACGCCCACATCCAGCGTTCCTGCAGCTGTTGGCAGATTGAGACATGCAGAGAGTATGGAGGAGTAAGATGCTCTTTGGGATTATGCTGATATTTAACAGCCTCGATAGTCAGATCCAAGCATCCCACATTGCTACTCCTGACTACGGAGAGTGAGTTGAGCAGTGGGAAGTGAGCAGCCACCATGGGGGAGGAAGAATGCATGACTTGAGCAGCAGGTACAGAACCGATACGTATCTCACCTTGGTAATGGTGGGTCGGGTGAGGTGGGTCTTCTCCTCGAGACCCCATTAGCGCAAGAATTGCAGGGACGTGAGGCGAGCCAATCCCCTACGCTGGGGTCCTCTTACGCATGTTGTTTTTATGGGGGTTTTTATTTTTTATTTTTTCGCTCGCAAGCTAGGACTGAGTCCAGGAGAATGGGTCGGTGTCGACCACACACACTCCTCCAGCGATAGACCCGGATATCGGCGCACCCAAGAGACGGGGATGTCCTTGGAGTGACATACGCAATCCTTTCTAGGCTCAACAAACTTCGTGCTTCCTTCTATGCCTTTACATCCCTCTCCTCCTCTTTCGCCCTATCCATCCCCTACCGTCTCCCTTGACCACATTATCTCGTACCTTACTTTACCTTACCTAAACTTCATCCTCCACGCTCGCTTGAAATCACATCCCTCTTTTCTCCCAAATCTCCCCCCCTCCATGCCCCCGTGATCCCGTCGACCCTCCTTCGGTCAGTCGTTCGCTTCGTCCATTTTCCTCCTCGTCGACGTCTGCAGCCCCACTGCTTCCCAATCCGAACCGAGCGCACTGGGAACAACTGCACGCCTTTCAGGAACCTCCGACGACATCTTTCCCCCGACTCTCGCTGCGGCACCTTGCGTCATTCACTTGTCGTCCTGCCTCCTTTGCTACGTCACAGCCGGTCTTTGTGCGTCCATCATCACTCGCACGAAAGCGCAAACCGAAACGTCCCTTGCTTTGCGACGACAAGGACTTCAGATAATACGTTCGACTAGCTTCGTATCACCATCCTCATAACGCCACGGCCGACTGACAGGCCGTTTCTCTCGAATCGTCGCCGCTCGATCGAATACCTCGTGCAAAGATAACATCGTCAACGAGGACCTCCGGCGCCTCTTTCTCCGCCGAAGACACCTAGAGACGCATCTCAACCCCCCGCGCCCCAAGGGGGCTCGTCAGCCAAAATGAGTCAAGATGCCGGCAAGCAGTTGCTGGACTTGATAAAGAATCCTTACAGCCAACAGGTAAGCGAGCAGCACTTCCCTCGGCCGGCCGTCCCATCAAAGTACCCGAATACTGACGTTCAGAAATAGCTGCAAAAGAACTCCATCTGGGCTGCCTTGGCCACTTCTCTAGGCGTCACAGTCGGTATCGCCCTTACCTTCTCCTTTCTCCGACCATATAACCAGTCCGTCTACGCGCCCAAGCTCAAACACGCCGACGAGAGACATGCTCCTCCGCCCATTGGCAAGAAAATATGGTCATGGATCCCGCCACTATGGAACACGACCGAGGTTGAATTTGTTCATCATGCCGGCATGGATGCCACCATCTTTCTACGCTTCGTCCGCATGTGCCTCTACATGTTCAGCACCATTTCCATATTTACCCTTGCGATCCTCATCCCCACCTACCTATCCAACCGTGCTCAGGATATTGATGGAACTTGGCTCGACGCAATTACTCCTATAGCTGTCTGGGGCGATGCGTACTGGGCCCAGGTCGCCGTTGCGTATATGATCACGTTCACGGTCATGGGCTTCTTGTGGTGGAACTACCGCAAGGTGCTGCTGCTCCGCCGCAAGTACTTTGAGAGCGAGGAGTACCAAAACAGTCTGCACGCGCGAACGTTGATGGTGAGTGTTGTTAGAACGGCCGCCTTCCCCGAGTCGAGACTAACCGTGGCAGATGTACGACATTCCTAAGGACAGATGCTCAGATGAGGGCATTGCGAGAATCATCGACGAAGTCGTGCCCGCTTCTTCCTTCTCTCGCACTGCCATCGCTCGAAACGTCAAGGATCTCCCTAAATTGATCGAGCAGCATGATCACACCGTCCGCAAGCTCGAACAAGTCTTGGCCAAGTACATGAAGAAGCCCGATCAGCTCCCGGCAGCCCGGCCGATGTGCAAGCCCTCCAAGAAGGATCCGTCGTTCGCCACGTACCCCAAGGGTCAAAAGGTTGACGCCATCGAGTATCTGACGCAGCGGATCAAGGAGCTTGAAATCGAGATCAAGGAGGTCCGACTGAGCGTCGACAAGCGGAGCACCATGCCCTACGGGTTTGCCAGTTACTCTGACATCGCCGAGGCACACAACATCGCCTATGCCAGTCGCAAGAAGCACCCACATGGCGCAACAATCACATTGGCCCCGCGTCCGAACGACATTATCTGGGACAACCTGCCCCTCAGCTCCTCGGTCCGCCGGTGGAGACGTATCGTCAACAACCTTTGGATCGCAGTGCTCACTTTTGTGTGGATTGCCCCCAACGCCTTGATTGCCATCTTCCTCATCAATTTAGACAATCTCGGCAACGTATGGAAGGCGTTCCGGGAAGAGCTTGCGAGGGACCCGAACTGGTGGGCCATCGTCCAGGGTATCGCGTCGCCTGCGCTGATGTCGCTCGTCTACCTCGTCCTCCCCATGATCTTCCGTCGACTTTCTATGAAAGCCGGAGATCAGACCAAGACGGGTCGTGAGCGTCACGTCATGGCCAAGCTCTACGCCTTCTTCGTCTTCAACAACCTCATCGTGTTCTCGCTCTTCAGCGCCGTCTGGTCTTTTGTGTCCGCCGTTGTTTCCGAAACAAGTGAGAAAAGTATCGATGCGTGGCAGGCCATTATTGATCAGAACCTTGCGACAACGATCTTTACAGCCTTGTGCAAAGTCAGCCCTTTCTGGGTCACCTGGCTTCTCCAGCGCAATCTCGGTGCCGCTATTGACCTCGCCCAGCTCTGGACACTCGTCTACAGTTTCTTTGTGCGAAAGTTCTCGAGCCCGACGCCCAGAGAGCTGATTGAGCTCACAGCGCCTCCTTCATTCGAATACGCCATGTACTACAACTACTTCCTCTACTACGCGACCGTCGCCCTGGGCTTCTCCGGCATTCAGCCTTTGGTCCTTCCGGCCGCCACCTTGTACTATGGAATCGATTATTGGCTCAAGAAGTACCTGCTGCTCTACATCTTTGTCACCAAGACCGAGTCGGGAGGCATGTTCTGGCGCGTCCTCGTCAACCGCATGCTCTTTGCTGTCTTCCTGTCGAACTGCGTCTTCTTCCTCAGCGCCTGGGCCCGAGCCGACTGGGCCTACCATAGCCAGGCCTTGGCCATCGTGCCTCTGCCCATTCTCTTGATCATTTTTAAGATCGTCTGCTCCAGAGTCTTTGACGACAAGATTCATTACCTCTCGACGACCAATGTTGCCAAGCACCCCGAGGCCGGCATGCAGAAGGAGGCTCGATTGCGCAGTGAGCGTTTGGCATCGCGTTTTGGTCACCCTGCCTTGTACAAGCCTCTCATCACGCCGATGGTGCACCAGAAGGCACAGCCTTACCTGCACATCGTTTACAAGGGTCGTCTCTCAGATGGAAGGGAGGTGAACACTGGCGATATGATGAGTGTGTCCGGCTACTCAGACACATATGCCCTAGATCCCATGAGCTCTGGCAAGCCCGGCAAGTCGGCGAACGTACCCGGTTTTGAATTCGTTTCCGAGTCGAACCTCGATTTCGAATTCTACAAGAACAGAGCAGAGTTTGCAGATGAACACGGCCAGGGTGACCTTTTCGGCCGCGACCCCGACATCATGCGCCCTGGCACACCCGGATCTTTGTCGGACTACGGCTCTCGCCCCGGGACCCCTACTGGCGCTCCCTTGCAGGGCGGCATGACCGGCCAGCAGCGGCGCGACGTTTCTGCCCAGTCTGGATTTTCTGCCTTTAGACCTACTCCGCCTGCCGGCTACATGTCGCCCACCGGCAGTGGCCGTCAATCTCCAACAATATTAGGTTCACCACAGGCCGGCTACACACAACAGGCGACCATGGGCGACCGTTCTCGTAGCCCTTTGTATAATATTAATAGCAACGGAAGCGACACGGCCCTCGTGCGCAATGCCGCGGGCATGCCCGTTAGCGTGCCTACGCCGGGCCCGACTGTGGGTGCGTTGGGCGGCGGACCAAGGGGGTATAGTGGACTCCCGCAGGCCGACGCCGACACGGACCAGGACCCGACGCAGTACGACTACTTCCGTGGGTCAAGGCGGCGCCCCAACGACGGGTGGTGAGATGAAAATGTGACGGGATGACGGGCTTTTCTTTTGTGGGCGATGATAGAACAGAGGGTTGACTCACGGTCCGGGATCTGGTCTCCATGTGTTGGCATGAAATTCGGCGTTGATTTGTGAGCGAAAGGGGTTAAAACTCCAAATGTTCCATTGAGGGATGGCGGGTGTGGACAGAATCATGTCGACACGTCGACTTTCTTTCTCCTTTATTCACAAAGTGATAATGATCAGAGATGAGACATAGACTGAACATTGCATGGGACCTTGCGGCGTCCCCATCAAGGGTTTCCCGGCACAGTGCCGGCGAGAATACATTATAGATTTAATGAGTAGTCTTTCCGACATGATCAAATGTGCCCTGTTCCGTGTCCGGTATGACAATCGCAGTGCCCACGTGTTGCATCGGCTCTGCAAAGGCACGTAACACGCACTGTATATCGGCTCACGATGTAGCACAGGCAGCGGATTTGAGGAGGATTGGGGAACAATGTTAATCTTTGTTGCGGTTACTTGGCAAGCCCATCACACGAACCATCGAATAAAGTTGCTGTGAGTCAGGCAGGGGGAAAAACCGGGGTTGGAAACAGTCTTCCCCTATCAAACTTGAACGCCTTCCTTGCATACGGGCCGGTCGATAACGCATTCCCCCTCATCAGATTGGCAAGAGAAGGGCACGGGGATGGGGTGGTACCTGCAGTGGTGACGTAACTTTCTCTCTGGAGGTGAGTCGCTTGCGGGCGCGAGACCTTGCACCATAGGATCGCAGTTGCTGTTTAGTTAAGCCGTGGTTTTGGGACGAGTCGATCTATCCATGGAGGAGCAGACTGTGCCGTTGCGGGTGGGGCCGGACGGGCGTTAAAGGGGATTGTGCGAATGCAACGGTTGCAACCAAGCTAGGTGTTTTCGGGAGAGTAAAAGGAGGATACGACGGGTATGACTCGGCAGCGGTCACCGACTTCAGTCGACCGCCATCCAGGTATCAGCCGTTGTGAGGGACCTCGAAAGAACACAGCTTACCGTTCCACTTCATAGAAGACGGGCAGTAACGGGAAGTACCAGAGGCTGTGTCCGTAGGAGTCTCGGTCCCGAGTGAACAGGAGGGCTTGTCCGAAGATACGCTCTTTGTGTTTTCCGGGACATTGCCCTGAGGGCACGATGGCGGAGACTTCATGATGCATGTGTTGCCCTTAGCGTTAAAGCTTACCTAAGAAAGACAAGAATGGGTTTCGCCGGAGACGTGATGGTACCTTCTAGCGTCCGTTCCCGTAGGACGTCGCGGTGTCTGGTAAGAAGCGCCGGTGTTGTCGATTTGGCCGTATTGGCCGCTGGTGGGATAGCCGATCGTCTGACTGTTGATACAAGACCCATCGCTGGTGATTCTTCTCTCTATAGACACAACGGCACCTTGGAGTTTACACAGCGCTTTCCGTTAAATCCGTTGTCGCTGGGACAAATTGAGGATATGTCTGAAACGTGGACCTTGTGGTTCAGCTGGAAGCCGGCGGAACATCCAGGGAGCGTCACCAAAACGCTGGCTTTGCTCTCCAGTTCTAGTGAAGCTGGACAGGACTGCGGGTCAAGCGTAACATAAATACGGCTGCTTCATGATTCGCCATCCCGGCATAAAGGCCCACTGATCGAAATGCGGTTATCGTTCTTCAGGATTCTTCCTTGGGGACAGGCAGAAATCCTGAGGCCGCAGGAGGTGCCGCCAAATAAAGCTTCCCGGGACAGCACTTGACCTAACCGCAATCTGGGTCTGTGAGAGGCTTGATTGCAATTCAAGGTCCATTTACTGCGGGATGTTGACCTTGATGATTTTGATCCGCTGCCACCACCCATGCGAGAAGCACAGTTGGAAATTTGGCATCATAGATGTGCATATTATGATAGATAGATCTGGCATGTTGATAAAAAGGCAGATGAGATAGACAGTCGGCGGATGATAAAAACCATGCACTTGAAGTCAATGGCGTAATGAGTCTTATATGCCTTCATTTATCGATTTAGGCTATCAACAGCGCCAGCGTGATCCCTTTTGCGTTTTCAGAGGGTTCTCTACGCTTATTTCGGCATGGAAGTCTCACAGGAAGGGCACTCAACTAAAGAATATTCACTTCGAGAAGGACTGTGTTTGCCTCGAGTCCACGTTCCCTGATTCACATCGTGGTAGAAGACTGTGGAGAAGGAAACAGGGTGAGTAGGTGCGTAAACGAAGGGACGCTTGATATCACCGTGGTATCGCAAGCCTTAAGCACTGGCCGACAAGCCTACAATGGTACATATTCAGTGTAAGTTGTTGTCCAAACTCCCATAAACGGTCTAGTACAGTCCGAAGACACTTAGAGACGAATCTCAACTCTCCGCCCCCCAAGGGGGCTCGAAACACTTGTAAGGCTAGACGCTTATGTCAACTGTCGTGCAAGAGTCCATCAGGATGGTGAAAAGAGGAAAGCCTATGTTTCCCAAACGGTCGCATTGCATCTGACATTGTGACGCAGAACCGTGTTGTCAATGTGAAGATACAGAGCCGGTCAATTGTCATCTGCCAAGCCTTGAAAAACCCCTACCTACCTGATTCCTACTTCGTCAAGAGGTCTAGATACAACGTCTGATGAGAGCAAGGGACTGCTGCTATGCTAGAAAGGTCCAGCGGCAGCGACGAATTTTGCTTGCGAAATGTTTGTTGATGTTTGGAAAAGTCCTTGGTGAGTGCACCAGTAGTTAACAAAACATTTGACTCAGTTATTGGAATGCAGTATTGATATCAAAATCGTCGGAAAAGAAAGAAGCAATCCGGTATGGGATATGGTTCGCTCTCGCTGAGAGACTCTAGAGCACTGCAGTGGTTGAATTGGCTGATGCAGTTCTCTTAAGTGAGGAAGGGGGCTGGCCTGTCAAAAGCTTAAATCTCTGTCAAACCAGCCATGGAGGAATCTTGGGTCGCTTATCGGTGAAGTGATAGGTTCCACAAGTCCGTCGTTGCACGCATGCATCCATAAGTTCAAAGCGCAATCGACTACTGGCGCAACCGTGGCCATGAACAGCTGCCGCGCCGTTGTCGACGAAATGACCCCAAGTTGATGAAACTCGACCGCAGGGTTTAGGCTCTCATGAGACGCTCTGGCGGCATGCTCTTTATGCTTGGGTCGAGCATCCATGATAACACCCAATATGGATCTTCTCCAAATGCTTGAATGCCGCGGCCATTGATCCTAAGCTCCGGGTCAGACTGACATCCATTCCTGAGAAAATGAAGAATTACGATATTTTCCGCCTGGAACGTAGTACCGTTTGGTTTCTCGTAGTTGAGAGCATCGCCAATGATGGCTTCAACACCTCCTGGTAACACCCAATTTGACACGACCTACCGGAAACCCAGGGCAACATCGGGTACAGCTTCCAGTTACTATACAGCTACTTGCACTCTGTCTATCAACTCAACCATTTTTGCTATAAGTTATTCCATCGCAATGTAACATATCTTCTGCACCGACCCGGCCGCTTGTCTTGCGATCGAAGATTGCCGGGTCTGCCGACATCATATCGATTCGTTGGTTTGGACAACTTCTATCAAGCCCCACAGAGCACTGAATCGTGTTCTAAGCTCTCACCGGGAACCGCGCGGTTGCCTCACATGCTCGAGTAGTCCGCCTCCCGCCTCCAGAGCTATGAAGGTTAGGGAGTGTCATCTCCTTCGACATTAACCAATACTGTGCTAGGATCCCTTGCATTAGCTTGTGGGCTTCGGGGCTGGCATAGTTTGTCTACACTTTTGGAAGTGGTTCCTGGCTAAAATGTCTCCACTACACCACCCGAAGACAGGTTCCGACTGCGCTCGACGCATCGTGCCACACCCAGCGTTTTTACTGACATTGAGCACCACGAGAAGATCTGCTGGATCGTCATACTGTTCTCCCAGACAGCAGCCAGTGTGCTCATCGGAGGCCTCTAAGCTGACAGCAATGAGTAGACCCAGTCCCTGTACCCCCTTCGGTTAAAAGGGAGGAATATAACCCCCTCAGTAGGAGTTCTCCTCTATCGATAAGGCCGCCCATAAAAGACAAGCCAATAGCAAGAGGGCCGTAATGCATCCACGTGGACTTTGTTAACAAACGGCGGTGGTTGTGGGTTAGTGAAAGGACCGTGCCACGGACATCAAGGAAATACGGAACACCGAATTGAGGATCTACAGTAACATCATATGCATTTCCAGACACAGCAGTGAGATCAACAAGGTTGGGGTACTGTCACTGTCCATACCTACTATTTGGTAGACATAAGCACGTGGGTTGAAAATTGCCCCGCACATAACATGGTACGCTGAGTCATGTAACTCTCAACATCGAAGAGATCCTGCGGTGCTGGAATAATCCACAAAATCCCCAGAAAATCGTGAAAATTGTCCCGTTATTCTGCTTGATTCCCCAGCTCTCGTATAGTAGGACGTCGACGTTACAAACAAACGCCTGGACGAACAAGCGGAAGCCTGTTTTACGAACCAAAATAAGTTCGCCAGTACTCTGCAAGTGTGAGGAAAACGTCCACTAAGGTTAGGGTCTACTCCTTCGGCCCATCAAAACGCAGATCTATCCTCTTATGTGTAAGCCATCCATGGATTGCGAACAGCTTTCCCAAAGTCGCGCAGAGATCCTCGGCACCGACGCGAAAGCCGAGACCATGGTGCCCCTGTAACGTCGCGGACACAGCGGCTTACTCACCCTTGGACTTGCTTATGTTCGCTGCGTCGTCCATCTGTCATCCGATGTGTCAAAGCCTTAAGCCCTGGAAGACAACTAGGGTGCCACGCGTGCTCAGCGCCCGTGCTATCACTAATGAGGGCCCGAGCAACGACGTCGGGCTCGTCCCCACTTTCTTTACCTGGCGAGAAGCTGGAATGACGGCTTATCTGAGTAGTTCCATAAGCATCCTCCCAAAACGAGGAATTAACCTTGGACGGAATGGATACTTTGAGGCACACCACCATTAAAACTCGGCGCTTTGCTTCATACGCTAGTATGGAGTTTTGCAGTGACTAGCTCGTCGCACAGACTTTTCATGTCTCATGGAAGAAGAGGGAACCACATGTTGAGGACTCACTGATGCCTGGGCCTGTGTAGGTAGTCATACCTTGACAGGGTAGTTTGGCATCTGCCAGTGCGCACTGCACTGCCGTAGAGAACGGTTGACCCCAAACTCCACATGCTCTTAACCTCAACTTACATTGTGAAGCGTCAAGGGTTTCACTGGCTATCAAAAACCCCATTGGCTGTGCTGATCATCGGAATCTTCAACGGCAGTAGAAGTGGCCCCTTTGCCGCGGTAGTCTTTCAGATCCCGGGGAAGGAATACCGGCCCCAAGAGAGCGCGGGATTTGATCCTGGCTACGTAAGAAGTCCGTTGGCCATATATTCCATGATAGGTCCCTGCCTTTTAAAGTCAAAGGCAGGTCAACACCATGAACAAGTATACCTTGGCAAGCCTACCTTGACTTTTGTCCACTTTCTGCGACCTCTCAAGTCCGGGAACCCAACGTCAAGATGTTCGCCGCTCGATCCTTCCTCTTGCTGGCTTGCTTTGCCGGGCTAGGAAGCGTCGTAAGTGCGTTCAATTTGACTTCGTTCCAGGGCGTTCCAACCTGTGGCGTAAGTAAACCCCAAACACACTTTCGATTCGGTACCTGCTTACGCGCTCAGATCAACTGTATTGTACAAGAAATCGGCTATAACGACTGCTCTGTTACGAACCAAACTTGCGTTTGTAATGATCCTTTCCTTAGCTACGTTGAAAACTGCTATGTGGCGAACTGCACCGCCAAGGAAGCACTGGGTAGGAAGAATTGAAACGATCGCATCGGCACCAGGGATCCAAGCTAATTGCCCCAAGTTGCAGTTGCCAAAAACCAGACAATGACCTCTTGCGGAAAGCCCGCAGTTGACAACGCCAAGCAAATAGCAGTGTTCCGATGGGTTATTTGCTTATTCCCTTCTTTCTTTATTCTGACACGGATTATCAATAAGTGCACGAAGCTTTCGCCTTGGGGTTGGGACGATGCAACCATCATGTTTGCATATGTATGCCTTACCCTCTCTAAGTATTTGGCTATTGGAACATTGATTGACTATCTTGCAGACAGTTTTTTTAGCCTTTATACCGGCAAGTTTTATCTGTAAGCTGTTCAGAATATATTTGGTCTATTGCGAGACTTACGTCTATATCTAGCTGAGAAGGCCGGCGCGGGAAAAGACACCTGGACTCTTACCCCGGAAGAGGTTACTTTAAACCTTCTGGTAAACACCTGATTTCCAAGTTACTTTGCTCGTTATCCGTAATGTACTAACTGATCAAAGTTATTTTTTATCTTGACCTTCTGTTATATGCTGGCCTTGGCCTTTATCAAGGCTTCGATCCTGTTCCTTTACCTCCGAATCTTTCCCGATCGTGGGTTCAGAAAGGTCTTGTGGTATACCCAGCTTTTCAACCTTCTACTTTATTCTGGTTTCTTTGCTGCCTCATTTGCTTCCTGCCAACCCTTGCACTACTTCTGGGATGGATGGACAAGGGAGACAGAAGGCAAATGCTTTAGCGAGAATGCGTTTGGTTTAGCCCATGGCTCGATAAACTTCGTGCTGGATCTTTGGATGCTCGCACTACCCGCTTCGCAAATCTACAGTTTGAACATGCAACTCCGAAAGAAGATAGGCGTTTTGCTTATGTTCAGCGTTGGGATATTGTGAGTAACAATATTATTGAGTGAGAATCCCCGTGCAACGTTGACTGCTGCTAACCGAGAAAAGCCTCACAGCAGTTAGTGCCTACCGTCTCTACGTGCTTAAAGATTTTGCGAAGTCTCCCAACCCTACAGGTCAGGTGCCATCTACACCAATCATATCAGTTACTTACATTTTTATTATAGATACGCTAGCAGACTCGTTTGAAACTTCTGTCTGGTCTGCCGTCGAGCTCTGTGTAGGAATCTTCGTCGCCTGCCTCCCGAGTACACGCCAAGTCTGGTCGAGATTGTCCCCGAAAATCCTCCAGATGACGAACATCTCATCGTGGTCGACTAGAGCAGTTGTGAATACTACGTCTTCGACTCAAACACCAAAAACGATATCAAGCGGCGGTTATAAACGACCACGCGTGATTGCAAACGAGGAATCGTCAATATCAGATTTGGTAGGGGAGGAAATCGGCAAGGCCAACACCAATCAGACTGAGCCTCGCTCTGTGGAAGCGGCGCCAGAGAACGGAGCCAAGTTGAAGACGGAGACCCATATTCAAGACCTCGAGAGCCAGCTGAGGGCAAAGCCGAAGGAGCCAGAGGCCGGACGATCTACAGAACAGGTTGAAGAGTACGACCTCGAAGTCTTCAAAAAATGAGAGGGAAAAGAAAAAGAAAACGGCTAGCAAATTATCGCCAAACATATCGAAGATGAACGGAAAGTTACCAGAAGGCCAGGCGCGGGAATGCAGAGCGCATAACATACCGCCGTTTCCCTACCTCGACAAAGGTATCTGGAAAGCTTACGCATTTGAGTCCTGGCCTACGAAATACACGACACCCCTTACGAATTCACGCCATCTGTACAGGAAACATCAGTTGGCTATACACACAAGCGATACGCATATGACTACCACCGCCTTGGCTGCATCAAGGCTTCAACAATACCCATACGAATTATCAAATTTGACAATTAGTCACCACCTCTTACCCCTACTAAGCCCACGAACTCTTACAAACCGCCCAACCCAGCATCACGAAAATTCAGCCGTTTGTTTTTGAATACATTTCTTTTTATTTTTGAATTCCATGTTCAAACCAACCTATGATCTGACCTCAGACGCCGCTTCAAACGTGAAGGTAAGTGTTAATCACAGTATCAAATAATCGTGCCACTGAAGCCGAGTTTTCGTGTGCCTTCGCGCTGCTTCGCCTACCTGCATACATGTCACTGGTTGGGGCACAAGGCCAGCCACCCAGTCCGTACATAGTCAGTCATGCCTCGGGCAGCTCGACCAAGCTCCTGGTCCTAGAGCATGAACTTCAACCAAGGCCACGAGTCCAGCTTCTCTCGCATACGGACACGACCCCGGCCGTGGCGTCCTCCATTACCTTCCGATGCACCTATCAGCCCCGCAGTTGACGATTGAGACAGCCGTGCGTTGTTTTAACCCAGGCAAACAGTTGAGCCTGGTCGCTGTTGTCTATCGTCATCGTCATTGTCATTGGCGTCCACAGCGGCGGCACCCCGTCCTCAGCTTGTCTCGAAGTCCTGCCCATCCTTGGACACACTTCCAGCTCCACCGGCCCCGTGATGAGGAAGTCAAAGCGCGTCCCAATATATTAGTACCGCCTTCTTGGACCCTGGCCTGGTGTAACGTTACCGCGCTGCACATGAGCAAGAGATGTGGGACTTGAAGTGGATTACCGAATATGCCGAGAAATACGAGACTTTTAAACCCGATTAACTTTGGTATGCAGCATGTCTTCCGGGATATGGTTCTTGATTCCTCTTGTAGCGAACTAGCCATGCAATGTACGAAAGTATTCTGACCCCAGTTATAAGGGATGACAGCCAGTCTGAGAGTTGAGCCAGCGTTTTTCAGAAATGATCAACGACAAATTAAAGAAGCAAAGGCCAAAGTATCAGCTTGTGTTCAACTTCACGGTGAGAAATAGAATTGTGCGATCAAGACGCATGCTTAGCCATCAGTGTCTGTTTGGTTGATGGGGCTCCGTGACAGTATTTTAGTTGAATATGTACGGAACTATCATCATGTGGCTCGCCTATCACCAGATCCAGACTAGAATGGGGAGCAAGGGGTTCAACCATGACAGCATCATTAAGTAGGTAGTCCGAACTAAATTCTCCCAGCCACTCAATACCAAGGGTGCACAGGGCCTCCGGACAATTTTTGTAGCATTCTTTGGGCCCATGCCTTGTGGCATGTTCGAATGCTAGCTCTGCAACAGACTTGATTCAACAGCAAGCCAAACCCTCCGTAGTTGGCTGCCTAGAAGTAAAGGTTGTAGTCTTCCATGCTGCTGTCACCGCCTTCATCATCATCGTCTATGTCGCTGTCAGAACCGAATCGAACGATATCTTTCTCATCGCCACTCATTGCACTGTCATAGTCGTAGGACTCTTCGTCTTGATCGTGAAGTAAGACCGAGATGTGGTTACGTAGGTGATTGGCCTCCGCCTCCATGCGGCGTACGACACATCGAAGGTCTGCTATCTGACTGCTACTTGTCTTATTCAGATCCTGCAGTGTATTCACCTCCTGTGTCAGCGTCGTCACCTGCGCCTTGTGATTGGAGGCCTCATGTGCCAAATGGTCGAAGACAGCCTCGATGAAGTCCTGGTCTTCGGAAAGAAGAGAGGAAATGGCGATGGCCTTCTCGGGAGGTACCTTGCGGCAAAACATCTCCACCAACCGGGTTCTCATGTCGTTCTGGTCCGACTTGTTTTTATTCAAGGCGACATAGGCCTCTTTGTAGGTCTTAGACCACCATATTATTCCAGCCAGCGTCTCTGGATTGTTTGTGTGTTCTGTATTCGTATGGGATTGACCAGGAGACAGTTGAGACGGCTCGACGGGAGGCGATTGGGTGGGACAAGTACCGTGCTCTGCGAAATGCATGATTGTACTTCCCAAATCGGCAAGGAGGGGTTTATTCGAGAATCTGTCGGCCATCTGATACAACTTTACCATTGTTGCAAGACCCCCTCGAATTGCTATGAAGTTGTCGCCCCGGAACAAGACCGACATCGCATCGATCTGCCTGCCAGTTGCCTTGGAATACACCATGTGCAGGTAGAAGCCGAGCAGTTCGGGCTCGATGTCTTCAAACTCGATGGTCGAGGTGCTTGCTTCAATAAACGCAGTGTTCGCGAGGCAGACCGTGAAGTAATCAGAGTCCTTGACAAGAATGGATTTGCGGAAGGAGAAGGACTTGTCGCCACATTTGAGGGTGACAAGTTCCTCAGGGTTTCTGTTAGGTCGAAATCGAAGTCAGCGTCTGAAAGTGAACCCACTTTTCAAGACTGGTAATAAACGTACGGCATCAGAAACAGCCAGGCAGGGTCGGCCATATTGGCCGTGGGGGTCTATAGGACACGAGGCTCACCAAAGTTACCAGAGAGGTCGCCACTCATCGCTGCGGTGTTTTGATGGGCGGTAAGGTAAAGGTTAAGATGAAGACACAGAATGTAGAAGAGTAATGTCGGGGTGAAGACTGCAAGTTCGTAGGATATCAGCGGAAGGATGGAAAGTGACAGAAGGATCAGAGCTATTAACGGCAGCCCGGAGGGCAAGAACAATTTACACGTGTCGTACCGTTCCTTCCTTTGCTCAGAAGTGGCAGGAGGGTGAGGTACGAAGTGTGATGGGATGGAGCCGAGAAGGAAGGAACGACAGGATGGTATACTGTAAGCACCTCACTATTACATGTTCGTGGCTGAAGTAGATAGCGGTGGATCTGAATACCGATATGACAATTCGATCGAACGACCAATAGCCCGTCACTTTTAACCCAAGTACTACCTGCACGATGATACATAAAATCACAGAGTTTCTCGATAGCGGCGGAATTAAGCCCTCAAGTATGACTAACTGGACCCTTCACTATTTTGTCTCTTTATCCGAGTTCGTTATCATACCTGCGTGACACTCATGGAGGTCTGCAACGAATTGTAATCGATCTCGGATGAGATACAAAGGGTTCTGAAATCCGCTGGGAGGAAATCTGGAGGGCAAGCTGCTCTTTCCTTTTAATCTTTTGAAGGCTGCTCGCCTCGTCTGCTGATCCTCCCATCGAATTCTATGCAAGCTGCTTAGCCTGTACTTGCTTTCTTTCTTACATCACAAGCTCCCAAAAACGTCCAGAACTCGCACACACAATGGAAGACAACGAGTTCCACAAAGCCAAAAGGGAAAACCCCACTTCCGATAAGCGTTCCAAGTAAGTGTGATGAACTTTTTGTCTTCTTGCTATTGAAGCAGTGCTGACGTCTTACTGCAGCACTACTCCAATGGCTGAGATCTTTCTCAAAAACGCCATTGTTTCTGTTCGCGAGGACTGGCTGTGTGATAACTCCGACTTGTTCAAGGTTTGCCTTCGTGGAGGCTGGAAGGAAACCTCCACAAAGACCGTCGTTCTTGAACATGTCGATGGCCAAGTCTTCCTGCTCCTCGTTGAAATCGCGCAAGTCATGCTGAACATGCCTGATACCAACACTCGTCGCGACTACGAGAACGGTTCTGACCGCGTCATTGCCCTTCTTCCAGACTTTCAGAAGCTTACAACATTTGCTCGCCTTGTACGCCTTGCGGACTTCCTGCTGATGAACGACCTACACTACTTCCTGCGACGCGTATAGGAGACGCTCTGGCGCCGGTTGCACATGAAACCGAACATGATTGACGATGCACGTACGGCGATCCTCGAGTGCGGCGAAGACGACGTGCTTGCACGAATCAAGGGCAGCTGTCTCAAAGTCGCAGCACGGGGAAGATGAACAGGGTCTTTGTCGACTCATGGATGGATGGCTTCTGGATGTATTCGGTCTCTGGAAACCAGAAATATGGACCAAAGACTACAAGATGAAAGACTACAGGTGAAGGTTAAAGGAAATACAGGGTGAAGGCACAAAGGTTGGCTAGCGAGAGAGTGTTGATAGAACCCTGGGAGGCGATACTGTGAAAACGAGACTTTCAGAGTACTGTTGTATATGCCTCTGTTTCCCAAATCGTGCTATCCATCAAGTCCCAACGACCACCATCAAGAGGATCTTCGTCGCCAAACTCTAGTCCCGGGGGATCGAGGAACTCATCGGGAGGCTGTGACGAAACGACATGACGCGCCTTTTCGTTGAGCTCCTTGCAGGCATAGTAGATCCGCTTGAACCTGCCCTCATCAGTGGCTTTGATGAGGCGCTCGAGAAGCAGTAGCGCCGAATCAACGTTGCTCTGGTCGGTCAGGCGAGACGGATTGTCTGGGCATACGAGGTTGTTGACTGTGATGAACATGACGCTTGTGAGGTAGCCACACGATACCAACCTGGGTGGGAACGAGTTAGTAACGAGTGATCCCATCGAGGGATTCGACGAATGCAGACGTACCATGTAAGAGCAGAGTCGTTTTCGGGCGTCGCCGCATAGAGGTGCATGCACGTCCGCGCCTGCGCAACCAACTTGTCCCAACAGCTCGGTAATCGGGCGGTCAAGTCAGACTGCACAGAAGGCGATTGATTTTGACTGCAATTAAGAATCTCCTGCATCCACGCCATATGATGCGAGTCCGCGTGGTGTGTTGTCGCAACGAGCTGGAGATGCGTGTAGTGCATCAAAGAGAGATACCTAAGATACTCCGTAGACACCGTTCCTGCTACAAGATGCGGCTGAAATTCTGTTGGAATCGCTTTCTGCCAATTCTCCAGCATCATTCGGATACGGACTGTGTTCTGCCCACGCTCGTGCTCGGACAGCTTAAGCGCCCGTAGGGACATAAGCATGGAGTAAAGCTTGCCTTCGATGAAGGCTAGTTGGATGCGGCTACGAAAGAAGTTGAAGACCTGGCCTGATAAGCTAAAGATCAAACCCGCGTTATCTGGAGGCTTGATACTCGGGAGGTCCACGTCGATGTCCGAGTCTTGGTGGATCGGCGGCTGCGACGTCCTCATTGCCAAGTCGCGGTCAAGAATGAAAGCGATCCAAAACACTCGAGTTCTTTGAAGGGCTTCAGCCGGTTCAAAGCTTCCATCTCCAGCATTCGTGTGCAATTTGAGGATTTGAGCCAGTCGCATGGCCGTCGCGATCATTATCGAAGCCGGGCCCTGGTCCGACGAGCCATGGAACACCAAGACTAGCCCGAGAACGATCTGCAAGGCCAACAAACTTGGCTCATTGATTACCAACTGGTTCAAGACTGACTGAACATTGTTGATATAGAGCTGCATATTCTGCGTCGCCTCGAAGCTGGAGGCGTAAGAGTGCCGATGTGACAATGCGAGAACAATGTTAACGGCTGCCCATGCGTCTGGTTTGCGGTGCGCAGGATAAGCGTACCAGCTACGGAGCATCTTCATAAAAGCTTCCCTGTCGAACAGAGGGAGTATCTGATTCGATTTTTGGAAATAGTCTTCTATCGTCGGGAGAATGTGGCGGAGTGATGGAAGGGTCTTGGTGTTAGCCTCCTGTGAGATGCTCGAACTTTGGCCCAATGAGGGTGTAGGGGAGTCATTGAACGCTGGTCCAGTCTGGAGAGCCCACATCTGCTCCTGATCAGAGCTCTGAGACTGTGAGCCGAGCTCGAAGGACTTCACAGCTAGGTCCTGAGCGGTCTGGGGCAGGAGTTGCCTTTGGTCATTCTGCGCTTCCAGCTGTGCTATTCGTGCTTCTAACATCTCGATCTTTTCAAGACTGTAATTCACATTCTGTCAGTTACACCTTTACACATAGAACACTAAGTGTCAGAAATCCACTCACTGATATGGTTTTACGACAGTTACCCTCGTCGGGCTGGTATAAGTGCATTCCGAGTTGTACAGTCTGCAGCCCGAACAGCGGGGCTGGTTTCCATCGCATTTGATCTTTTTGCGGTAGCACAGATCACAGGCCTTGACAGTATTTGGTGAGTTGTTGAGCCTTTCGACATGTCTATACATAAAGCATGAAGGGGACGTCTACCTTCCTCTGCCTGACCCTTTTGGGCTTCGTTGACTCCATGGTCCCAATGGGTTGTGGGGATTCAATCCAATCGCTCGGGGACTGCTTCGCGGACTTAGACTGGGCTAGCTTCAGGACTTTGGATATTGTAGCATAGGGTTTGTATACTCCAGAGATCGCTTCAGGATTCTGCCGCAATTAGAACAGCCAAGGTTGAGGAGAGGGTAAGTCACCCTGCGAAGCTGACAGGACGTCGTTGGAGGAGTGGCCTGCTCGCTTATTAATTGGTACCGACTTAACCCAAAGGAGAACTCATGATCATTTGCAGGCAACTAGATAATTACGTAATCACACAGGAAACAGCTGCAATCATGTTACCATGTCAGAAGGCCAGGAGCAAAAAGCGATGGTACAAGTACAACAAGAAGCAAAAAGCCATCCGAAATAGAGCAAAATTAAAAACGACGTTGGCCTGATTCGAACAGACGCTCCCGAAGGAACAAGATTTCTAGTCTTGCGCATTAGACCACTCTGCCACAACGCCGGATCTAGTCCACACAAATGTAGGGTTATTGATTGATCTTCCTCGTATCTAATTAAACCAGTACCAGCAAAATGTTGGAGACCATTCGTAACTCCCGGTGCTACTAAAGAAATTGTGCTTCCGTCAAACCGGCCAACTTTCCACAACTCCACTTAAACCTGCAAGTTCAAATCATTAGGACCATCGGTATATCAATTGTATACTGTCAGCATACGTTTCATGGAATGATCATTTAGGGCACCGATCTTTACTACTGCATTCGGCGCCGAGAACAACAGCGGCCCAGTTCTGTTTCCAGATCACTTATCACAGTCTGCCTCGCCCACTGGTCAATTGCTTGCTTCACCAAAGCAGAAACGCTGCTTTACTATAGGTATACTGGATGCCCTTTTTTATTCTCGCGATTGGAAGACTGAGCTCTCAGCATATTATCAGCTCGCCACCAATGCCGTTCTCTAAGTCGGTGCACACTGTTAGGATTCGATATAGCCCGGGTCACAGTCCGTTGATACAGACCATGTCGGGATTGTAAGACAATAGCATGTTTCAAACCCTCAAAGGAGGCATCATTGTTGGGTTTCTTTCAATAAGCAACATCTATTCACGATGAAAAAGCACACTTCTTGCGATAATGCCCTAAATTCGCTGGCTCATACCGAAAATGGTAAGTGAAAATGCCAATGGTATTACTGCACCGGTCTGCAGGTCAAACAGACTGTCGCATTGCAAGCTGGGCAGTAAAAGCTGCACGCAAACAACCGACAATTGAGACAAGTAGGGGCAGCGAAAGCCCGCATGGCTGGCCACCAGCCCTGCCACTGATGACCACCTTTGGGACATGGACATTCCTGCTGATAGAAATCAGCGTAATTACCTCCAGGCTGCCGAACCATCTTACCTGAAGAGTTGGAATCCGACTTATCGGTATCAGGACTGGTCGCCGTCTTTGTGGTGCACGATGTCTTTGGTCCCTCTTGTGGATTGTTCTCTTCTTCAGGCCCCTCTGTGGTGTCTATAACTTCTTCTTGCCCATCTTTCCGAGGCGCACCGTCCACGACAACCGCCAGTTGTTGTGCCCTTCGACTCCTCATCTTGCTCATCAATCTCTGTGAGTAGCTCATAAGTTTGTTGTCAGATGAGGTGCATCCTCTTCTTGCCGTCGCGTCCTCAACCTCGTGCCATTCGGTCCACTTGCGATAACGAAACCATGCAGTTCTGAATTTTGCATAATCCTCATCATATTTCGCGCGCTCTGATGACTGGTTCAAGATTTCGTACGCTATCCTCGTCTGTGTTCGGCAAGTCAGTGCGCAATCAGTTACCGAGCTGTCGTTCTGGATACTTTGGGGTCTTTCCGTATCATTTGTGCAATGCTTGACCTTTGAGACCCTCCAGTTTTGTATAGTTTCTTCGGTTTCCGCTGTTTCTTCAACGCCGAGGTGCCGATAGTAGTCTAGAGATGAAGAGAGTTGCATGATGAGCAACGGTAGTGTGAGACTTCGGTTCAAGGCGCAGTAGCTGAATTTATCGAGATCTCTGTTAGGGTGAGGGTAGAGCCTTTCTCTCCTTCCTGTCCTGCTTTTCTCAAGTGGGAAAAGATGAAATCGCGTTGGTCGGCCACTGTAATAGTAGAGGCTATTATTCACTTACGCTTCAATAGAATCTCATTATACAGGTGTTAGCTCTTGATAGTTCTTTCATATAGACAACTCCGACTGTATCAGTAATGATTCTTCTCAAGGTACATTGCACGTTCTGGAGTTGTCTTGTAACATACCACTCACCTACACCAAAAGTCTTTCAGAGACGTGATGAGCATTCAAACTGGCAAAGCAGTGCTGTTTGTGGCTTGTTCAATTTGCACCTGCATCGTTCGAGGCCCCACCAGTCACAATACCAAGCGGAACTCTTATGATTTCAACAGCTTGTGGGAATGAAAGATTTCCATATGTGCTCGAGATACTCGTCCTTTGATGAGGAAGATCTGTGACAGCGGCTGCTGTTGGCTCGTCTTTGATTCAAATTTCCATATATTCTCATAAAGACGCTGATTAAGATATGCCACTAGGGTTGTAGGGGCAACATAAACCTTTGTTTTCATGGTTTTGGGTCATAATATCATTGTTCACCAGCAACAAGTCACGATGCTAAGACCAAATTCCGGTCCGAGTACGGGCCCTGCCAAGCCGACTACATCCGAAAAATTGAAGTCAATTTCTGCCTGTTGGCTTCACACAGTCAAATAGTAATGAAGAGTGTCAGTGCCATTTCCTAACAGGTAGAAATCGTCTGATCAATCAATTGTTATCAGTATCAAGCGGGAATTAGCAACGAACCTTCAACAACGTGGGGCAGGTGATATCGTCAGAGGCTGCCAATGATAAAAATGATTGTCAAAGACAAAAGTACAAGATGCTAGTGATAGCACAACCTGGTTTCGATCCAGGGACCTCTGGGTTATGAGCCCAGCGCTCTACCCCTGAGCTATTGTGCTTGTTCTGATTGATGAGTTTTTCTGACAGTAATCTCTTCATAGAGGGTCTAGTGGAGCAGAGTGTGTGACTCACTCGTGGGTCGCAGTTCTAATTGTGCGGACCCATCGAGTAAGTTGCTTTGGTGGAGGTGTTTTGGCCTCAAGTTTGGCCTCAAGTTTGGCCTCAAGTTTGGCCTCAAGTTTGGCCTCAATTTGAGCCTGTACCCAAGCTCCCAGCGCTACTAACCGTCCCATGTCAACAAACCAGCAAAGGTGTAGTTGGGGCGGCAGCCATGCCAGTCGTCTCAATTCGGAAAGTGGAGAAAGAGAGCCGCTTGAATGGCGGCCGATGCTTCGGTGCAGATCCGGGTTCTGGGTCATCGTAGCTGGGTCCACAAAGATAAGACTCGGATCCGGAGACTAAGCGGGCATATCTGTGAGAGATGCAACAAATCAAGGTATGTCCCGAATCCAAGAGAGTGATTTACATAATTGCCAGCTCGACTTTACTTATCTACCGGCTCGTTAATGAGTTGCAGCCAAGTGGATTCGCGGGGTTGGCGACCTCGTCACGAAGGACCGTTATCTTGGTGCGGATCCTGATCTCCTTGTTGTGCCAAAAAGCCGAAAGAATTTACCGACGCCATCGGGAAAACGCCACTGCAACGCATGATAACCGACGTGTCTGAACAGGGTCAACATCCGGTCGATGGCCGCAACGGCAGGTTTCCTAAGGTTTTATATCCGTCGCTTGGGGGTATGCCAAACTTGTTCTTATCGCCAAACCAAGAGGGACGTTGTTCTCTAATACGCAACCTGCTGACTCGCCATCATTGATTTGCCTAGCAACTAATCAAGATGATATCTCCTGTGAGTAGTTGTGCATCTCAACAACGATCTAATGCAACGTGCAGCTGCTGACTCAACTCCCAGAGATGGAAGCGTCTCGTGCGGTTTATTGCCGAAGACGATTGGAGGGAGTACATCGGAGAGCCGGTTGATGAGAATGTGGACGGTAAGGATACCTGTACTCCGAAATTTGCCAAGTCGTCTAACACCAGGTTAGTTGGCGCTGCCCTAGCAGCATCGATTCCCGTTTTGGCTCGTGTCTTCACCGGAACCTCGGCGCTTGATGCTTCGGCGGAGCCGACGTCAAGGATACTCAGTATTCAAAAGCTCCTGCCGCCTCTGACGCGGAAGGAAACTGGTACCATCCGGTGCATCGGCCTCAACTACCGCAAACACGCCAAGGAAATGAACCTCGACCTCCCAGAACATCCCACACTCTTCTTCAAGCCAGCAACCTGCCTGAATGCATCAAACGCTCCGCTTCTTATCCCTCATCAGGCGACCGACCTGCAAGCAGATTATGAGGCCGAACTGGCGGTTGTCATCGGCCGCGACGCAAGGAACGTCAGTGTCGAAGACGCCATGGATTATGTCCTGGGCTACATGTGCTCCAACGACGTGACGGCAAGAAAACACCAGTTTGCCGGCGCTCAGTGGGGATTCGGCAAGGGCTTTGACGGCTTCGCACCCATGGGTCCTTGCATCGTCAGCGCAAGCAGCCTGCCAGACCCGTCAGTCATTGAACTGAAAACGGTTCTCAATGGCGAGGTCATGCAAGAAGGTAGGGGAGACGATATGATCTTCTCCGTTGCGGAGATCGTAGCCTATCTGTCTCAAGGTACGACACTGGAAGCAGGAACGGTAATTATGACCGGAACACCTCACGGCATCGGCGTGAGCAGGACTCCGCCGGTTTTTCTGGTGCCAGGGGACGACCTTCGCATTGTTATGAGCCACGGGCTAGGCAGTCTAGTAAACAAGGTGCAATACGAGGAGAAGCCGCAGAAGCTGGCCAATGGAGTAAACGGGCATGTCAAGGCTGTCAATGGGGTAAATGGGGTTACGGAAATCAAGGTTAACGGCGTTGCCTGATGCAATGCAGACGCACCGAGAGACAGTAGAAAAACACACTATAGACACCAAGTAATGGCTGAAGTCTACGTTTCTGAACTATACTCAAATGCTAGTTTGGTCATGCATAATAGTGTTGAGAACATGCTCCCATTGCGACAAGTCCCCACTTTCGGGCAGAAAGAACCCTGGGTCATCCCAAGTCATCTGTGCACTCGTTGTGCTGTACGGAAGCCCCAGCCCGGCCATCAGAGGATCAAAGTCAGGACTTTCAACCGGCAGTTGTGGCTGCGTAGGCATCATGTGACTTTGCCCAACTGGTTGTGAGGAACGTCTGCTAGGAGACGCGGATGCCAGAGCAAGAGGTACCAACGTGCTTGCTGGCGGTGGCTGTGACTGCCGAGCTTTCTTAACGCATAATTCGACGATCTTGACCTCGGCCATGGCAAACTCATTAAGCCATACATCGTTTCTCTGCATCTCGCAGTATGCCGCCAAGTCCTCTAGAATGGCCTGCGATCTTCGTGAATGAGGATCTCGGACGGCAATGATGCCCAGAACCAAAGCGCTGTTGAAGAGGTTATGCGGGCCGAGGCTCCACTTTAAGCGGTCGTTGAGAGGTTGGCTGAATAGCTTGAGGCCCATGTCAAGGTCTGCACAAGCGGACGCAATACACACATCGTGACTGTGCTTGTATCTATTCGTGATCGACTGCCGGAGAAGAAACGGGCGATGTAGGGTAACCCTGGCGAAGTGATACATGCTATGCAGATGAAGCCTTTGCCAGGGCAAGAAGGGCAAGCGCTCGTCTTTGCTTCTGTCGGGGTCTTTGAGATCAAAATATGGTGGTAAACTGCCTCTCCAAGTTTCGATTTCCTTGTCAAGTGTCAAGACTGTCTCATATGACACGGTAAACAGGCCAAAACACCGCTCCTGAATCTTGCCGACAACGACAGCGAGTTCATGAGCAAGGCGGCTGAAAACACTCGCAGTTGGTTCTGAAAGAGGGGCCTCGGGAACAGCAGCCGCTTCCTCGTCATCGAGGTCATCTAGCCACAAGTTGGAGGCCTGCTTCACCAGACACTGCTGGTCGACGATAGCGAAAGGGCGTCCAAGAGCCAGGGCGATGGTTTTGTCAAGCATGTACAGGTTGCTCCAGAGCCGCCGTCTAGTCTCCGTCTCTTTTCTAGGAAGCCTCCATCTCTCACCATCAATGTGCATCCCCTGGGCTTGAGCCATGCGCATCGCGAAGCTAGTTGTGAGCCATGATTCCGGCACCCGGCGGGTGTAGATCAGGTAGCGGGTTACAAGAACGCCAGCTCGGACGAGGTCTGTAGACTCGCCATAGAAGGTTGGGGCGATCACAATAGCTCTCCGAGCAGCCCAGTAGAATCGCTGCGAGGTGTCGTAGACCTCACGCTGGACCTCTTTGTTTCGCGGCTTTGGACAATCTAGGAGTACGCCGTAGGCCATAACAATAAATAGAAGCGCCAGCCAGCGGAGGTCGATCGTAGCAAAGTCATCGAAGCCAAATTTCCGAGACCAAAAGTTTTCATACTTAGCCTTGAACGAGCTGGGTTGAACCGCATCAATTGCCCAATTGAGCTCGTTCAAAAAGCAGTCTGTCAATCGGTCACATGTTGACTTCTTTCGCGGCAGCAAACCAAGCAACTCCCAAATTTGCGAAAAAGGGCCACCTTCATCACGGAACGAATGTGTCGAGCCTGCTTGAGCCTTCTGGGACAAGCCAGACGAAAGCTCTGGTGCAGGAGCCTGTATGATCTTGGCTGCAGCTTGAGGACCGAAGTAGGAGGAACCGAAGAAAGATGGAGCATCGCGACTCTTGAAAAGATTGCCGACGAGAGACTCTGACTGCTGATCCTGGCCATTCTCGCCTTGACGCCTTCCGCCTCTACTTGAAGACCTCGAAGGGATTGTGCCAGATGCTGAAGATTCGTCGGGTCGCTCGGGATCCTCCGGGGGAACAGCGCTCGCAGCAGGAGATACTGGTGCTGCAAAGTTGACTGCGGGTGAAGCTAGGGCCGGTATTTGTCGACGTAAGCTTTCTCTCTGACCGCCGTCTTCTAGGTGGGTGTATGAACAAGACGAACCAACACCTCGCCGTTCGCAGTTGAAACAGGGTCGCGACCCATTGCACTGGCAGTTCGAGGTCAGTACAACAATGCAAGCAATCTAAATTCTAAAGACCATGTGCTGTGGTGAAAAGAGAGCATCCCGTTTCCAACGTCTCTATGGTTGCAGTAAGACATTATCGGAGTTACTGGTGCAGCTGGCGGCAAATAGACCCGGACCAAACTCAACACTTGGCGCACTGTAACAAACACGACAACTGGTACAGATATGCAATCGTACCACGCCAAGCCCAGGATGGAGTCGCTATCTCACTCACCCTCTGTTTTCGCCGATGACACGACTCGCACGCAACAGCATGCCTCCCTCGCTTCCTCTTGCGAGTAATCGGGCTTTTCGGTGTGGTCGCTGTGGGTTGGGGGTAGGCGAATCCATTGAGCCGGGCCAGGAGCTGAGATCTATTGCCGTGCGGAGAGGTGACCAACAAGTTGTCAGGGTTGCGAGATCGGGAATTATCACTCTTCCAGGGCGGAGGGCGATGTCGGGGTATTCATATCCCCAAGAAAGACTTGGTTACCCAAGTGTCCCCCACATTTGGCCGAGGGAAGCTTGGCTGGCCCAAGCCATTCGCGCACCCAAGAGATAAGAATCCTATGCTCCCCGGCTTTTGCCCCCGCTAGGTCACAAGGATCACCAGCCGACGCTACGATAAGCACGGTAATTTCCCGACGAAAATGAAGGCTAGCGTCGGGAAATGGCCTTGCCTGGTAGATAGGCGAATCTAGTGACCTCACTGGGCCTTTATGATGCACTTTGCGTAGATATATGTCTAATGTGAGAAGCTGAAGTTGACTAGAAATGTCAACAAGCCCAACAGAGGTCCAACGATACATTATTGACTCGCCGATCGATTTACCACACCAGGAACAAATCGGATACGATTGGAGAATGTCGACCGAGAAGATGCCCATCGAGGCTAAAGACGGAGATATCGATTCGCCTCATTCGACGGTTGCAAGTTCCGATCTCACTATTGATCCGATTGCGGAAAAGCGCTTGCTGAGGAAGTTGGATGCATGGCTTTCCCCAATGATGATTATCGCCTTCTTGGTTGCCTACCTTGATCGCAGCAATATCGGTATGCCATTCTAGGCATGATAGGGTTTGTCTTTCAATGCTGACATGCGATGTCACAGGCAACGCAGCAATTGCAGGCATGACCGAAGACTTGAACTTGACCGGTAATAGACTTAATGTCGCCGTGACTGTTTTCTATGGTAAACACACGACCTATCCATACCCAACTCAAACATTGGCTAATACGACCACCAGTTACCTACATCATATTCGAGATCCCTGCATCGTTGATCCTTAAGAAAGCTCGACCAAGCCGCCTTATCCCCTTCTTTATTCTCTCCTGGAGCGCCACCGTTGTTGGTTCGGCCTTTGTAACCAACTATGCAGGCCTGTTGGCCACTCGCCTCCTTATCGGTGTCTTCGAAAGTGGTCTTTTCCCCTGTCTCACCCTTTATCTCAGCACATATTACAAGAGAGAAGAACAAGCACGGAGAATCTCTTACTTGTTCGTTGCTTCCGCCTTGTCTGGCGCCTTCGGTGGTCTTCTGGCTTATGGCTTGACGAGCCTTCATGGGGCTAGCGGCCTTGCTGGGTGGCGTTGGTTATTCTTGATCGAAGGGGTTATCTCTCTGGCTGTTGGCTTGGCCTTCATCCTTTTGCTGCCCGACAGCTTTGAGTCGGCAAAGTGGCTCACGGAAGATGAAAAGGCTCTGATGCGCATCCGTGCAGAGCAATCCAGGGTATACCAGGGAGAGTCGGAGACGTTTGACAAGCAAGAGGTGAAGCTTGCTTTCAAGGACCCGAAAGTGTGGCTCTCGGCGGGGTGCCAGTTCTGTGCCAATACGTGCTCTTTCGGCTTCGGAACATTCTTGCCAGTCATCATCCGCGGTTTCGGATACAGCAGTATTAAGACACAGTTGCTTACCGTTCCTGTCTACCTCTGGGCCTCTGCAGTATACCTTTTTATTGCATACTGCTCCGACAAGCTCAACAAGCGCGCCGTTTTTATGGTTCCGATGGCTCTGGTCACCGCCACAGGATATGCTCTCATGCTGGGAGTGAGCATGAAGTCAACATCCGTTCTATACTTTGCGACTTTCGTTACTGCAACAGGCATCTACTGCGTCGTTGGTTTGAATGTTACATGGGTCAGCAACTCCAATGCCGGTTATTTCAAACGCGCAACAGCCATCGGCCTGCAACAAGCTATTGGAAACAGCGCGGGTATCATGGCGGGGCAGATCTACCGCATCACCACGTCGGATGGGAGATACACGATCGGCCACGCGGTTTCCATATGCACCATTACCATCGCCTCAGTGGGTTATTTTACTATGTGGACTTGGTTGAACAGAATCAACAACAAGAGGGACAATATGAGCATTGATGAGAGGTCGCGAGAAATTGACCAGGGAAAGAAAGGTGACAGGCACCCCGATTTCAGATACACCCTGTAAATAATCTTAGTGTGGTGGAATATCATGCCAATAGACTTTCAATTATGACCATGGTTTAGCAGCAAGACTCAATTGTTGTGGCTCAATCAGTGTCATTTAGTTAAAAACTCGGCAATTCAGAGACGCTCATGTGTCAAGTTTCAGCTCTTCATGGTTGCAACTATCATGAACGCTATCTTCTTCTTTGAACAAGAAACATCTGTTAAAATTTAAGCCACTAGCAGATCCACATGACCAAAGCATTAGGGAAGACCTCATCCTTTGTCAACAACACCCCAAACAGTCTGAAAGACACTCTGTGAAAGCTTGTTTTCTTCACATTGGCGTCTTTTGGATTGCGTTAACTAAAGAATAGAGATAATGGATACGTAGAGTTGTGAACATCGTATTGAAGTCTTTGATCTGGAGGTGTTGATGCTATGTAATGGCGAACAAGACTGACCTGGAAAGTATCTATAAAGCTCGCATCCTGACCGTATCATACACTTCCTTACTCAAAAGATTCTTCGTCATCAACTGATTCAACCCGCGACTAATCACTCACCGGGAACATTATATCGCAACCGCCGCCAACAACATTTGAAAGCTTTGAAAACTAGGAGCTGCGAAATCAGCATCTGTAAGTAGCCCTCACAAAGTTTCAACCCAACCTTATACCAAATGCAGCCACCTTCAAAGGCCGACTACTATGTGAGCCTTGGAGTTCAGCAAAGTGCAACAGCGCAAGAGATTCGACAGGCATATCGAGCCTTGGCACTGAAGTATCATCCAGACAAGCAGGGTCAGGGGGTAAACGTCGATGCAAAGGAATTCCGCAAGGTAAGTCACGATGATCTGGGTGGTCATTTGCCTGATTTTTTAATTTGTGCATTAACTGACCAAGACACAATGATAGATCCAAGAAGCATATGAAGCTCTTCGAGACGAGTCTAAACGAGCGCAGTATGATGAGTTTTATGTGTACATTCAAAGGGAATGGGTAGAGTACCGACGATGGCAGAAAACGGAGGACCCCTTTGAGCAAAAGCGACGCTTGAGGGCAGAAGAAAGACAAAAGAGAGCCATGGCGAACGAAAATGCTCGCATGCAGACAAGAGCGTGGGGAAACGCCTTTGAGAGCGGCGAAAAAGATTTTTAAGCGGCAAGTAACAATCATACTAGAAACCGAGATCGACAGGAGAGGGCTAATAGAGAAACTTTGATTACCAAGATACACCAATTTCGTCGTAATATGGAGCAAACCGATGAGTGGATGGACAAGGTTGACAGAGTGTTGACAAAGATCAAAGAAGATATTACTGCGTTGGAGGATAGGAACCAGGCCAGCAGAACCAAGAGACAGTAAACGCAAAGTTCTCGCGAAGCACTTCACTGGTGAAAGACAGACTCCAACGAACGGCAGTCTTATATTCGCTCTATTACACAAGCATGTACGAGTAGCTACATCTGGCTGAGCCCTTTAACTGTCTCTCCGCACTTGCGTACTTTGGCCCTAACACCACCATCAGGGGGCACAACTGGAGACAGAGAAAAGTGCAGCCATGGCTTGCAGAGTATGCCGCCTTACTCACCTGACATGGGTCGACCATATCGCAACCCCAACGCCTACCTGTGCGGCTTGAGTTTGTCGCCAACGGGTCCGAAAGACCGCTTCATGTGAAAGTGGATTTCGTCAGGCAGCCGCCAATGCGAGGCGCGCAAAACTAACAGCAACACAACCAAATCCGACACACTTGGATCATATTGCTAGGAAGCCAAATTTTGACAGTAGATGGAATGGGCGGAGAACAAGACGGCTATTTTTGTATGTCGTCCAGGACAGATTACTCATTTCTTGAGATGGTGAACTTGGCGTCAAATCTATCCCGTGTCCCACACATTGCTGGTCATAGTGTGGCGTCCAATTAGAACATCAGCCTTTTCTCGCAGCGCCCAGATGGAAGAACGTGATCCGAGTCGCTACCACTGAACCGGGTGACGGCTGCAAGAATGCCAAGGCCGTGAGAAAGATTGAGCAAGTTTAGCCATATGCACTCTACTCAATCTATAGGTTTCATTCCGACTGCGTTCATTGTGGCTGGACCGAATCACGTACTTGCCAACGCACACGATATGAGGGCGATCCTAATGGGGTAAACAGGATTGGGTACTTGGAAATCCAAGAACGAGGTCACCATGTGGAGATGGAGAATTGCTGATATCGATATCGGTGAAATGAGACTAGTCCGTCCCAAGAATTGAGGCAGCCCGTTAGTATCGTTTTGCGGAGAAATCTGCTCAAAGATGTAAGGTTATTTAAACTTCCATGCCGGCAGTCATTCTCATTCAGAGTTCCTCGTGTGCTCCAGCTCGTGGCTGCCAAATACCGGGACCTTGGATCTGGGATTTCGATCCTCATTTACACACGTTGGCTCGGGTTTTTCTGTCTTTCATTATAAGAGCCTCAGAGCGTATATCAATCGCACACAGATATCCCGATATCAACCCAATTTTTATTCAAGATGGCTGGACTCCTCCCTCGATCCATCCTTCCCCTTCTCACCTACCTCCTTGTCCTGCTCCCAGTTGTCAACGCTGACGGCATCGGTATCATTGGCGCCGGGAAATGGATGTACAGAACGGCATGTGCGCACGCCTGTCGCCGTCTCATCGCCAACTGCCCTCTCCTCTGCTCAGAGGATGGCACATCATCTCACCACAAACGACACAACCACGGAGGAACAACGCCGCCCGAGTGCTTTCTCAAAGACCGCGCTTTCCTCCGTACCCAGGCCCTTTGCATGTCTCAGTACTGCTCACGCGATGATGTCGCTGTCTCCGTCATGGAAGAGTACTGGGAAGGCCACCTGGCGACGGGCAGCGTCGGCGACTGGTCCGGGAGTCTGAAGCCGGTCATGTCGTATTCTGAGGCGCTTATGTTTGCCAAAGAGGACATCAAGGCGATTGGGAAGGACAACATGCTCACGGTGGTGTCCAAAGACCCGCTGAACCAGACAAGTCTTATTGCGGAGGACGACTGGCTTCCCAGCTACAATGGGCAGAAGTCTTTTGAGGATGGCGAGAACGGCCATGGCGCAAACAGGTAAGCTCCTCCAATTTGTGTCCTTTCCAAATAGTCCTCGAGCTAACTAAGCTAATAGTCTCGCCATCGCCATCACAACCGTGACAATCCCGATCCTCGTCTCCTTCATCCGCTTCTTCCCCGCCCGCTGGACGACCCCCCTCACGACCCGTCTCGACCAACCCTTCCTTGGCCACCGGCACCGTGTGCCCCTGACCGGTAATATGGGGCTTATGCCCACGCGAGGCCAAGCCCTCTTCGTCGCCTACATTCTGCTCACAAACATATTTCTCGTCGTGTTCCCTCACTCGCTCCTTCAACCGAACTATATCGCCGAATCGGACCACGCACAGCTCACCATGATTGTTGGAGATCGTGCCGGCGTGCTTGCTTTCGCGGACTTCGTCGCTATATTCCTCTTCTCCTCGCGGAACAATGTTCTGCTCTGGTTGACCGATTGGAGCCACTCAACTTTTCTCCTCCTCCATCGCTGGGTCGCCTATGCCTGTATCGGCCAGACAGTTTTGCATTCGGTGCTGATGTGGTATTACTACGCTGAGTGGTCTGACTGGATCGCTGAGAGCAAGCTGCCATATTGGTACTGGGGTATCATCGCCACTCTGGCGTTGTGTCTTATTTTGCCGGTTTCCGTCCTGCCTATCCGCCGACGCGTGTACGAGGTCTTCCTAGCAAGTCATCAGCTCCTAGCCATCCTCGTCCTCGTCGCTTGTTTTCTTCACATCTGGTACCTCTTCGAGTACAAGTGGGGATATGAGATCTGGATCTACATCGCTGGAGGTCTTTGGGGATTCGACAGGATACTGCGAGTCCTGCGAATAGTCCGTAATGGAGTATGCACTGCCACCGTCTCGGTTGCAGATACCCAGGGCGACTATCTACGCATCGAGGTCGAGGGTATCGCGGCTGACGGCCATGCCTACCTTTACTTTCCGACCCTATCCTGGCGTTTTTGGGAAAACCATCCTTTCTCCGTCCTATCTTCTTTCACAGGTCCCTCAAGCTCCCTCAGCTCTCCCAACAACTCTTCGATCCCGCGTCTTACCAGCGACCCTGAGAAGACCATTTCATCAACAGACATTGGAACAAGAGAGATCCTCCCTCGAGTGGACAGCTCCTCAGACTCCGATTCTCGCTCCACGACAGGACCCATCAGACCCTGCACGACATTCCTCATCCGCCCGCAAACGAGTATAACACGCACACTCGCCTCAAAGGTCGTCGCTGGTACCTCTATCCGTCTACCCGTCCTGGTTGAGTCTTCCTACCACGCCAACCCCGCCGTGCACCAAATCTCCCACTGCTCAACGCTTCTCTGCATTGCTGGCGGAGTCGGTATCTCGGCCGTTGTACCTATAGCCAAGAAATTTGGCGGAATACGCGCCCGTTTATGCTGGGGTGTTCGGGACGGGAGCATCATCCGCGCGGTAGAGAAGGAGATTAATCAGCTTGGACCTCGTGTCGAGGTTGAGACAAAAGTGGGCGAGAGGTTGCCAATCGCGGAAATCGTGGCCCAGGAGTTGACGAGAGACGATGAGAAGGGCGATGTGGGCGTTGTGGTCTGCGGGCCAGGCGGCATGGCGGACGATGCCAGGAAAGTTGTGGGTGAGCTCGTGGCTCAAGGTCGAGTCAAGAGGGGTGTGGTGTTCATTGATGAGGCGTTTAGTTGGTAACTCATATTACAATTACCATCCCAACAAATTGATCAATCACTGTTATGCTTAGCCTTCTTTGAATCGTAAGAATTGCCAGTTGTATCACGACAAAGTATCGTAAGTTTCTATCTTGTATGCTCCCAGGCGCAGTTTATGGCTTTATCCGAACACCACAACGCGTTCTTTGACTGTTCTAGGTTCTGTTATTAGGTTTTCGAAGTTTGGTTCGTGATAAAAGAGACAAAAGTCTACAAAGGCTTTATTATGTTCCTTTAATATGGGCCTCAAAAAGCACAATGAAAGTTCCCTTCGTCTTCGTGAACCATTCACAGGAGCTCGTATGTTCATGTGATCATATTCTATGATAATGCAATCTTGCTGTGTTCGAGCAATCCAGATCCAAGGAACTCAGTTCTCCCCTGATCACGTAGTTTGGCGGCGCTTTAAATACAATCCATAGCAACCATGGTCTATCCTAAGGCAGCAGGATCATTTGCTAAACGTACACAGATCAACCTGGGTCCAGAATACAGTTTCTGACCTTAGAACATAGAACCAAACAACTGACTGACTAAGAGTTAGGCACGCTTGTACCGGGCCAAGGTGAAGTGAGGCTTCCCTTTTAACGAAAGGGGAACAGCCATCTCCGTTGGTTTACCGGTTCACCTTCTATAACTGGAGGCTAAGCTTTTCATTCGGAATTCACCTTACTGACCTTGAGCTCCTTCCAATTTCGCAACCACGTTTCTGCTCTTGAAAAGATCCTCCTCTTGTCAACATCACTCCAGAAAAGAACACTTCCAGTCGTAATCATCTTCTGCTTCGTCTTCACACCCCAAAAGAAGCCTTCTGTTTTTGGCACTTTTTCTTTCTCATATAACTCCCCAGTTCTTCACATCACCAAAATGCGTAGCAACGAGATCATTCCCCACGTTGCCCTGGGTCCGCTGGATCAGACTGCGCCCCGGATCTACATCCGATCGGTCTTCGTATTCAACGTCGAGAAGACATTCGGCCTCAACAAAGCTCTGTGCCACATTGCCAACAGATTCCAGGCCTCCCTTTTACGCTGGCCTTTTCTTACCGGCCAGATCCGTCCCGCCACCTATCCTATCCGACCCAACGAGCTCGAGCTTCATTACGACCTTGACCAGAACCTAGCCGATCCTTGGAAGAGACGAGATATCTTTACTTATGATTTCTGTGATAGACTCGGTGGCTTAACATACGAGAGGCTCGAGCTTCACGACATGCCCCTTCCGTCATGGACAAGGATATCCTTTCTCTCTCCCCCAACCACCCCAAGCCCGGAGAGTCGTGTCCTCCAATCACCTTGAAGGTTACCAAATTCTACAAGGGTGGAATGATGCTCTGCTTCTCGACTCACCATGCCATTTTCGATGGGGGGTTCATCAGAACCTTCCTGGAGTTCTTTGGTAAAGAGACTGAAAAGATTCCGGGCCAGACCTTTGTTCGCGAGCACACGAGTAAGTCATCCCCTGATTCAGACATCTCCTTACAGTGCGCATGTACTGACAATATTTCTCTAGGCAGGCCGAATATGGATCACCATACAAGAACCGACATCACGAATCATGTGTTCCCTGAGTATGACTTCACAACCGACACAGACCTCGTCTCCGGCATGAACAGGCTCAACATGAGCAGCACAGCCATGGCTCAGACCCAGACGCCCCCTCGTGCTGTCTGCGTTCTGTTCAAGCTCCAGAACTCTACCCTCCAAATGCTCCATGGCCGCGCCCTCACTGAACTCCGCGACAAGTACGGCCCTGACGCCTTTGTCTCCATGGTCGACACCCTCTCTGCCGTCGTCTGGGTTCACACCACCCGCGCACGCCTGCCTCACCTTAACCTAGCTGATAAGACATCCTTCACCACAGCCGCCGACGCCCGCGCCCGTCTCTCCCCTACCTTCTCTGCCGACTCCTGGGGCAATGTATACACGCAGACCAGCGCCAGCACCAGCGTCCAGGACCTGGTCCAGGCCTGGGGTAGCATAAACAGTGACTCGACTCCCGCCATTGTTGCCGCCGCCTGGCGTATTCGCCAGGCCGTAAGCCAGGTGAGCACGCCTGGTTATATCCCTTCACGTATCGCTCTTGCCGCCTCCCTTGCTGACCCTCTCATGGAGGGCGTAGCCTTCCGTAAAGCGCTGCAGCCCAACCATACTGGTCTGGGATGCAGCGTCTGGACGCACATGGGCGCAGACGTCGACTTTGGCATTCCTGGCACCAAAGGCAAAGCAGACTATATCCGTAAGACGTGGTCGGCCAATGATGGAAGCATGAATATCATGCAACGCCGTGGCATTACAAAGGGTGAGGCGCCCTGGGAGGTGCTCTTGGCTCTCCGGGAGGATGATATGGAGAGGATCTGCGCTCCTGCCGAGCTTGGCCGCTGGATCAGCTCGTGGTGCGCCTAAGGGATCACCAGAGGGTACAATCTGGGTGTGGTTTTGCTTGGTTTTGTTTGGGGTTTGGGGACGTCAGGGAAATGGGTTATACCCGGGTTTGTATTTCATGGGAGTTACTGGGTGTCAGGAACGCCTCGGGGGGCGTGGTATGATGATTCGAAGCAGAAGGGGCCAGAAGCCGACTGCCTCACAATGAGACACGATTCACACGTTACACTCGACTGATCCTCATCTTCCTATGGCAATGCTGTCTCGAACCCTTGGTCCAGCATTCGAGCCCGGGTCGATACACTTCCTCGCTGCTGTCTGTATATGACCTAGCTGGCCGGGCTTCATTCATCTGAGAAATCGCGGTGCTGACCAGGATTGGGAATCGTCCACCAATCCGATTCTGGTAGAAATGAACAAAACATAAGCGACACTGGCGAAAATGGTAAGCAACAACTGAAGAGGACTATTGGCCCAAACAGGGAGAGCGTACGACTCATATGGGACAACGTTTGAAACTTTGCAACCACACTACGGGTTCTCCACACTACATGACGTTTGAAGCGCCTGACACATGGCGAGACTCTTCATTTGATTGTTCTGCTTCGAACCTGGAGTATAACGACTGTTTTGGCTCCCATCGTGAAAGGATAGGAACTAAAGAGTCGTTGATAACCCGCGAAGGGAACATACCTCCACATCAAATGGAACCCGAACGGTGTTATAAGTACCCACAGCAAATCAGGTATCTAGAGGAAAACAACTTTGTCACAACGGTTCTACAACAGGCAGAAAGGTGCAGCACTCGAGTCGGGAAGAACTCAATATCGGCTGAGTCGAGTTATTGGGGGGGCTCGATAAAGTCACATCACACACCAACGCAAGAGTGCAGTAAGAGAGCAGTATCATGTGCCAAAGGCTCTTCATTGGCTATCATGCTCCTTTCCAAGGAGTTCAATCTCAGTATTTGGCCCTCCATCGGGCAACGACCAACGACCAACCTCCCACCGGATCCGTTCCATCTGTCATTTCAACTGAATTTTCAAGGCCGCATACCACCACGCCACCGGCTATCATTCTTGAGTAAGCCTGATTAGACCTCCCCAACGCGAAAAAGAAAACAAAAAACACAATTCCGTCGCGGCCGGTGACCATATCCGAATGTGTTTCCCCTCCCTGATTCTTTTTTGATAGATCGTACACGCTCGAAGACCATACACATAGGTAATGAGTAGAGAGAAGAAAGTTTCCCCGTAGAAAGAGACCGCATGAATTATCCTTGCCGCCTGCAGTTTAGAATCACCTGCAGGTCCAAAGAGAGTTTCGTTTGCCGACAAAAGCGCAATAGCTGACGACGTGTTCGTGGGCACAGAGGCCTTAACCGCCTCTCCTCATGTCGTAGTGACGCGAGTGAGATGGCCGTCGACCACTACCTTCCTAGTGGTAGTTTCCGCCCAACCGCCGCGCTGCTGCTGGTTGCCGCTGCCGTAGTATCCGCTGCCGTAGCCGCCCTGTTGCTGGCCGTAAGAGCCGAACGGGGCGCTACCGTGCTGGCCGCTGGTAGCACCTCCCATGCCGTAGCCACTGCTTCCGTGGAGACCGTGTCCCTGGAGGTGACTGGGGTAGCCGCCGTAGCCGCCCATCTGAGAAGCGGACTGAGGCGGGGGCAGACCCGTCTGGCCAGAGGCCGTGTTCGTGGCCGAGCCAGGGCGGGCGCCGCCGAGGGAAGGCGATGGTCCTGCGCCGGGCTTGCTGTCGCCGAAAGGCTTCAAGTCGTCGTTGGCGGAAGTGGCGGTGTTGGGCTGCGCAGTGCTGTTGAATCCCTGTCCGGCGGGGCTCTGGAACGAGGAAGAGCCGCGGCCGAAGGTGTCCTGAACACCACCGAAGCCGCTGCCGGTGAGACCAGGCTGGTTGCCAGACTGTGCGGAACCAGCGCGGCCAAAGTCACCTCCAAGGCCAGAGCTCAGACCACTGTCAGCACGGTGCAGGGACGACTGAGCGAAGCCAGCAGCAGGAGACGAGGTGTGGTCGTAGGGACCCTGAGGCGACATTCCGTAGGGGTGACCGTAGACGCCTCCCTTGCCGTAGGGACCGCCACCATATCCTCCCTGGCCGTAGTGGCCGTAATTCATGTAGTTTGAGTAGTAGGCGTTGTTGTAGTAAGGGTGGCTGTTGTAAGGGTAGCTCTGCTGGCCGTGAGACTGAGGCTGCGAGGCCTGGCTGGCGGCCTGCTGGCTTTGTGCAGTGGGGTTCGGGGTGGTGTGTCCGCTGTTCTGGGCGTCATTCGTAACGCCTCCGTAACGAGACGGGTTCTGGATACCGCCGCTCTGAGGGTACTGGCTGAGGTTATCAGCCTGCGAAGCATTGTAGCCGCCGAAAGATCTCTGCTGGGAAGACAGGCTGTCCTGGTGGGCCTGGGCGCCCTGCTGACCGTAGGGCTGGTTGTAGTAGTTGTAAGGAGGGCGGTTCTGTTGGTCGGCCGTGTAGTAGGAAGAGTATTCGCTGGGCGCAGAGCTGAAAGCACCGCCGGGCTGCTGGTTCTGTTGCGACGGCTGGTTGGGGAAGCTGTCGAACTGGGTTTGCGAAGCCGAGGGTGGCTGGTTCGGTTGGGTAAAAGGATCGATCGACTTCTGGGGGAACGACGACGGCTCCTGGGGACCGGTCTGTCCAAAGCGGGAGTAGGGCTGGGCGGGGGAGCAGCCGGCTGAGGGACTAGAGGCGGGTCAGTAAGCAGAATACAAGGCTGTGGCGCTGATGTGTCATATAACGTACCCTGAGCAGCGGGAGCCTGGGGGGCAGCACCTGCGGGTCCTGAGAAAGGAGCATTAGCAAAGTCAGTGACGTTGCTAGTCGAAGCAGTTGTACCGGTGGGTGTAGCAGCAGCAGCAGCAGGAGGAGGCAGGCCAGGAGCAGGCTTCTGGGTGCCGATGGCCTCGGGGACGGGAGCCTGCTGAGGAGCAGGAGGAAGAGAAGTGCGAGGGTGGGCAACGGGAGAATCAGCAGGAGGCTGAGTTCTGGTCTCAGGCTCCTCGCGGTCACCATCAATGTCATCGTCCTCGTTCAGGCTAAAAGCGCCAAACTGAACAGCGGCGCGGTCAACCTCGCGGTTGCCAGGCATGCGAACGGCCTCCTCTTGGTCAAGTACGCGGCGTTGGTAGCTCGGGGTGCGGGATCCTCGCTCGGTGGTGGCCTTGATGGCGGAAGCTGCGAATCCGCTGGTAGTGGTAGGAACAGCAGGACGGATGGGCTGGTGTTGCTGTTGCGAAGCCGAGAGGGGGGTCGCGGTAGCGCTGGCGGCGTTGAGACGAGGGTCCCAGGAATCGGCGGCAGTGCTTGCCACAGTAGCAGTCGCGGGAGGATGCGATTCGTCGACTACCTGTTCAAGATTCGTCTCAGTAAGTTGGTCCTTGGAAGGCGGCAAAACAACTTCGGGTTCGATGACGGCTGGTACTTCTGCAGGGGCTGGTTCTTCATGAGCTGGCTCGGCTGGAAGTTCGGCGGCGGGCTCGGGCTGCGCCTCCGGTTCGGTCTCAGGTTCGGGTGTAGGTTCGGCGGCGGGGGCGGCAGGAGGCAAAGGTTCGATGGGTTCGGCGGGCTTGGGTGCGGGCTCCTGCTTGGGGGCTTCGGGGCGGGCTTGGGCACGGCGGATTGACGGAGCATGCTAGCCCACGTCTTCGCAGCGGGAGCGGCGGGCTTGGGGGCATCAGTCGCGGCGGGAGCGGGGGCGGGAGCTGCAGTCTTCTCGGTGGTCTCCTTGGGGGCCCAGGGGTCCTCGGCGGGCGCGTCCTTAGGGTCCGTCTTGGGGGTATCCCATGCGTTTGACTCCTCGGTGGGAACGGAGAGCGGCTGAGCGGACTCCTTGGTATGCCGGGTGCCGTTGGGGCTGCTGTGTTTGAGGGCCTGCCCCGACCACCGCGGCCTCCTCTCTCGGTGTTTCTGCCGCGGCCGCGACCAGCCTCGGCGACGTTGCGTCCGCCGCGGGTGGGTCTAGCGCTGGATGAGTCGATGTTCGAGGCTGCAGTCGTGGAGTCCTTGGCCTTGGAGCGGGGAGCCTTCTTTGTCACCTCGCCCCATTGAGAGATGGTGCCTGGTAAAGAGGGAGAGAGTTAGCATGGTCCGGCTGAGGGGATGTGACGTGTTCGATCGAGCGAGCGATGGCGGATGAGATTGGGGGGTTGTCGCGCCAAAGGGTTGATGGCAGCATGGGTGGGTGAGGCGTGAGGCGTGCGCCGACGTACCTTCAGCAATACGAGTGACGGCAAGGTTCTCGTCACCATCCGTCTCTTGAAGAGCGTAGAGAATATCCTGCTCAGACCAATCGGGGAAGAGCTCCTTGATGAGGGGCGCCTTGGATCCGTACTGCTTCTTCAGCTCGCCGAGCTCGCCTTGGTCCTCAAACGCAGTCGCGTCGTCGACATCGTTCTTAGAGTCGAACTTGTCGCCATTGGGTCTGCCGGACGTGCGACCGCCCCGGCTTGCGAAGCCACCTCTGCCACCGCGTCCAGAACCTCTGCCGCGCGAGGCGGCAGGCCGAGTCTGTACCTCAGACATTGCTGGGTTTCTTTGTATGAGGGGAGGGGTTTTTCCACGATGGGAAAAAATGGAGGAATCAATTATTTGACTGTCCCGTATCGACACGACAGCTTTGGTGGGGGTGGTTGGTCTTTGCGGGACTCAGGCCGATGGAGAGGGGGAAGAAAAAAATAGGAAAAGAAAAGGGTGCCGCAAGGTAGTAGAGACGACGTCGTCGTGGTCGTGGCTGACGAGACGAGACAAGTGAGGTTGGTGGTGGAGGATGTTGGTGGGAGAGAAGAACGAGGTGTGGATGGTGGATGGAGGTGGAATGTTTGTGCAGAGGCAGACACCGACGCAAATGCTGCAAAGGGAACTGGGGAAAAGTTCAAAGGGAGGTTTTTTGCCCAGGCAGGCAGGTAGGCAGGCAGGCTACCTAGGTACCAGTGGCTACTGGCGAGAACCACAGCAGCACACAGAGCACGGGCGGTAGCGACAAGCGTCAGGGTTGGGTTGGGGTGGTGGGTGGTAGCTGGAGGCTGTGGGCTTGCGGCAGCGTGGCAGCAGTCTGAGCTGAGTGGCAGCAGTCAATTGGGTCACGCAGGGTCAAAGTCCGTGAGTGTGGAGAGAGAGAGGGCCAACACCAGCAGAGCGACACCGCGTGTTTTCTGTGGTGCACGCTACCGTGGGACAGCAGCAGAGGGCCGAGGAAGGTCTTTTTGCGACTTTGGCGTGCCTTTCCACCTCAGGGTTCCCCGTCAAAACTCGATCTGGCCAGGGAAAGGAAGGTGAGGTGGGAAGGTGAGCAAGTATAGGGAGGTAGGCAGGTGAGGTAAGGCTGGGGCGGTACGTACCGAAGCAGCTCCACGTATTTACTTGCTGCTGCTGTGGTGGTTTTTTTTTTTCTTCCCTTGCTGCTGTGGTTTTTTGTGCTGGCTTGCGATGCTGGCTGCTCCGATGCTGGTCCAGTCAGGCTAAGGTTTCTGGGCCTGAGCAACCGACTGCAGCGAATGACGACCCCCTTGGCCGCATCGGGCTAGCGCAACCTGCTCTTAGCGGGCATATGCAGACCCACTGCCTCAATTGTCGGGCTGAGTGAGGTAGAAGTACACCGGCTCGCCACAGCCAAAGGCCAAACTGCAAGTATCCCCAAGTACCGACAACAGCTTTGCCGTGCGTCGTCCGGCGAAGGTACCTAAGGCAGGTACCTCCATACTCTGGCTGGTACCTGACTTGGGATTTTCCCCTGGCTGGCATTTTCTTTTCACTTGCGGACGCTGATGAGGTAAGAAAGAGAGGCAGTCACGTACCTAACATCGACCACCTAGCATCTTTGAACGAATAAGGCAGCTCGAACCTTGGAACCCCATGACTATCAAGCAATTACTATTGCGCGGCAGACGAGTTGTTTGCCCCCATTCACCCATTCTCACATTCTGGCATTTTAGCGAGTCTGGCATGTGTGGAACATGCGACAGTTACATAGTGACCAGTCCAGGAGTCAGACGGATTCAATGAGAGGAGTCCTGGGGATAGTATCAGAAAGTCAGCCAAGCGAGCAAGGCCCAAGCCGATGGAAAAAAAAATGTCCCAGACTGGGGCGCTTCGATAGCCCGTATTTACAAACTGTCGCGAATCCAATTGGGGGCCTGAATGCCATTGTCCCCAAGTTCCACGCCGTGTTACTTTGCCCACCTGCATCAGCCGAGCAGCTCTGCGCGCCAGCATCGCCCTCCGGTCCATAAAGCAGCAGTAGTGTAGTCCGTCGCCCGACGTGTTGCCGTGGCATCGGTCTTGTTTAATTTGAAGCGATGCGATGTGGGTGTGGACATTTGGGTTTGCTTTTTTTTCTCGACTCCGTCTTGAGTTTTTGAACGGAGCTCCCCTTGCCATCTCGTGTCGTATGTGCTGGGGCCAAGCTGGCTGGCAGGGTATGCTTTGCTGGTCACGAGAGCTGTATTCGTCACTCCAAACCGACCCCGGTCTCACGCAGAGCTGGATGGTGATGGGGCGATTCGTGTCACCGTGAGGTAGCCAATACAAGGGAGACCTAATGTTGCATCGGCTGAACGCAGTATCCTCGCTGTCTTGTGCCAGTTGAATCATGGAATCTGGACCCTGCTGCGCGTGCTAGACAAGCTCTGTTCGGTACAGGAAAATAGAGCCTCCTTTCCGTTTCCTTCGGTACGTACTGGTCAGCTGCTTAGGAGCCTCAGGCGCCAGGGGACCAGCTCCGCATTCTGATGGTCACATGATCTGGCAGTGGCATGACAGAGTCCAAGCTCAGCGGGTAACATCACTCCATGGCACGACGATGATGCGTATCCAAGCCAGTCCAGCAACCTGAGAGCACACCGGCACACTATCGTATTCACGTCGCCAAAACGGTCCCCTCATCTTCCGACACCTCCGGCCAGTACAGATTCCAAGTGCTGCATCCTGCAACGACATAGCGAAAGGCCATTAGTGCCGCTGTCTCTTTCCATCTCGAATCCCACAACATTTCGCCATGTTCACCACCAAGCCTCTAAGCTCAATCAAAAATGTCATCCCCTCGATCCACCAACCCTTACCCCTCTCTTCAAAGGAGTCGAAAAAGCTCCTCAACGTTCTGAAGACTTCCTTCCGCCAGCACCTCGACAAAGAGCATGGCTACGCTCCCGAGAATGCCGAATCCTCCGCTTTCAAGGCAGCCTCCAAACACTCCTCTACCTCTCACGACACACATCACCGACCGACTGACCGGCATTTGCGCGCCATTCTCTCCAACCCGCTGTTCAAGTCCGGCGTCCAGCCCAACAACATTGCATTCGCAACTCCACGCGACCCAATGGACGTCTTTGATGAGGCCGTATCCCGGGGCATGATGACAAGAAAGGCGGCCACTGGCTGCCTGCGGACAAAGCGCCAGCAAATTCTGCAATCGAGTGCACTTTCGGTTCAGGACGCCATGCTGGCGTCCGCAGCTGGCTTACGGGTGGTGCAGTGGCTCAGGTCGTCCGGCGAAGAACGGACACTCGACTTTCTCACAGATCAGCACTTTGTCCAGGAGCTCATACCATTCATGGTCGCCGAGGGGCTGGAGGAGGTTGCGTGGGTATGGGCAGACCGAATGGTTCGGGGTGAAGGCCCGGCAGACGAGAACAGCAAGATTGTGGGATCCTTGATCGCCAACTTGGTAGCGGCCAAGTCGAACGTGGAGGACAGGAACCTCGACACGGCCTTCTCTGCGATGCTTAGAGCAGATGCCACATGGAAGGCGGATCCTCAGCTGCCTCAAATTCTGCTGCGTCCTTGGCGGGTGCTCTCCTGGCAGTCAACCGTCGAAGCATGGAAAAGACCGCTGCCTTCAGCCGCACTCTTTGAGTCATATATCGGGACTGCCAACCACATTCGGCGGCCGTTGCGACTTGACCGTGCACATTTGGAGCTTCATCATCCCACTAACCCCAACCATGAACGAGCCCTGAGGTTCCTTCAAGATCAGCGTCTGGGTAACTTGGAGTCCAACAACAGTCTGGTCACGAGAGTCATCTTCATGGGCATGGACGCCGTCAGCCACCTCACAAGGCTTGGTCGGACCGATGAGGCCGAGGGTCTTCTCCGCCTGCTGCAGTCTAGATTTTCCGAGGAACTGTGGCAAAAGCACCGGTCTCGTGGCATGGCGCTTGTTTGAAAGGCCTTGGGACACCAAAGTCATAAACGCTACCCTGCCTTACCGGCTGATGAGCATCATCTCATCTGTTGGGAGGCCATTGATTGATACGTTTTGAATACCCGCAATTTGCCAGTTATCGGTTGAAGACTTCAACAGACGGTCCTCATATGGCCAATATGCAACGGCACCACCTCGAACGCGGCTCGACCTGCCTGTGTCGGCCTGGTTCGTGATTGCACTCGCCAAAATGTCTAAACACGACAGAACGGCAACTAGGAGGGGCCGGGCCGCTACAAGTGGCATAACTGCTCAACGGCTTATGATGAACACTCTGCAGCCATGCTGCGATACTACGCATCATAACCCTCGGTCGATGCGCTCACACTTTGTATGAACATTAGAAGATACCCGCAAATGCACAACTCATTCTGAATCAGGTCTCAGATCAATGCCTGTGTTTTTGAGATGACGTCGCACTAATTGCGTGACTACTGTATGTCTCACCTAGCTTTTCGCCCACGACTTTCTTATGTCTAGTGATTTGACGTATTTGGCGCCCGAAAGACGCGTCTCCCTTCAATACAACGCTAAGGAAGGAACAAAAACAGGATAGTAGAGCGACAGTCAGGAACAACCGTTGTGAGCGAGAATCGGAGGCATGTGTCACTGGCTGTCAAGGAGGACCTCCGTTCTTGAGTCGCCTAGACCGCTGCATCCTTGTCATGTCATGACGGCACGATGTTTAGGTAGCGGCTGCAGTGGTACGGGCGCCCGGGCGCACAGTTACAGGTCCCATGCTTTTGCTTACGCAGTATGGCCGAGTGTCAAATGAGAAGGGATGAGATGAACTGCTCATTGACTCGTGCTCGATCACGGTATCAGATGGGAAGGCGGGCGTATAATAGCCGAAGCGCCTGCTTACTGGCAAGAACTCAATTGCCAACGACACATGGCTAAGAGGACGGGTTATACCCTTGTTCAACGTTAATTCCATTACTACACTGATTCTGAAACCCGTGACAGAGAGAGAGAGAGAGAGAGAGAAAGCCCCAATTCGGAACGCCAAAGAAAGCAAGCCACCAAAGGCATCACAAGGCCCGTTCGTAAGAATCATACAGTTTACGCTCCGCTCCCGCCCACGTGCGATGTAAAGCCGACACCTCAAGCCTTCTTGGCAACACGCACCACAATCTTCCCGGCGGCGGACCCCTCCTTGAGCTTCTCGTACGCCTTGACGACGTCCTCGAACTCAAAGGTCGAGTCGACCACGGTCTTGACCTTGCCCTCGGCCATCCACGCCGCGATCTGCGAGAGGTCGTCGTGCGAGTTCTTTGTCATGAAGGCCTCAAACTTGTGCTTCGCGCCGCCCAAGAACCCGGGCAGGAGCATGCTCGGCACGAGGCTCTTAACCTGCGCGAAGGAGATGGCGCCGCCGACGAACTTGAAGTGGCCCGCGGGGACCAGGAACTCGTCCGAGGCCTTGTACAGGTTCGGCGGGGAGTTGCCGACGTTGTCGACGACGAGGGCAAAGACCTTGCCCTGCGCGCGGAGGGCGCCGACGACGTCCGTGGTCTTGTAGTCGACGATCTCGTCGGCGCCCAGGGACTTGCACAGGTCGGCCTTGGCCGTGGAGCACGAGACCGTCACGTGGCAGCCGAGGGCCTTTGCGATCTGGATGCCGTAGGTCCCCGTGCCGCCGGAACCGCCGTTGATGAAGACCTTGTCGCCGGCCTTGACGTAGGGCACGATGGTCTGGTACGCCGTGAGGGCGGCCGTGCCGACGGCGCCGGCCTGCTCGAGGTCCACCGCGCCCGGGACGGCGGCGACGCCGTCGCGCTCGGCAGCGATGTACTCGCTCAATGAGCCCTGAGCGGACAGGGGGTCGATACGACCGAGTACGAGGTCGCCCGCCTTGATGTCGGTGATGGCAGAGCCGACGGCGACGGCGCGGCCGGAGTAGTCCATACCGGGGCACTTGGGGAAGGTCACCATCGCCTTGGCGACGATGCCGAGGTCCGGGAACTTGTAGTCGGCCGGGTTGATGCCCGCGGCGACCACCTGGACAAGGACCTGGTTAGCTTTGAGGGACGAGGCGGCGGGCGTCGGAACGGTGACGAGGGCGAGGTCCTTGATGAAGGAGCCCGGGGAGGCGATCTGCCAGCGGCGCATCTCGGCGGGGGGCTCTTGGCTCATGATTACGGTCGCGATGTGTGTATCGTGCGAGTTTAGGTGTTTGGTGATTGTCAAGGATGTGGTGGTGAGTTGAACGAGATGTAGTGGGATTGCGTTCGAGTGAAGCAAATGCTAGAAAGAGTCAAGGGTATAAACAAGGCTCTTATCACCGGGCAGCACGGTGGAACAGGGCCGTGATATTAAGTTTCCCATAGGTATGGCCTTGCTCAAAGGTGGGGTGTGAGACACACTGACGGCACTGGCAGCCTCTAATTCATCCTCGGATTGGGGATGCAATGCGGGACCCCGCCCCTTCGTTCCCGTTCCATCGCCTATCTATCTATCTGCACCTGGGAGAGAGCTGTCAGTGTCAGTTCACTACTGGCGCTTCCATTCGTCGGCGCACAGCACGCCACAGCACAGCAGAGACAAGCCAGGATGACAGGCACACTCGCACGCACGCACGCACGCACGCACGCACAGCTACGTCAAATGGGCGTCACGACTCGGCTTGGCCCGATCCGGCCTCGAAGTGGGTGGGTGCCTCGCGCCGATTGTTCACCCGGGAGTACCGATCCCCACCGGACGTCAACTCCGTCCCGTCACCCCCCAGACTGAACTGCGCGCACATCCCAATGGATCATCAACACGGGCCCCCGTTCGCCCAATGGGGCGTGCCGATTGGCCGACGAAGCTGTTGAAATTTCTGCCGCCGAGATTTTCTAGAAGGAAGTGGGTTTCGCAGCCACAGCAACCACATACCAGGTTCTTTTGGCTTCCAAATTGTTTCGCCTGATAAAATCAGTTGACGGGGACTAACTGGATTTCAGCCAGCGTTAGCCGCTTGTGACTACCGAGAATTGATTGGTTGTTTTGCTTCGTAGCTCGTCGCACCGGTAGTAGAATCATTCAACCTACTTTGCTACGAATAAAGGTGTAACTCGCAGTGTCGAGAACTTCCGGCTGAGTTCGGTGGCAACAACGGCTTCTGTCGACTCAACTGCTTGTAGCATACCGATTGCCTCCTAAAAACACCTTAACCCTTTCGCGCGCCACGTGGGCTGATAAGACCAAACTTGACACTAGGATATGCGTCTCGACGGTCCTCCTACCATATGGTTCTGACTTTGTGGCCAGTGTCGGCAGTCAAGCTGTCAGCTACGCTGCGCATTGTTGACCAGGACGGGCCAGGGCGAGTTAAGTCACTAATCATGGGAGGGGGGTTTCTTAACTAAGGCGTGCATTATCAAGTAACAAGAGTTGAGCATTGGCCCTCATTTAATTATATTCTTTGAAAACCGTACGTGCGTTGCAGCTTGTTTCGCTAGGAATCATTGTTCTGTTCGTGGTCTCACTGTGTATCTCGACACTGGAGTTGAGATGGCGTGAATGCCGTTGTGTTCTAAATAGTCTGAGACATTCCCAAAACTTGTTGATATTTCTATTCCCCCTCAAGCACTCTCCGTGACGAAATCTAAGTAGTTATCTCAAATAAAATATCCACCTCCTCACACTGCATCCGTCTTCCCCTGCACTGCTACTCTTTCAAGATCACTCTCAGTCTCATCCGAGTTTTCGACCTCATCCTCAACACTCTGATTCCAATTGCCAAAGACCGCAAGCAGCGTAAAAGGGATCGTGAAGGCCCACAGCGAGAAGCCTAGAATCATTTGGTTCTTGTTCGGCCAATGCGTCGCGCCCACAGCATACGCAATCGTGCTTCCAATAGACTCCCAAGACCTTAGGATGCCTGTCGTGCGCGCGATATCACCATTTCCCTGCGCTCCCTTGATCTCGGCCATGAGCCAGTAGATGTACGTCTGCAGCATCTCGTAAAAGAACTTGAAGAACATGTAGACCGTGAACGCGGAATTGAAGAACGGGCCATCGCCGAGATCGAAGGATGGCGGGTCCGCCATGGAGGAGAGACGGGTCTCGATGACGGCATTCCATGTCCAAGCAGCGGTGACAAAGGTCAGGACCAGGAGATAGACGGCCTTGGATTTGGTGGAGCGCTCGAAACGCTTCATGTCCAGGATTGCGCCGGTGGTTATGTTTGCGGCTGCGCCGACGACGGCTGTCAGGAACGATGCCAGAGCTCTGGACCGGACGGTAAAGTAAGCTGTATATTGTCAATAAAGGGTGCTTAGCCAGTTCAGCTCATTGTACGCACTTGTGAGATAGTTTCCTTGGTACGTCGTGCCGAATTGCCCAGCCAAGAAGACGGGAATAAGCAGCAGCATGTACTTGTTCTTCAGCTGTTTCCAGATTGCACGGGCTTCAGTGCCAAAGTTGGTCTTCCTCATATATGGAATCTTTGTACCGTCGGTTCTGATGACCTTCTGAGGTTGTGACAGAAGCAGAGCAAACGGCGCTCCAAGTGATGAGATGGCAACGAGACCCAGGTATGTCGTGTAGGTAACTTTGCCCTTTTGGGATGTCTTGATGTTCAATGCAAGAGAGATGGCACCGCCTACAAGAGGACCCATTTGTCGGATACCCATCCAGATTTCGACATATCTAGATATTAAGTCAGTCAAGGTTTTTTATAGTTGGCTGTTTCAAGGGAGAGACTCACCGGCCTCTCTTGTCCGCCTCGGGGTAGCCGACAGCGATGGCGGCTTCACTCGCCCACAGGAGCGATGCTCCGATACCGCAAAATCCTGCTCCGAGCAACAGAAACCATTCGTTTCCATAGCGATTGTTGCAATACAATCCGGCTGCGTACGGTGTATAGAACGCCGCGCCGATAAACAGTGTCCATTTCGCTGTGATTTTGTTGGTGACGCCTCCCGCAATAAAACACCCCACAGACATGAGCCCGTAGGTGAGAGCATTTGCGGCGTTGTTTAGGAACGGCTGTGTGATACATCAGTCAACTTGGTCTGCATGATATCAAGGGATAGGCTAGATTTTACTTTTGCGTTGCCTCCGGCCCCGAGGTTGTTCAGTGCTGTCCAAATGCCGGGCTCACAAAAAGCCACAAGCCCGACGATGATGATTTGGAAAAGGCATGACCGGTAGATCTGGCCTGGGCGAGTAAGAGCCATGATGAACTACGTTGACGAAATTACTCCAATACGAAGGAGATTGTAGTTCTGTGACACGCCCAAAAACACGGTTGCAGCAGTTATTCTAGTTATCGTCTTGCCTCAACACCGAAAAGCCTGCATGAGCACGTCAGGACCCATCAGGAATGCGATATTTCAAACACCCTGCGCCAATGTCACAGTGCAGCAAAAGATAACAAGAATCAGCACGCAATTTTCGAAGTGGACACTATTAAAGCCGCAACAGAAACACTGAGTTTTGATTCCCTACATTGTAATATGTGGGATCGGAGGTGGACGCAGACAAGCTTGTCAAGCATTAGCCGCAAAGCTTAGCTCCGCTTGTACGTGCGGGTGTTGAGTCGGAAGCTGTGATAAGCCAGATTGGCCAACGAGAAGCTGCAAGCGAGAGGAGTCGGGAATAACATTGAGGTAACAACAGTAAGGATCGTAGATCACGCAATGCCCCACGCAGATGGTGTTGAAACATTTTGGCCGCAGATCAGCTAGATATCACTGCTAACCTTATATCCGGCTCTTACGTGTAAAATGTTAATCACATGCCGGAATCCTGTTGCGCCACTTACGAACAATTTGAACCGGCTGGATTGGAACACGACTTTAACATTGACAATGTTGAACACTTCAAAGGATATTCTTAGAGACTCAACATCAATACTTCATTACCATTTTAATTGTTCGATAGTGCTATCATTCCGGAAGAAAAAGCAGACCACCCTCTCTAATTTGACCATGACAAACTAAGGCATGTGTTTGCTTTCAACGTCGGCGTCAACAAAGGCGAGTTCAGATCTACCAGCCTTGAAGCTTGCTTCATCCTAGCACCATTTTTCAATAATATCCATGATAGGCAGGGGCTAATGATCTGCCGGTTTACTGGCACATTAGTTGGCTTGCCAATTAACATGCCTCCCCAGCAGTCCACGACCCAGCAGTAGTATTTTATTGAATATGAGAGACACCTTACGTTCACTCGAAGTGCACTAGTCCTGAAAGGAGGCAAAGGATATTTGTCTTGAAAAGATCCAAAATTTTTCATGGCTGAGGCCCAACTTCAGGTCGTAAATATTCAGAGCCTATCTAACAAATCGAACGTAGCAGTGGAGAATAAAATACAACGCAAGATGTGCTCAGAGAGTATGGTATGGCCACTCCGTTATGGTTGGCTGGGCACACCAGACCTATTTTCAAGAAAGCTCTAGCTTCGAAGGTAGTTTTTTTCTTACGTTGATAGAAGCTTGGCTGTTGACGTCCATCTTCTTGGCTATTTATGGTTTGCTCGGTTTTGAGGGAGCAACTCCGTCGAGAAGTTTCAACGCATAGTTCTAACAGCATGACTTAAGAAGTCACCAATGCCAACATAAGAGGGAGATTGAGCTGCGAGCAAAATTCAATGCTTGGAATCATGTGCACGGGAGTGAGGCATGTTACGGTAGGGCATGCTTCTAACGCTACCTAATTATCTTAGGCAGGGAAGCAGTAATGGGATAGATAATTCGTTGTCAATCATAAGTTCCCCGTATATAATTACATGCCCATGCTGATTTTCCAACAAGAAATTTTGGTAAGAATGGTCTTTAATTAATGGGAGAAGGCCATTGGCCTCAACAAGACACACAATTTAATCAACCTTTAGAATCCTCGCCCGCTGCCCCTGTGTAAACTCCAGTCTCTGTGTCTGAACCCCCTGTTCCACTCGCCTGGACTTTATCGTAACGATCCTGTCGGGCTACAAAAAGCCACGCACTGGAGACGGCCACTAGTGTACAACATAGTAGTCCGATAGAACAAGAGTAGCTCACACGATAAGTCGGCCCGAACTTTGGTTGGTATATTTGAGGACCCTATTATTTGTCAACGGAGTGAAACACAAAATAACTAGGGAGTTGATTCCATACCACAATGCCCATGAGCTGGCATGAGGCCTAAGAGTTGGTTCAGGTCAGATTCAGATGTGTACTTCCAAATGATGTATCGAACAAAACATTCGATGGCTTACATTGGTAATGCCAATAGCGAGAGCAGCGCTTGTCGTCCCCTTGGCAGCTCTGATGCGTTCTGCGATGTCAATAGGTCAGCCGCTGCAGTCTTTGCATTTTCTCAGTTTGCGTTGCTAACCTGGCCAAATGATGGCAAAAAAGCTTTGAGATGCAGCTGTTGCAATCATGACAAAGATGTACCTCAACGGAGGTTAGCTTGATCGTTGTTGAATAAATTGGCAAGCATACTTGGCAATTGGGTGCTTGACTGTGATGAGTAGCACATAACAAACAATTTGGGCAATCTCTAGACCCAAACCGGCTACCCACGGGCTCAGTTTCCGAGTGTGAACGAGGAATGCGAGTGACAAAAGAATCACAAAGACGAGAGTGAAAGGAGGCTTTTGAAGGTCAACGGTCTTTTCTTGGGTAGCTGTTAGGTAATTGACTTGAAATACGCACCATCGTCATCACTTGAGAGATTGCTGTATTAGAGATACCTAGTTCGTAGATGACTGTCGGTAAAACGAAAGATATTCCCCATCCGCCAATCCCATGTGTTATCCAGATCATCAGAAACGGGATGAATGTAGGGTTGTGGAATAGTTGCTTGACTTGCTGGAAATCAACAGTCTTAGCATCCATCGTCGGCGCTTTCTCTGGGAGATCAGAAATGACGATTTCCCTTTCAGACTCGGTGAGAAATTTGACTGTCTCAGGGTCTAGCTCTGCATTAGCTCTTACTCCATCGATTCAGACGCCGTGAGCATGACGTCGTAACCTACAGTTGGGTAGAAAGAAGAAAGTGTAGACTCCGCATAATATCGCAGGAATGCCTTCGAGAATGAACAGCTTTGAAAAGGTCAGTTGGTCCTGTAATCAAACGTAAGGACAGACCAACCCATCTCCAACCAGCCAGGCCCCGATGCCATTCATAAAAGAAATAGCGTACGCTGTTGCGAATTAGCGGGTATTCCTTTGGATCTTCTGGTACTCATACCAAGCAGGCCACTAATTGTGCCGGAAAACATGCCACAAGCATAGAAAAAGCCCTTAAACCGTCAGTAGTGATATCGTTCTTGTTCACCGTGCGATATGCATACGATTCTGAGTGGCAGCTTATGGGTTGAGTACCAGAAGCTAAGATGATATAAAACGCCCGGGTAGAACCCTGCTTCGGCAAGGCCTAGGAAAAACCGGCAAGCAAGAATGCCAGAATAGCTTTGGGTTGCACCTTGACACATAGATATTATTCCCTATATTAACAGTCAGCACCGACATCATACTTGTTCAAGGTAGTCCCAAATACCCAGGTGATCATTATTCGACTCATCCAGACTGAAGGCGAAAATCTTTTCAGCGCAAGCGTGGCGAGCGGCTCAAAGAACATGTAAGGATAGTAAAATATGCTCAATGCCCAAGCCCATTGAGAGCTGGATAGATTCCCAAGCTGCTTCCGGATGCCGGTGCCTTCTTCAAGGTTGATAATGGCAGCGTTGCTGATGTTGCTAACGTGTATGCGCATAATGAGGTATACAAACGAGTACCACAAAAGGAGCCGTTTGTCGACCTTTCGATGAGCTATCTCCAACAGCGGCTTTTCTTCGTCCGGCGAGGATATCCTGCGCGGCGAAGCTGTCTGATCAACCATGTCGAAGTAACGAGAAGTAAGTAATTAGCTTTTTTACTCCGAGACGATAATGCAGTTCTACTTGACACGGCACCTGAACGTGAGAGTTGGTGTAAGATATTGATTCTTAGAGAAAGGGGAATTCTGGAACAAAATACACGCTGTGAATGTTTTGACGTGCAGTTCAGTGCTAGACATTGCATTGTATGTCGGGTACGCAGAGTCAAACCAAGATGGCACTGCAAGAAGCACGTCTTACGGCGGGGCCATGTGCACAGCAGCATCGCCAATGCAAGATATGCTAGGGTTGCGACCAATGACACAGCTGGCCTTCGCCATCCCACATTGTTGCAGGGTAATCTATAGGCATGTGTCTGGTCTACACCACCTGGACAGGGCTCCTTTTGGATTTACTCTCATCGAGGTTCTAGGCACAAGGGGGAAATGCGTATAAAATCATCGCAAAACTAAACAAATGAAACAACAGTCAAAAGTATTGCGCACGTATGCATCTGTCGAGACTCGAACTCGAGTCCCCAGCTGTCATTTGCGTGGAAATGGAAGGCTGGGATGATAACCCCTACACTACAGATGCGCCAATTCGCTTCAGAACCAAGGATTTGGAGTGGGGACGTATTGTGGGTTCAAGTGGAAGCACTCATGTTGTGAGACTAATCCTCACGAACTTGATAGCGGTGAGTGGTTATTTGATCACTCAATGTCAACATTTCTGATGTGTAAGACCTTATTACTAGTACGACCTGCGTCAGCCAAGAGCTTGCTGCTGGACAAGGCGTATTCCAAGGTTTACCCAAGGGTTGGCCCCTTGACGTTGTCAGGAATGATAGTAATTCTTCAACGTTCAATGTAGCTTCAATGATCCGAGGCCATAGTATTCGCCAAATTCTCACGGAAATAAACCAACCATACTGTATCCGATATGCGGGGAGTGACAGCGTAAGAAAGAGTAAAGCGGGCCATGGAAGGTTCAGACCAACCATGACCAATTGTTTATGTTCCTCATTTTGTCGATATATGGCGTGCTCCAAATCCGGCGATCGCCCTCCGATGAACAAGATAGTACCGGCGCGGGAGAGCTACTCTCCTGACATCAGACGAGGGGTATTTATGAAAGGCAATTCGGACTTCATGGCATCATTCTACGTTGGCGAATATCATTTCAGTGTACTTTAAACCATTGCAACGTATGATGCCGTCAGCCACTTCTCCAGAAACAGTCCCATTGCCAAAATGGCAACGTCCAGCAAAAACCAAATACGAGCTCCCATGGGCAGAGATCGCTGTAGTTGATATCGGCAAATTCGACCAGCCGGGAGGCAAGAAGCAATTGGCTGAAGACCTCCGCCAGGCAGTAAGCCAATTCACATTTTCGCGCCAAGATGTCCCAGAGCTAAGGAGATCCCTAGGTCCAAGAGACTGGCTTTTTTAGTCTCATCAATACCGGCTTCACATCGGATGAAGTGCAGCAACAATATGACATTGGGCAAGGATTCTTCAGCCTCCCCGTAGAGGATAAGGCAAGGCCCGGCAATACCTGTGACTTTTCCAAAGGCAACTACTTTGGGTACAGACCGGTAAGCTTAGCTGCAATCCATGTTGCATCTGAAGTTGCTGCCAAACTAACGATGTTTCAAGGCGCATGATAAAAAGATGCAGGGCACCGACGTGCTCAACAATGTAGAGTCCGTGAATATTGCCAAGTTCATCGCAAATTACCAGAACGAGCCTTTTCATCCGTTCTTCGACCCTTTCAGGAAAGAGATTGAAGACTTTTCGAGAGTAAGATCCCGATCGAGCGCGATTGTTGAAATGCTGGTACTCACATACCTATCAGCGCTCCCTCGAGCTGGCGAGCAAAGTCTTCACCCTCTTCTCAATCATCCTCGAGCTCCCCGAAGACTACTTCTCCTCCCGCCACGCCTACGAGTCCCCTAGCGAAGATCATCTCCGCTATATGGGCTATCATCCGCGACCCCTTGCTGACGACCTCAAAGTCGCAAATACCTGGTCACGGGCCCACACTGACTTTGGTTCCTTGACGCTGCTTTGGAGCCAGGATGTTGCGGGCCTACAGATCAAGACTGCGGCGGGTGACTGGCGCTATGTGCCGCCCATCGACGGCGGAATCGTCTGTAACGTTGGCGACACGCTCGATTTCTGGTCTGCGGGCTACCTCAAGTCCACCACACACCGCGTAGTGAGGCCGCCCGAGGACCAGGCTCACCTATTTCGCCAGGGTTTGTTTTACTTTGTGAGGCCTGGTGACGACGTCGACATCAAACCAGCGCCGTCGCCATTATTAAAGAGGCTCGGGCTGGTAAGGGAAGATGCCGAGGACGCTGAGCCAGTGAGGGGGCTGCAGTATGTTAGAGAGCGGGTGAAGAACTACCATGATCATAACGACTACGCAGACATGAAGGGCAAGAAATTCAAAGTCGGCAACTTGGAAATTGAGGACGAGGCACATTGATCAAGAAGATTCGACATCGGGTATCTCTTGTCGGGACCCTAACTAGAATTTGGAAACTTTTTAAAGGTCATAAAACAATGAACAGTGTCCAAAATCACTGGTCGTATTCGCCAGCGTACAGAAGTTCACCGGGTTGGCCGTTGGCGACGTCCCAGATGGAGCGCTCTTCCAACTCCAGCTCTCTTCTCAGAGCGGTGACATTCACACCGGTCTCCTTGGCCTGGTCCTCCTTCGCAAGTCTCACTACCAAGAATGTTAGCGAATTCTCCCCGAGTAGAGCAGCGTCGTGCGATGCTAAAACTTACCATGCAAAAACACAGCCGCCCGCTTGCCGGTATACAGCGCATGCGGCACGTTGGTGCTGTTATCCGAGTTCGCGTCACCAACGGCGTAGATACCTGGCACGTTCGTCGCATACCCCTTGGAGACGTCAGTCGCTAGTCGACCGCCCCACAGCTGCACGCCGGCCTCCTCGCCGATTTTGCTGCGCTGTTCGTCGGGGAAGCTGACGAAGAAGGCAGCGCGCTGGACGGGGTCGCCCGTGGTGAAGTTGACCGAGAAGAGGTCGAGCTCCGGTGCCGTCGGCAGCGAGGGGTCGTGGGCCGGATCGCCACCATCCTTAAGACGGGTGAAGCCCGTGATGGTGCGGTTCTCGATCGTGACGTTATGCAAGTCGAGGTATTCCTGGAACTTGGGGTTCTTGGTCTCCGTTTTGGCTCGAGCCTCGGGTGTATCTGTGCCGTTGGCGAAGGCGATGAGGTCGGTGTTGAGCGTCAGGATCTCGCGGGCGAGGGAGGGGAGGTCGTCGAAGGAGCCGGCCAGGAGACCAAGGGGCTGGTCTGCGTGCTCGTTTCCATCGCACCAAGGGCACTAAGAGTGTTAAAAAAGCAATGAGTGATTACCGATCATAGAACATACCCAGTAAATGCCCTTACCCCAGTTCTCCCAGAAGCCTGGCGTGTTGGGGAGGTCATCCTTCAGACCGGTGGCAAGAATGACCTTGCGTGCATGGACATTCTTGACTGAGTTGTTGGCCAAGTTGGTTGTTACAATAAACTTGTCTGCATCATTGCCTGCGATCTTAGTGACAGTGCCGTTGGTCAAGGTAATGCTATCATAATGAGAGATCTGCTCGCGGGCCGCGTATCGGTACCATGCGGGGGTAACGCCTTATGAGTGTTAGATTTTGGGAAGAAAGAGTTGTCTGCCATCGATTCATACCATCAAAACCGAGGACGTCGTGCATGTGCCTTGTAGGCGCATTACGATACTCTCCAGAATCGATTAAGAGAGTTCTACGGCGTACACGACCAAGGGCGCTCGCAACGCTGAGGCCTGCAGGGCCGCCTCCAACGATGATTGCATCGTACACGATGACTTCGTCGATTGGTAGGGCGAGAACCAGGCTCGACGCTGCTGAGAGCAAAAGAGAGCTGAGAGAGAACTTCATGACGGGCTAAGGACACAATGAGACCTGGGCACAAACGAGAGACAGGCTGGCGTCGTCGAACTGAGCTGCTGAGCTACCCAACATCCCCACAGTAGAGAGGCCCTCCACGCCCGTTTATAAACACCATCAAAGCATCTTCTTCCACCAGTGCACAGGGAATACGTGCCATCGCAGCTGGATGGTGCAATGTCGTGAGACATCTGAAATGAGCCTGGTGAGATGTCGATCTTCGCGACGATGCCACGGCATGCCCGTCTCGTGTGGAGATGGCGGGCCGCGACGTTAGCGTCAAATAAAGTGACCGGTAAGACGCGGGACTCAAAGTGCGCCAATCGAGGATTGCCAACTTGACCGAATGTGGTAGGTAGAGCTATGCAGGGTAGGTAGGCAAGGGGCTGTGATGCAGCGTTGATCTCGTCGACTAAATGGACTCACCGGATTGTTCTGCAGTCTCTGCTTAAGGTTCATCCATATAGGACATCGGTAATACCGGCGCTGCATTCTTTGATGGTCTGAATATAGTGTGCTGCTGAGGCTGACTCAAGATCCAGGGGATAGTCAATGACGTGATCGTCGACATTGTACCTCTCGAAAGCATGCAGCATAGTCTTTAGTGTCGCAATGCTGGGCTTGTCACTTTTCAGGTGGCTGCGAGTCAAGAGGTGGAAATATGACAAGACGGTCCCTCGATAGATCATTCGAAGCGCGTGCGGACTTGGTTGATTGGCGTCGAGACATTCGGAACGTTTCTTAATGACATTAGCTTGTCCACCAAAATAGCACAACATTCAAAGTTTGAAAGGGAAATGAGCTCTCCCAAAATTGACATGTCAAATGCCTGCCCAGGACCCCACAGGATCTCCGTTATAGGCTGTTGTGGGGTTGGGCTGGGATCCATTCGCAAACCTTGAGCTGCAGCTTTCTTCCATGAACTCTAGCGTCCGATCCTCCAAACGACGAGTAAACAAGCGTGAAAAGGACCGAATCCCGTGCTAAGATGTGTTGGGATGCAGTCTAAATTACTTTGTGCTCACATTGGTATTGTAGGGAGATATGCACAAGAGTCCAAAAAGCGATCGACAGTGATGTTTTCTCTCTTTGGTGCTATTATTCGTTGTCACAAGCTGCGTTCACCCGGCCCGTTCCTTTGCCTTACCCGAAGCGTCATGGCCGACATGCACTCTACAAATCATGCTGTTCACATGAGGGTTTCTCAAACTTCTGTGTCTTGCTAGTAAATCGTCCTTGTTTTTGTCTCGATGCCATGTGTCTCTGCATGCCTCGCTTTGAAACTTACCAAATCGATTGTGAGCACATGTCGTGCTACTGTCACGGTGCATTTTCTGTGTCGGGGCAGCGTTCCGCGCCCCAAGACACAACCGTCCGAATGAGGAAGAAAAAATCCCACACCGACACAGGAAAGCCCTGGAAAGATTCCGCGAAGATCAAGATAGATTTGTGCAAAATTGCTCAATTCTCAATACGTGTACATGATAAGAAGGGTATCTAGCGATTGCGGGTACTCCCCTCAGACGTGTATATACAGGAAGTCGTATTCTCGTGCACTCATGTTATCCAATCCCTCCCGATTCGTGTCCGTGTTTTCTATCACTCGGTGCTGTTGACAACCCTCAGAGCACGTCTAGGGCCCATGACAACCGAAAAGAAACTTGGCTCCTGTCCTTCGAGCAGCTGCTCCGTGCTTGAGATGCTTTCGTTGTCGGTATTCGCATGTCTGCTGGAGCTTGTTCGCGGGTCGTTCCCGGTTCCACTCGGGCCGCTCTTGAACGTCCTCGCATCCTCGCTCTTCCTCTTCAGCCCGCTACCACTGACGTTGGCAGTGCCACCAGATCCGGAGCCTGGGGTGGGATCATCCGTCATCCACTTTGGTTCCACTCCAGTCCCGACCCACGAGAAGGACTCATCGCTAACTGTGCTATTATCGCGATTGTGTCCGCGACTGTTCTTCTCGGCCCGGCTAGGGAAGAAATTGGCGGCTCCGAAATGCATAGGGCTAGCGCCCGAGTAGCGGTTTACTTGGGACAAATGCTGCTTGTAAGCGGCAACCTGACGTCGGTAAAGCCAGGCGCAGAAACCCAGGTACAGCGCAAGGGCACCAAGAATCCCAGCGATGACACCCGCTGCGATGAGACCAGGATTGGTACCTCCGCTACCACCTGAACTCTCGCCAGGGGCAGAAGTACTAGTAGGACCAAATGAGGTGATCGTTGCGGTCGAGCCACCTTGCGTGATTGTGAAAACCGGAGGCTTGCCTGTTGCGAACGGACCGCCGGTAGCAGGGCCGGCGGCGGGGGTCGTTGCGGTGGCTCCGCCCTCCGAATTGCCCCCGATGACGCTTTGCACCTTACCGGGTACCTTGTACCCGTAAGATCCCGCCTGGACTGAGTTTTCGGAGCTCAGATCCGCTGGATGGTCCCCAGCCTTGAACCCGCTTGACCACTGAAGGGTGCTCGCGTCAAACACGTAGACTTCTTGGGATTCGCATTTGGGTTCTTCGCCGATATATCCACCCGCGACGATGATCTGACCGTCGCGCATGGTACATGTATGCCCGGCTCGAGGCGCGGGTACTCCATCACCTGCGTCCACCTTGATCCAGGTAAACGCAGGAATAGAAAGGATGTACATATCATTATACTGAGTTTGGTTTTTCTGCATGCATCATTAGCTCAGGACAATCTCTTGTTCATGCGACACAAGAACTTACAAAGGGTTGGAGGTTCTGGCCTCCAAAGAAGTAGATCTGAAAGCTCGAAGCGTCGGGAGCGCTAGCGATTGCAGCGCAAGGGTTGACGCGCACAGATGGCCTGTCACCGGTCGTCCGCTGATGGTACCACTCGGAGGTAGCAATATCGAAGACATCGAGCGTCCCTAGATCATCGACGAACGTCTTGTCTGATCCTCCGGCCATGCCAATTAAAACACCTCTGACACCCCAGCCGGGGACAAATACTAGCACGCCATCCGCTCTTTCGGGAAAGGCATCAGTCTCTTGCAATCCACCCTCCGTGATGTTACGGAAGACACCACCGTCTGCGGCCCCAGCACCACGCAGTGAGTCGACACCGGTGTTCATGAAGCCGGGGTGGGTGAACTCCAGAAGACTTTTGAGATATACTCTAGGAGTTTGAGTCGACCAGCCCTCAGTCGTGAGCCAGTCAAGATGGCCGCCGAAATACCAACTCAAACCAAGTTCGGGTACTGACAAGCCAGCGCCTTCTGCAGAGCGCTGGACAGGCGTGTTGCCTGCGGTCGAATAATTGCCAGATGATGTGCGAGGGTCTTTGAATTCAATCCAGGAACCGTCCTTGACGGAATAGCGCCAGATTGACATCGGAGCAACCGTGGCGTAGACGCCTTCTGCGCCGTCATTGTCTGCAAATTGTCCGCCATAGAGGTAAAGATTGTTGTAATCATGCCACAAGAAACCGTTGGCTACAGCCGGGGGTCCATTGGGTATCGTCATGTCTTTAAGGGAAGGCGATGTCGCATCCCATGATTTCGTCAGGTCGAGAGTAAGGAAGTCATTGTCTGTGTGAACTTGTTAGGTCTCGCTTCACCTCCTCCCATGAGGCCGGTACTTACTCCACGTATTAACGGTCTGCGATGCCTCAGTCTTGGACTGACCACCATACATGTACAAAGTTCCGTTGAGCAAGGCCGCTGTTCATTATTAGTCAGGTTCCCAGTTCGTCAAGAGAACAAACTAACCTTGCTGGGCCCATCTTAGACAGACATTTGTTGACGTCGTTTCTCTTGGGCGTATCGCGCCGGCGTCTGCCCCGCTCCCAATTTTCTGATGGCCATTGTTATAACTAAAGGCTGGAATGATGACAGCAATGAGCAAAGCGATCATGCCAAGCCGCTGTAGACTCGACACGGTGGGAGGTGGTGCACTCGAAGCCGTCTTGATCCGCGGGCGCCGATAGCCCTGTGACAGTTTGTTATACCACGAATGCTTCGAAACCTGACTTGAGCTCCTATAACGAGACTCGGTAGGGGCCTCCCGTTGTTCAGGATCAGAGTGCCTGTTTGCTCCGTCGCCGTCGTCACCGTCGTCGTCGCCGTCGTTCGAGGTATCGCCACGCTTAGACACCAACCCTGCTATTTGTCCAAACTCCTTTTCGATTGACATTGATTCCTTCCGCTCGGAAGAATGCTGAAATGACTCGGTGATAGAGGAGCCGCAATCGTCGCTAAAGTCGTCGTCAAGTCCCAGCTCTTTGAATACTGATTTTCTGCCTTTCTTAATGTTGCTAATCATTGAGAATGGCTGTGGTCTGAGACCAGATCCTTCTCTTAGGCGATCGGATGTGTTTTGCGAATTGAACCTTGGCCGGACATGTGAATCGCTATGTGAACGATGGTCGAGAGGGGGGCGAGAGAGGTTAACAAAAGACATCGTGAAAACGTGGCAAAAGCGGCCAGGGATGCAAGATAGTGACGGGTAGGCTGACAGTGACTAGGCGACTCTGACGTGCAAACGGCAGTTGGACGGCTCGTAGCACACTATGATGTCGCCACATGCAGTGGGTGGTAGGGATTGTCACATCGCCCGCAATCACAAGCAACAGGATAGCAGAGCAGTGAGGTCACTCCTCACAAGGAAGAGAAACGGAGATAAGATTACAACAAGGGGGGACGGGTGGTAGAAGTGGCAGAAGAGAGCGATCAGGGCCGTTCGTGAGATCTTGAAAGACTGAGCCCTTGGCTTTTTGTGAATTGCTCCAACAAAAAAGGAGCAGAGAGAGATGGATTGGAAATAAATCAAGAATGAAGAATTGGAAGAAGAAAAAAGACACCAAGCCCTAACCTTTGTCCAGAAACTGGATTCCTGCCTGAAATTGTCCGAATCAACTAGATCGAAACCGTGGAGGGATAGCTTTCACCCAAGAACACATCAATGGAACCAAAACGACCGTAAGCCAACCAGTGGATGGAACACGGAGACCGATAGACACGGGACACACAGGTGCCGGCAGACTGGAAGGCTCGTTTGGGCACAGGCACAGAACGAGAGGCGTGGAGACACCGGGTGTGTGGTGGTAGACGAACTACTGGTAGAAGCCTAAACAAGAACGCCACAATATCATCCGTTTCCTTCTATCCATTCAAGACCTCCGGTTTTCTCTAAGCGAGAGAGGGGACGGTCATGGCACTGGCTCCATGGGAAAGGCACGGAGCTAAAACCTGGAAGGGCCTGGGCACTGCCGGTCGTTGCTGGATTCATCCAGGAACCGAGCCGGCGCGCTGCGGCGATTGGGTGCCCACTTGTAACAGTCTGGCGGCGATGACTTCACCCGTCATCATCAGCAGGCCATGTTTGGCAACCCAGCGCAGTATGAATGCGACGCTGGCTGTGCTATAGGGTAGTCCATAATGGGGACTAAAAGTCGGCCCCATCGAGATTTCAGACATGGAGCGGTTGAAACGCAGGGCATCGGAACCCTGCAGCACAAGCTCCAGTTCCTGGCTGGCTAGATCTTTTGGTCCTTGTGTGTCGCGTGTTGGTGTTGATTCGGTGGAACTCATAGCTGTTCATTAAACGGTTGAGCACACCGACACACCTTTAGAAGCGGCCGTAATTACCCAATATGGTTATGAAGGTCTCTATTGGACTTTGTAAGAGAGGAAGCGGGGACCAGATCAAGTGCGGTTTACAACGCCGCGTCTGACGTCACCCAGGAAGATCCTTGCCATTCTGACCGTACCTAAGGGAAATCCTTCAACTGTCATCAGCTCATTTCTGTCTTTGCCAACTGGTGTCGGGCGGCTTTCGTAAAAGCTGGCTGGGGATCAAGTCCGTTGAAGGAGAAGATTGTCCGCAAGCGGCCCTCAGTGAACCGTTTGTATTTTCTTTCACAGGGTCGGCCTGATTCCCGTTCCCAAATGCAAATCCTTTTTTTCCGTCAATGTACCCTGCTAGTGTACCGGTATTTTTGTCAATTTGAGCCAGCCAAGTGAGACGGCAATGTTGCTCTCGGATTGACCGATGCAAGTCAATTTGTATTCTGCATGATTGTTTTGGGGAGCTCTCTGCCCCTGAAGTAGAACGAGCTGCATCTCCTCTCGGTCTAGCAACTGAAAGGCTCGCCTACAGCACCAGACTCATACGCCTTCGCGATGCCCTTCACCGTGACGTATGTCCCAGCAACGCAGATGAATGCCCCGGCAGCAAAGGTCATCACCGCCACCAGAGTCTGGAACCACTTTCGCGCCCACTGCTTCAACCCATCATAGTCATGATAGTTGTCATGCAGCCAGAATGCGCCTGCGATACCATACGTATACCACGCAGCGAATAGACTCGCCGCAATGCCAATGAGGTAGTTGAAGATCGGCACACCGACGGCGAGAACGAAAGCCGCAGCATTCATCAACACGATCAGCACCGCCCACGTGCCCCATCCCACCACAGTGTGGCTATGGAGGTGATGACTCTTGCGAAATATGCGCACGAAGAGCAACTTCGCCGCTGTATGTGCGTATAGCGACCCGGCGAGGAGGAAGTTGGGTATCGCAATCCCATACGCCGCCTTCGCCCACTTCGGTTCCAAACTGCTAAAGGACGGCGAAGCGACTTCGCTTCCGAGATAGACATAGCATACGACAGCGAACACGGCGTAAAATGTCGTCGCGAAGCCTTGAAGGGTGTATGCCGCCTTCATGGCATCCTGCGGGCGGCGCATCTCTGACATGAGGATGAAGAACATAAAGTGACCCGCATACGCGAAGACCGGATTTGTGATGGCGATAAAGGCTGTATAAAAGTCGGAGGAGACGGCGACACTGACTTGCCGGTCCGCGGCCGGGTGCAAACCTGCGCCGAGCATGCCTACGATGCCCGCGATGAGGATCGACAGAACCGATGGGATGCAAAGCCATGAGAGCTGGTCCATAGTCCGCGGGAAACTGAAAAGTAATGTCGGGATTGCGAAGATGCCAGTGTATAGCATCAGACATAGTTTGTTGTCGCTGAGCGTCGCCAACGCTATTTGTCCCGCTAGTAGTTGGCCGCCTGTCGCAAAGACGGCGAAGACCACGGTCCCGAAAGCGAGAAGTTCTCGTCCGGGCCGACCGAAGAGGATCTGCCCGGCATCTCCCATCGAGTGGACTTCCGGGTGCCTCAACTTGAATTGTACCAGGAGCCAAGAGGTGTATGTCGCGAAAATGCCAAGAAAGACGATGAGTATCACGCCGGGGACAATTCCAACGACCGCCAAGGACGAGGGTAGGGACAGCATGCCATTGCTCACGATCTCCGCTATCATGAGCACTGCGACAAGCTTCCATGACATTGTTTTATATTTGATCTGTAACTAAAGTCAGCTTGATTGTTTAAACGCGTTGATATCACAGCTCGTTCAAAACCACGTACCTGGTGATTTTCTTCGTGCCCGAACGGGTCGAGGTCGTCGTACACAACTGGCCGACTGGCCTCATTGTGATCGTCAACATCATGTTCTCTCCTGTCGTACGTCTCGCGATGTTGCTTCATTGCGACCTGGAAATGCCGATCTTCCCCCGTCGGTGATGCAGAGCGAGGTGACTATGCCTTGGGAAACCGCAGTCTCGGGACTGGAACCAGAAACAACGTGCAAATGCATGTGTGCTCCTTTGTAATTGAAAGCGCGGGGTAAGTCATCCCTTGAGCAATCCAGGTTCTTGATAAGCGTTGCCGGGTTGATGTCTTATCATCTTCCTGTCCGACCCATGGCGCTTATCTTGTAATGGCACTCTTGTCGACTAGGCCGCAAGTATCGGGCCTAGTTCGATAGGAGAAGGTCGCCATCCTGCATCTTGTTGTTCGCGTCATGGATTGTCACCCTGGGTTTGCAACTAGTATTTTGCAACGGTGACTCGTTTGGAAAGAAATTCGGCAAAAAGGCTCATCAACTAGCACTTTACCATTAAGTACACCTCTCCGCTTGGACATACGAAGCAACTAGCAGTCCTAATATACTGTGTCGCTCTTTCCGATAAAATCAACAGTTAAAATACATAGTCATGAAAATAAAATACAGTGCAACTCCATTCATATAAAGAAAAAAACCAGGAAAAGCCGAAGGCCTGCCACCCAGTTGAGCTAAGAGAGTAAACTCGCACTATCATTCTTTGCACGTTGTGCTTCTTGAGCTTATTGACTCCAAGCTATCAACATGAAACTCAAAGAGAGAACAATTGATGCAGTGGTCAAGGATTTGGTTGAACTCGTGACAGACTTGAACTGCCGCTACTAACTGGCATGTTTGTGAAGAGACATTGAGTCAGTCGTGCAATGTCCGTGTAGGCTCATTTGACCACCATCCCTATCGCTAGACTGAACCTGAGTCTTGAACACCATATCCCAATGCAAATAAGCGGACATTTCAATACCATCAGTACTGGATTTAGGCATTTGGCAGTATACATCTCATCGCCACATGTTGGGTGCATAATACTAGATCACTATGCTAACATGAAAGCAGTCTGGGATCTCTACATCTCTATATCCGATATGCGAGGTCAAATTGCAATATTAATCATGATTGTCTCGCTCATAGTATTACTCCAAGCGCAATGAGTGAGTCTACTCTCTGTGCTTAGTCTCAGCGTAGCTGAATAGTTATAGTATACCCTAGGTCTAACCGAGTGCAATGTTACGGCCTGTGGGTCTTTGAAAATTGAGATGTCATATTGCACAACTCCATTCTTCGATAGCTTTTACTAAATTTGTGGGGGCAATAGGTTCTTAGATTCAATGCCAAAGAAACGTCAGATGGCTCTGGGAACTCAGAAATTCCTAAGACTGAGATTGTTGGAACTGCCTCGGCTTATCTCTGTATATACCAACAAGCTCCTCTTGAGTTGTAGCTTGTTATGGAGCGGTTCTGTTACTGCTTTGTGACAGTCCGAGTGGCATCTGTAATACTTTGTGCTGTGAGAATTTTGATTATCCTAATCTCTAATCAACGTGTTTTTGTCTATTTGGGTTGAAAAGTTGCTTGGAAAAGCAAATACGACTCCCTGATGGAATCGGTTACTGGCTTGGCCAAGAAACATGCTTCCTTAGCTTTCAATACATCTCAGATTGATCAATAACTAATGAGAGCTTCCGACATGTGCAATAAACTAGCCGCCGCTAATAATTGACATTTCGAGCGGAGGGCTTGAATCACAGGTTAGGACGATGTATTCGGGTTTTGTCAGGCATCATGTTGTTATAACGCCTTAATTTGATATTCCTTGTGGGTGGATTTCTCCTCCACGAAAGCTCTAAAATCTTCATCATCCACAAGCTGGGCCCTCTTGTTTCTTGAACAGGGGATGTTTCAATCATATGGCTCGTTCGCTGTTTTAGACTACCCTTCTGGTTTTCGCCCTTGAACTAATGCTAAATTTGGCAAAGGTTAAAGGTTGGTTGTTCAATGCAAGACAAGGAAGCCCTCTCCGAACTTTCATTTTACCCTATTCACTGGTTTGAATCATGTTTGGTGTTTCGCAGTTTGCTCCCGGTCCTAGCATCATGAAACTTTCGACTTTCTGCAGGCTTATGCACCCCATCTCCACGTTTTGGGTCAATATTTCAGACGACTGTGCTTCGGACGAAAGATCGAACAAGATAATCAGACTCTTTGCTGTCCGTAGGTCGTTTCTTATGATGTCCTTCTGCAATCTTCATAGTACTAGTGTTGGACTTAGTCACCGACTCAATGCCCACAACTCGGCACTGGAGCGTAGCAGACGATGGCGATTGCATTGCGTGTTTACATCGTATACACATACATGCCTCTTGTACACTTTCAAATATTTTCTCAGAGTAGTGACGGACGACCAATGCAGAGGCTAGCCCTATGCAAAATATCGCACCTTTTGCAACAGCGAAAGGCCAATATAATAAAGAGGATTGTCAATCGGGGGCCCACGTTTCCATATTCCCAAGCTAGATGATGTCGATAAAAGTCAGTAGCCCCTTGAAAACATCATCAGCAACGCGTTTGATTGGTTTGCGCACACATAATTGTTCAAACTGCTCCTCAGGGCTTTGTTCAACTTAACATAACTTTGTCGAGGCCTCACATGTTCGTCCGTTCTACGGCTGAGATCGACAAATAATGACATTCTTTGCCAAGTCAAGCGATCATACAAGGACGAGCGGGGTTGTGAGGTTACTATGAGGATTGAGGGTGCATCGTACAAGGGCATGGCTCCAACAAGTCTGTATGAGAGTTCGTGACCGTCATGCGCCTCGGCCGACTCATGGCCGCCACAAGAGTTCATGTGGTTGGGCAAAAGAGCCAAGACATCCCATCAGACATGTACCTGATGAATTCGGTAACTACGCCGAATCGCGATGATCGGTTCAGCGTCAACGAGACCATTGGGTCGCTTAGGAAACACCTGGGTCACCTGGACGAGCGACCGAGAAGGACCTAGCCCTCTAGCCAAGTCGGTAAAGGGAAATAAGACACTGCCGTCGATCTCGCGCAGCTATCCCCGCATGCACGGTCCGGGGAACAAACAAGGTTCAGCCCCTCCCGCAGCAAGAGAGGCAGATGAGCCAGTCGGATATGGCGAGTAAGCCTGCTGTTCCCCGCACCCAAGGGGAGATGTAAAAATACAAGACGTTTGCCTGCCTGAAATGATTTGTTTAACTGCGGGAGTCCGTCGACTTAGCTCAATACGAAGTGGCTGGGTTAATCGGAGGCCTTTTGGCCGCCTGTGAGGTGTCATGCGGTGACAGTTCGCCATGACAAAAACCGGATGATTTTGGCGTTCCCCTAATCGAAAGGACCTGTCGATCACTACTACCTCGTCCCATGAATAGCACGAGCATAATACCTAGGGTAAGCCCCCCTCATAGCGGCTACGCCTCAACATGGTGGAGCAGTTTGGGTTAGGGGAGGAGGGAATAGGTAGGTAGCTGGTCAGGAAGTACGATCCTCTGCAGGCAGATGCACCGCTTCTCCTTTTCCGCATCGCGCTTGAAGTAGCCGGCCGAAGATGCCAGGCCCACCGTAGTAGCAAAGCTGACGGACTTGTGGCCGCAAAGAAAGACATGATCGACAGACACAAGGTCTTGTGGCCAGCCATTTCCCCCTCTTCAGATGACCGCATCATGCAGCGCTTCTGTGGCACCCATCGAACGACTCCACGTGCTACACATAGTAATGATTACCTGGTGCTTATTTCAATGTTCTGGTTACTCACATGCCATCCGACAATCCAACCAACCAACACTACGTTGTAGCACTAGGGCAACTCCCGCGTCGTTTCCCCTCCGAAGCCAAGAGACCAAGACATGGGAAATTAAGGATTGCGACCGCCAATTTTTATTGTGTGGGGAACTAGCTCACCAGCGCGCAACACTGCATGCTTCTGCATGGCACGTCACTGCGAATCAACCCTGGCGCGGAAGGAACTTTCGAAAAGCTTGCGTTGTTTTTCTCCGTTCAAGCCAGTCTACATCCAGTCCACTTGACTCAATGCCGAGCCGTCCGGGAAGAGGTCGGCAAACCATCTGATGTGTTTGCTGAAGCTGTGCTCGCCGCAGGACTTGATACGAAGCTTATAAGTCGGTTGAATGTCAACGCTCGTCCCAACCAAGCAAAAGTCAAAACTTATTTTAATCAAGTCTTGAGTATAACAGGAGCATCTCCCCTTAGCGCTGTGACCCCTCTCGTTCGTGCTGTATCTCGCGTTCTCTGTATTTCACTCAAACTTCCGTGGTTATCTCGACTGCCTATTAGGACTGGCATTGCTCACCTCGGCGCCCTCTAGCATCCTTCAAGATGCGTCTTACGCAGATGCTCCTCTCGTCTGCGCTGACGGTGCTGTCTCTCACTGCCACTGTAAATGCCCAAAACGCGACGACAACTGCTGGAGGCTCAGCACCAACGACCGGGACCGCAGAGCCATACAAACTTCAGACTCCACCTCTCGACACGGAATGGACATCGCAGGTTGGAAAAAACCCGTGGCCGGAACACCCACGACCGCAGCTGCGCCGACAGAATTGGCTGAACCTGAACGGCATTTGGACTTACCGGGCTGCGAGCGGAGCTGATGATGTCAACCACCCACCCTCAGGCAGCGTATTGGACAGGGAGGTCCTCATCCCCTCGTGCATTGAAAGCGGACTCTCCGGTATTCAGGAGCTCGACGTTACTCACTTTTGGCTTGCAACCACTTTCAAGGTACCAAGTGACTGGGGAAATCAGTCAGTGCTCCTCAACTTTGAGGCCGTCGACTATGAAGCGACTGTGTTCATCAACGGCAAGAGGGTCGGGTTTCACCGAGGAGGATACTTCCGCTTTACAATCGATGCGACGCAGTACCTCAACCCCGGTGGTAACAATACTTTGTGAGTGACAAAATGTGCTTTCCTCTCCTAGATCGCAAACTGATACAACCATCTCTTCAAGGTTGGTGTTCGTCTTTGATCCAACGGATCAGGATGGCTATGTTGTTCCAATCGGCAAGCAAACGAGGACTCCTTCACACATATTTTATCGCTCATGCTCTGGTATCTGGCAAACTGTTTGGTTAGAGAGTGCTCCTCCAAACCACATCACCCAGTTGGACCTTTCCGCTGACCATCAAGGGCATGGTAAGTCACACCCGCTGAAACCAGTTCAACGGTATCGGTATTGTATCTAACCTCATATAGTGAACGTGTTTGTCCACAGCTCCATGAGCCCTCCATCGGAAGTGCAGATTGCTGTTATTGATAAAGACGGTAACACTGTCGGCCAAGGTACCGGAAATTCGGATACTGCTTTCAACTTTACCGTGTCATCGCCGAATGTCTGGTCGCCATCAACTCCTAATCTGTACAACATCACTGTGAGAATGGGCAACGATAACGTATCAAGTTACACCGGCTTCCGCACTATCTCTACTGGCATCGTTGACGGAATTAAGCGCCCTCTGCTGAATGGTGAATTCATCTTCATGTTCGGAACATTGGACCAAGGATACTGGCCCGACGGGCTTCATACGCCACCCAGCGTGGAGGCTATGACCTATGACCTAAAAGTTCTCAAGAACCTTGGAATGAATATGGTTCGCAAGCACGTAAGTACCTGGCCTTGGAATTTGATTTGAAAAACCTCTTGTTGACAACTTATAGATCAAAGTTGAACCCGATTTGTTTTATCACGCTTGTGACCAGCTCGGCCTGCTTGTCATCCAAGATATGCCAAGTTTAACAGCAAACTCTGCACGCCTGCCAAACGCTGAGCAGCAGGCTGAATTCGAGCGTCAATTACAGATAATGATTCAAGAGCACAAGAGCTACACCAGCATTGTTACATGGACTATCTACAACGAAGGCTGGGGCCAGCTGAGGAATGCGCCTTATCCCGAGGAAAGTCTTGTGGAAGTTGTCCGCAAAATTGATCCTACGAGACTCATCAACGCCAACAGTGGCTGGTATGATCATGGATTCGGGGATTATTCAGACAACCATCACTACGCCAATCCTCAGTGTGGCACGCCGTTCTACTCGCTTGCTTCATCTCCTTACGACGAGGCTCGCATCGGATTTCAAGGTGAATTTGGTGGTATTGGGCACAACGTGTCTATTGAACAGTGAGTCTATCGTTCGGCTATCACGATCGTTACTAGCGACTAACTCAATTGCAGCCTGTGGAACGTGCAACAGGCGATTGACACGATCAACCAGACCTACGAAATTGACGAGAACCTCGAGGCCTACAACTATCGTGGCCGAGTGCTCCTGAGGGAATTCCGTGAGCAAGTTGAAATGTACGCGTGCAGCGGTGGCGTCTGGACCCAGACGACCGATGTCGAGGGCGAGGTCAACGGCTTAGTCACATATGACCGCCGGATTCTCAGGCCCGACCTTGCACAGTGGCAGGTTGACATCAAAAGCTTGTTCGACGCTGCGAAAGCCCGGAGCGGCCCTGTGAATGGTACTATGTAAGCAGTGACAGCCGCTTGTCGGTTTCGAGTTTCACTATAAAGTTTAGGGGAATCAATAATGCTAAGGGTGGATACCGCAATAAACAGTCCAAACGGGAACCAGGGTCAAATAAGATTCGTACAATCCTCCTAACCGCTTGATGAACAAGTATCGACCGGTTTCTTTGAGTTCCTTTGCCGACAATGAAATGAAGTCAAAGAAGATCGACTGTGTGGCAAGTTTCAATAGGTGGTCCTGGTGCTGGTAAGTGTTTCGTGCGTTTTCTGCAGCGACGGCGTAATGCGTCGATGGCGCTGAGCGTCTCCACCTAAATCTTTGGGCGATAATATCATCTTGCATGCAAGGAAGCAAGAATGCAGGAATCGAAAGTCTCCCGCTGGCTGGGATGCCTGGTTGTGGGCTGGTTGCGGCGTAGTTTAGCGCATGCTCTAGACTTGGAATAGACCAACTTTGAATTTATCGTGGCTTGCAGTGCGCTTAACTTTTGTTCTTCCCTCCTTACACAGTGGATGGAGGTAAGCTACCGGCTACCCATAACCACATAATCACGCGCAGGCTGCCTGAGATGTTCAGAATTGAGAACCGCCATTATAGTTACAACTGGAGCTTCTGCAAGCTCATAATCTTATCCAACTGGTTTCCTAACATGCAGTCGTCTCATCGTGGCTTCTACCCCCTTTTCACTTTCAGTGTGTAAAAAGACATGGTCGACATCACTTTTGCAGCGAAGAGCTCCAATTCTTCGAAAAAGAAGAAGTTTCTAAGTAATCCAACAATGGGTAATTGTTGAGAGTATATCTGTCATCTTTGATTCCAATCACGAGATGAATGATCATGTATCGGACATTGTAATTCAAATCTTAGTGTATTCAAGTTTCATCCTGACTTCCTCGGTGTCACGACTGGTCATTTTCTGTTTCCTGCTGATGTTATAAGCCCTGCTGCCCACTTACTTTGATAGCCGTGTTAGGATCAGCCTTTCAAGAAGGTTTGAAATGACTAAAGCTTGAAAAGGGGGTTTCCCGCGGTTTCCGGACGCAAATCATTTGCGACAAAGTCCAGCTTTCAACTTCGTCGAATCACACGAATTTAGTCAGCCTTCTTGTGGATAAAATCACGAATGGTTAGAAGGCAGGATCAAGGGGGGGGGGAATCAAACAATGCAAGTTTATCTTGCAACCCAGCGGCTGTATGGACCTTGTGCTCATCTGCAACAAAGCATCTTTTGTCAACACGCCTTCACAGTAAGTTCTTTTACTCCCAGAAATGTTCCTTCAAGATGAGATCTAATTTGGCTGGGACTTCGAAAAGGGTTTTCATTTTGGTTAGCAGCTTTCTAGTATGTAGCACGGTTCTCTAGCTTGAAGGTTAATAAATGAACTAGAAAGAGGGTAATAAGCAAACGAGTGGGGGCAGAATCAAGACGAGTCGCGTTACCAAAAAATACGAAAACTCAAGACTGCCAGCCGGATTTCACTAACCGCAAGGAAATGAGCACAGTGTTAGCCAAAGCGCACTAAAACCCCAGCGAGCACGATAAGTATTTAAAATCCGTTTGTTCCGTTGGAACAGTAGGACATAACCTCTTCACCTCGTTGTCTCAAGCATTGATCACCATGGGTTTACTTACGCTCATTTTCTCGTCACTCATTTTCACTCTGGCCCTAGGTGCCCCTGCCACTACTAGTGGCTCAAACCTAGGCAGGGATCTTCTCCTTGCCCAATCTCTCAAGCAAAAAATCATTGGACCGGAAGGCATAACGAAGAGCTGGACTGGAAACGATGTCTGCAAGTTCCACGGCTTCTATTGCGATAAAAACCCGGATACCGGCACCGAGGCCGTTGCAAGCATCGATTTCAATGGTTTTGGTCTGTATGGAGAACATCTGTCGCTGGATGGCTTCCTCGATAAGATGACGGATCTGGCCCTCTTCCACGCCAACTCCAACAATTTTACGGGATCATTGCCAAATGACCTTTCAGCGCTTAAATGGCTTTATGAGATTGACGTGAGCGGAAACAAGCTTTCTGGTCCCTTCCCTAGAAGCGTCTTCGATATCGACCTGACTTTGCTGGACCTACGCTTCAACGAATTCTCCGGCCCGATCCCCCACGAGGTGTTCAATCTCAATCTGGAAGTCCTTTTTCTCAACGATAACAAGTTCTCGGCCAGCATTCCCGACAACATTGGATCTTCTCCAGTTAGCTATCTTACTTTGGCAAACAACAAGTTCACCGGCACCATTCCTCAATCAATTGGAAACATGAAAAACATCCAGGAGATTTTGCTGCTAGGCAACAGCCTCTCGGGATCTATTCCAAGCAAATGGGCCACTCAGAATCTAACGCTTTTTGATGCCAGCAACAACAAACTGTCAGGATCCGTTCCAGAAGAGTTATGCAAACTGAAAAACTTGGAAGTCCTGAACCTGTCTAACAACAACTTGAACGGCACCCTTGGGCCCGCTTGTGCTTCTCTGGTCAAAAAGAAGATACTGGTTGTGTCTAACAACTGTATTCAGGCGGCCAAGGACCAAAAGCCTGCAAGCCAGTGTCACTTCAAGAAGTAGAAACTCGAGAACTGCGTTTCCTCTGGGATGTCGATCGGAAAAGCTCTCTGTGAGATTCGTGATGTAAACAATGCCAGTTCATTTAGAAACAAGATGAATTTTCACGACTCCCCTCGTCACCAAATGCGGTGTGATTCAGACTAGATCTTCCTCAAAGCACCATAAAACCCAAACAATGTATCACGCCCGCAGTTTTCAATTCTTTCAACTAAAATAAATTTCAGCAGAGTATTGAAAATCATACTGAACCATCTTTCTTTATCATGCAGGCGGATTCTTATGAATCTGGGTTGCCTACGTGAGTATATCGCCTAGCGGAAACAAAAGTTTTTGCTGCATCAGAATGCGATCAGACGATGAATGCAAAGCGCTAGCGCAACGTAATCAAAGCTAAGAAAATGAATCAAAGATTCGATTCACAACAAATATATATATATATATATGAGCAAATACCTTGTTCACCGTCGCTAGATTCCAGTCGAATCTACGGCGAGTTCACTAAGCCAACTAACATCTAAGATAAGACACAACCGCGCAGTCCATGTGAAATTCTTGAACAATAACTAGACCGGACAACTGAGTTTTTAAGATCCGCTCGTTATGACTTTCGAATTCTCAGATTGGGACAGAAAAAACTGGTGTTTGGGTCGTCAAGCATTGTAATGGGGGCAGAGTTGATTGTCTTAATTTATTACAAGGTTTTATGGCGTTGGATGCTTGATTACATTGTGCTTTTTGGATAATATAAAGAAAAGACTGGCGAGGAAAAAACTCCCATTACAGTTTCTCTCAGTACTTCCACGTTTTTTCCGATTTCTTTACTTCAAGCATCGGGACTTTAGAACATAAGCCTGTGGAGGATTCATATCGCGCCAAGTGTAAGATATTCTCTGCCTACAGTCTTCCCCACAGTCTCAAAGCAAACCCTAACTGTTTCAGTTTGACCTTTGAGACTGGAGATTATCCAGAAGGATACCGAGACTTCTTAAGGGACGGGGTTCCCAAGATCGCACTCATCAACTGGCATCCCATGAGCGTCACAATCTTGTTCAATCATTTGGCCCTTCTGGTGGCTGTAGAGATCATGCGTTCAACTCCTGCATGATACGATGACATGCATGGCCACGGGTTCAAGGTTTATGAAGTGAACAGAGACGATGCGGACGTGAGCATTACATCATCCTCGATGCATCAGCTTATTGAGTCGAATAATTTCCATCGGTTGGGAAACGTCTCTTTAGTATCGAAAGACGCACCTTCACTGTGGAGTCGTGCTTACACGGCTCTGTGCGACAAGCGTGCGCAGCTGGTGGACTGATACGAGATACTCCTTTTTAAGAACTGGAAGAGCATATTATGTTTTTATCATCGGTAGTCCCTACTTGCTAAACACTTATACTAGCTACTAGTGTGTCTTTGTTTCTCGGCGTGTTGAGTGTTTGAGTACAGGTCAGGTGTACCGTCTTGCGTGCCACAGTGGCTGAAGATACCTAGCGACACCATGGGCTGGGCGCATGCCGCTGCTAAACATGGAGCTAGCTGTCTAGCAGCAGCAGGATCAATAGAAGGGACTTGCACATTAACCCGCACCATATCTCTCCAATGACATGCCCCACGTTCTGCGCTGGAGAAGCATCTCGTTTATACTTTGCCAAGACGAACGGTCAGCTAGGCCGACGGCGCCCAGAGCGCATCGTTCACCACGCTGTGCCCCCCCATCTCTTTCTCTATCTCTTTCTCGGCTGATAGATCGTTGCCAGGAGTCATTGACCAACCATACACGATATGTAGATCTAATATATGTAGGTGGACACACATACAGATTCAAACCCTACATAGCCACATTGGTGTTATGCCTGTATCAATCATTCGTGCCACATCTAAAGCAAGATCCAGGGAAGTTCGGACAGCAACTCTGGGAGAAGGTCATGATATAAGATCGCTGCCTTCCCGCTCCGTAAACCTTCATTCATTACACATCGACTCCAGTACCGACCTCTCAGACCTCTCACCTCTACACGAAGCCTTCTACAAGAACAGATCAACAATGCAGTCCCTCGCCCGTTCTCTTGCGCTTCTCGCGATTCACGTTGCTGTGGCATCAGCGATAGGAAACCTTTGTACATATGCGCCCAAATACCTCGAACTTGAACAAAACTGCACTTATACATGCGTAAGACAGCTCGTTCAACGAACTCGTGGTAGATGCTAATTTCCTTCTAGCAAGATGGCCGAACTTATGGCGGAAACTGTGGTTATGGCGTCGATGGCTCGACTATCACCTGCAATTCAGATGAAGATTAGGTCTGCCTTGGGTCATCAAGCACCAAATCAAACCAAAGTGCAAGGAGCTTGTTGAGAGGCTGGTTGCGAAATTTGTTTCTATGCTTACTGGATGGAGAGCAGAGAGCAGGGTATGGCGTATCACTACTTGATCCGCCGCTGAGAGCGGGCACAGGAATTAGGATAGGTGTTTTGCTTGGGAATTTTTACATTATCGCTAAGCTGCTGCGCTGTATGTTGGTTGAATGTACTCATATAACTACATTCGTCTAAAGCTCTATAGACAGTGGGCCGTGAAAGCCCGAGAAACGCCGGGAAATGGTCGTTCGGGAAATCCGTGCAACCTAAGAGACAGTAAACAGAAGCCTAGAGAGATTATACGTAATGTATATCTTCTTTGTGCAGGCCATGTTCTGCGTGACTGGGTTTCTAATTGCCTAATTGATAAGATCTTCGCCTGAGACTTTCGAGTCGGCATAATTCTCCGACGTTTCAATAGACAAACCTGTTGTATCATCCGACTTCCACCACCGAAGCCACACACAGTACGGGTACTTTCTGTGCTGAACCTGTTCCTCCACAACCTCCGTCCGTCATCCTGTGCCCAAACAGTCACCCATCTCGAGTTAGAGCTAGGCCATATGGCATAACTCAATGGGATGAGGACAAAGACCATTCTGAGAATCGAATCAGCACCAATCCTGACAAGTTTCAGCCTCAACTCAAGACGATGACCGATCAGGGCCTCCTTCACGGAGATAGAATGTAAACCGTATATACTGTATTCAGCCATAATTCTGTTTCAAAGGACCAGGCTGCACAGGCTGCAAATATTGCTCAATATATCTAGGCTATAAAAGGTCTTGTCAATGAGGCTATCAAGGTGTCTTCTGAGGCATCCCTCACTTGGCGGGTATCTGTGCCCTACTCCCGCTGTAACGAATCCAAGCGCGGCAGAGGAGACCAACCGCCGTGACTTGTCATATCCTACCTTTTGAATCTGCTACATTTTCAAGGTCAAACATCTCCTATGGCCGGAGGACTTACATTACCTGGGCTTGCGAGTGGAATTTGATAGCCATGTTGCTGAATTCTTCTGGGGCATATTTGCGTTTTAGATTAAGACTATTCTCTGATTTTACTAGAGGGGATTTGCCTATTTGGGTTGCGATATGATTTGTTACGACGATTGGGAAGGAGTGCCTTCTAAGACCAAGGAACGGGAGCGGGTTGTATGGGGAAAATCTAGCACTTTGAATACCATTGCTTTGTGGGACACCTTGGAAGCTGTTAACTGGGCGGCATAGTAATAGTATAATGACATATAATTACTACTCTTGGCTGTGAAGGATTGGCTTGATTTCTTGAAACAACACTGCGATATTTTGATTGAGCGACTTATAGAGCTCAAGCTCCAAAGGTTTGTTATATACTAATCAGTTATGGACCTATTCCAACGCTTTCTAGCCAAATGCTTGAGGATTACTCTTTATAACGTATTCGAAGATGCATTACGTATATCTTTATGCACTTCAGCTCAAATCTGCTTGTGGTAGCAGCTTCCTTTTTGGTCTTCCGCATTTTTTCTCTTATACTATCATTATCGCCCTCATAATGGGATGCTGATAGTTTGTAATGCCTTATTTCAGTTCAGAAGTTGCATGTAACATACGCACCTTTCTGTGCTTCTACTCCATGGCTGCGTCTTATTTTGATCATCCGCAAACGATTACCATGCAGTAATGTCCGTCCGTACCTAGTTTACGCATGAAAACCCGATCGCATTAAACTTGGTTGCTCATTTATTGCCGTTGCATTCGAAAACGCGAGCATCGAGCGATACGACGGCATCCATATGCATAGTCGCGCAGCTTCTGACTCAGTGAGACTAGCCCGTAAAGGGAATATTCGGCCGGGCAAAAGCTTGCTTATATTGAACACGAAGATCCGGGGCTCTCGTTCTCGGCCGCGCCCACCACCTATCTAAGACGGGTCCTTCGGCCGATCATAAGGTTGATTGTTCAAAACAAACAGGCTTGACGAGGTTTTACATATATAAGACACAGTGAATTCACTCTCAGGGTTTCATCATCAGCACATTCTGCATTATCCAGTCACTGACTTGTGTTACGTACGCTCGCTACCCCACGACCGCTTTCACACGGTTGCTTGTTCGGCACTTAATACCGTCCGTCTCCTATAGCTGCTCTTAGGTACCCAACGAAACCCCGCGATATCCGTCCTCGCACACTTACAACCCAACAACCCCATCATGCGTCCCCTTCAGATGCTCGTCACCTTCACCAGCGTTGCTGCTGGGATCTCGCTGCCGAGCATGCTCCAACCCCTATCGATAGAGGAGCGACAAGATTCGTTGAAGGGATGCCCGGCCGACAAGCCACCCACCAATATCACACTCTGCAGCCCCGAACAACCATCCAATTACTGCCAGTGCAATAAGGGTCATCTTACCGCTTATTATTTCTGCGGTGACCCATGGGCGAATCTGACCATTGAATATAATCCCATCTATCCGTCAGCGGTCTACTCTGCCCGCGAATGCAACGGCGATTACGTGAGTCAACTACCCTTTCCCTTCACCAAACTTCTGAACCGAGAAGAAAGCTGCGGCACGATTGGCAGTAAAAGCACGCCCTTGAAGAAGATGAGCTAACTGAGTCTTTGCAGTACACCTATTGTACCATTACATGCCCTTGTATCTTGGCGGGTGCCGTAAGTCCTTAAATGTATCGAGGAAGCGGTCTAGACTTATATTGAAGTCCTATGCAATAAAATACATAGACGCCTGTACCGGAAATGACAAATCAATGAGGTGGGAAGGAAAGTGTAATGCTAGGAGAAAACGAATTGGTATTTACACTTTGATATGGAAATCAGTGAGTGTGATCTGAACTTCGAGTGCCCTGGCCGAATCGATGGTTGAAGGTAATTTTGGTTCGTGAAGTAAAAACGGCTTGGTTTTGCATCTTCGATGGACAGCGTTCTCAAGCCCCATAACCATTGGTCAGGACAACTAGCCTGGCCCTATGTCCGAGAAGGCCCATGAGAGTCCAGTTTACATAAGTCGGTGCTCAGTCACTACAGGAATAGATGATTCCGTTGAGGTCCGTTCCTTAAACATACTCGCCGGATAATACAAGTGATGTTTGTTTTCGCTACTTGACAAAATACACAGGCAGATCCTTTTAGCCTACGGGGAAGATGAATCAAAAAAGACATGGGCGTTTTATTTTTACCAAAAGACTCGGGCTAGTCGCCTTATTCAACGACTTTGAAGTGGCTAGCCTCAGACGCTGTTCAAAAGAGGCTTGGCTTACAAGTCTCGGAGGCTTCGGCGTTCACCCTGGTTCGAGCGTCAGGAAATCATACCAAGACTTCAACAAGGCACCCTTTGAACAGCTAACAAGGCACACGCGTCTCTTCTTCGAGCAGAGATTTGATAAACTTCACATCACCTTTAGTCGCTGGATCGTGTAGACTTCCTCTTTTTCTTGATATGTATCCGATTCAATCTGTTGAGGAGTCAACAGCGAAATGCCATCGTCTCAAGCTTCGAAATGTGTGGTTCGAGAGACCCAGAAGAACATTGTTGACTGAACCGATGTTTGATTGCCGGACCGTGTTCGCGAGTGATGTGTTTTTACCATTGGTTTCATGTCGAGGAGCTATTACGCTAGAGATTGCTAATAAGCAATACGTAGTGTATCGAACCGTAATGCATGAACTTGCATCTGAAAGAGCCCCTTGTTCATTAGATGAAGACCATGCTGCCTAGGTATGTGGCCCCTCACCGACCTTTGGCGCAGCTTGATTTGTAGAATTGTTGTTAGTGAAGATTATTCTGTAGTTTATGAGACTTTGCCCTCTTAAGAATAGTGCCGTGTATTCTGATGCTTCTCTCTTTATGGAGTTTATTTCCCCATCTGATTTCGATACACATCCAGTTCTATAGTGGACCATACACGTGATATCCTCCCATGCTCAAGTTGATACATGACATGCTCATGAAATTTGACAGACTTGCCATTGGGCTTCGCTCCTCCCCATTCCTTGACCGGCGTTCCCGTGAACTCCAACCTCGTCACGATTTGTTGAGTCTTTTCGTCGGCGAAAAGCTCTTGGACGTTGAAGTGAAGCCCCTGGATAGCGTCCTGGCTATCGCTGATCAAAGGTATGTACTCGGCAACCGTGAGCTCGCGATTGTTGTGCTTGAGCTTTGCCTGGCAGAATTTATCAAATTCTTGTGTCATTGTCTTCTCATTTATGCTTTTGATATAGCTCCGGTAGAATGACTTGAGTTCAGCCGATGTCTTCAACGACGATAGTTGGCTGTTGGACGAGGAGGAGGAGAGCGGTGTTGATGGCGCTGCTGGCGCCCGGTTTCGGAGCCTATCTTCGTCTCGCACTGTTTGCCACGTAGAGAGAAGGTTGTCTGCAAAGTTGGCGAGAACGATTTCCTGATATTCGAAGGCGTTCGGGTGATCTTCGAGAGTCACACGGTTGATGAGACGTGCGGCGATACTTTTTGTGCTGACATCAACAAGGATCGCATCGATTTTTACTTTCTTTGTGCCTCTTCTCCCTGCAAGGTCATTCAGCAGATGATCTCGAAAACCATGCCTTGGCAGTGACACCTCATTGATAATAACCGTCGGTTGGAGACGCTTTTCCAGCCCCTGCCATCTCTCTGCGTTTTGATCCTGGATTATGTTACGGAAGAAGGTTTCGGGGTTGTCATCGGAGGAAACCATGACGGCGGTGGAGTTTTGGTGATCACCCAAGCAAAGAAAACTAGCTGATGCTTGATGAGCGCGAAATAAAGAGACCCGAGACGGACGAGACGGATGTTGATGGTGCTCGATGATCGACATCGCGCCCTTGGTAAATATAGAATGATGCGGGGTTGACCAAGCAAGCGATTGAGTACGAGCGGGGTCTATCCTGTGTCCGATGCACCGCAATCCGGCCGGTCGGGTTCAGTGCAGGCGGGGTTAAGCGGCCGCACCGGGCTGCTTTTCAGGGTTGATCGTCGGAACGCGACTGGGGACTCGAGCCTGATTGTGCACGATAACAATATCACAAGGAACGTCGCCTGAGGCCGAGACCGTAAGGGAATATGTATAAATTCAGGCACGAGAAGCGAAATGTAGAGTTGTTGCACTGGTGTCATAGATTGAACCGTATCCGCGAGAGCGACGCAATCAAAACACAAAGCGTTTTTGGGCACCTCGTACTGGAATCAAGCGTGCTCAGTGCTCGCCCTCAACATGCGTATACCAGACCCACAGCCCCGTGAGAAGAGCCACAACCTCCCATCTCTCACCGAAGGCCCCCTTGAGGCCTCGTCCCATGAACGAGAACTTGAGCCCTTTGGTCAGGCTCGTCATGTTCGTCGCAAGGATTGCAACGACCTCGTGCCCGTCGCTGGTGAAGCCGACGTCCCTCTCGCTTCTGCTTCCGCCAGCAGCTGGGGCAGCCGGGGTGGATAGCCGCACCAGCTTCCACCCGTACGAGAAGGTCTTTCCAAGCTCCTTTACCTCGCTCCCGCGACTGTTCCGCCATTGGAATTTCTCCTCCCTTGGTTCCGTTCCCGTTGCCTTCCCTCCAACAGTCACTGAGAAGATGCTCGCCGACGATTGGTCCACCTTGAAGGGAATACCGCTTATCTCCGTCTCATAAGGGCGTGTCTCGCCGCTGTCTGGCCGAGGCAGTATCGAGACTTTCGCAGGCACGCTGGCCATGGCTGTCCAACTCTTCCCGATCGTCGCGAGAACGGGGTGTTTGTCGGAAGGCCCATCGTACAAGATGATCTCTCGCTGTTTACTGCGGAAACCTGACCGCGGAGAGGCAGCAAAGAGCCTTTCCTCCGCAGTGGGGCCAAGGAGAAAGGTTCTTGTGAAGGCCCATTGGAAGTAGCCGTTCAACGTGGGCGGGAATTTGCTCGTCGCCGCGATGAGGGTAGCAGATGTTGAAGGGCCGGCGGCGGCGTTGTCATAGGACGGTGCGTCATATTCCGGTAGCGCAGCTGGAGCGGCATTCGGGACGGCCTCCTCATAAGACGGTGGTGCGAGTTCGCCATCTTCGGCTACTAGGCTTGGTGGTTCTTTTTCTTTTTCCGATGGGTACGGCATGGTTTTTGTCGGCGAGGTTGTAGCCTAGAAGATGGACTCCGAATCCGTCTCGCGGCTCGATGCCAACATTTAGTATCTTTCTGTCGCACAGGCAGCAAGATAAAAAACAGTGCTCCAATGGAGCAAACCGAAGCGGTCTACGGTATTTGCTCGATTGGATCACCACTACTGCTGTGGACCGGGAAATCCTTTGGCGATCTTTTCCAACGACAGTTAACCCCGACGGCTAAGCCACGATTGCCGTCAACGCCCTTGTGGAACCGGAATCCACCGGGGCTTCGGCCGAGATCCACTCGGTCGGAGGAGAATCACGTGACGGAATCAGAGCCCGGAGCGGCAGTTAGCGTGGAACCTACGGACTGGAAGGTTCGGGGGAGATGGCCGGAGCGTCGATGAGCGAGTCGCTGGCATGCCGTCTGTGCCTTTCAGTGTGTCCTGGTCCTACCGTTGGCGTTTGGGTCGTACTATTGCTGCCTTGAATGCACTCAGCATCAAGGTGCATGCATTGCATTGGCTTGGCACAGCTGAGCGGTCTCTCTGGCGTGACCCCCTAGCCGGTGACTGTTGGAGGCAAAATTACCTCGAACAGCAGGGGTCAGGAGGGCAGCCTGGTTTCGGTCTTACTCACCAACACAACCCACCTGGTTTGAGAGCCCAGAGAGCCAGGACAAGGCCTCGATGCCTCCGTGACAGCGAATAACGACCACCAACAGGGGTTGGTACTTGACTCGGTCTCCCTCTATCCTGGCCAAATCCAATTAGCAGCACGCGAAAGAGACGAACATCTCCCGTTATCCAAGCCCAAAGCCCAGCGTCCAGGCACAAGTGCATCGTTTCAACTCGGCTAAATGTCCAACGGGGAGACCAAACCGAGCAGCAAGCTTCCCCGCCCTGCCACAAACCCCCAGCACCGACTTGGCCTAGTCTCATAGTCCAGGCGCAGGAACGCGCCGCTAAAAGCTGACGAGCGCTGCAAGTGGGCGCCGCCGTTCCCCTTTTCGTCTCCTCTGGCCGTCCTTCAGCCCGCCCCGAAGCCCTACGAGATTGAGTGTGCTGGCCTCCCCGCGCTCCAAGCTTCCTCTTCTCCATTCTCCCACGATCCTGCGAAAAGGCTGCGACCCCCCCAGATTGGCTGCCGTGTATGACACCCAATCTCACCGACCAGGGGCACTGCGAACTCTCGCGAAGCTGCAAATTTGATTGCTCGCATGCAAGCCACCATACCGTGCTGCCCGTCGAGGGCAACCACAGGTGTGTGTATACTTGCCGGATGAAGTCGCCCGCGATCCAATGCCACCCGTTTCTTTATTGCTCGATAGGCCCCACGCGTCCGAGTTCTAGGCCCGAATCGCCGTGATGCCGACATGGAATGGAAGGGTGAAGTAGGATCGCGTAGCTTCTTTTAATGTCGCCCTTGTCCTGTGCCACGCCCAAACATTTGATCTGGACCCTTTCCCTTTTGTCTATTCTTCCTCGGCTTCATGAGACTAGCTGCTTGCAGGGATCCTTTGACGGCCTTTGTTTGCTTAATGCGCAGGACATTGCAGGTTGCCATAATCGCAAAAGTCACTCTTTAAATCTCCATCTTGAATCATCGCTTCTTTCACTCCTGCTTCTCCGCTGCAAGCTTCTCATAGCGGAGGCGCAGAGTCGCGACAGAACAGAAGATGATGAGGCCATCTAGACGCGCATTCCTGGCTGCCGCGGCATCGGCGGTGTTGGGCGCCTCTGTCGTCGTAGCACAGGGACTAGAAGAGGTCCTCGGGAAGCAGGCAAATCTGACGACCTTCCGCGGCCTAGTCAAGGTACGAACTCAACTTACTCTCGAAGCTCTCCGCGGCTCGTCCGGGCGCGGACGCTCCCAATGTTCGAGACATGTGCCTCGCATGCGCAAAGCAGCCGTTGACCCTCGGTCCCCGTTGCCCTGTTGTCTCGATGCCAGAACCTCTCTTCCGACCAGGTGCAGCTGACAAGTTGAGCCACAGGATCACGCAGAAGTTTTCTCGAGATTGCCCAAATCGGGCGTCACAGTATGTTTATCTCTCGCATCTCCCCTCTCGCGGTCTGTAAACTCTGGTGCGGGTCGAACGGACGGATCACGATGCCTGTGGCCGAGAAAACGGACGGCCCAAGCATAGACATCACACAGCTCCCGAGGACACCAGACCGAATTTCTGACAAGAACGCTAGATCCTTGCCCCTAGTGACTCGGCATATCTAAAAGGGCAGGGCTGGGACTTGAACAGGGACGACATCCCATTCGCGTTGCAGTACAGCGTCCTCAACGGCAAGGTCTCTTTCGATGCTCTGCTGCCTGGCAACTCGACGATCCAATCGACCCTTCTCACGGACACGCGCTTTTCCAACGTCACAGATGGCCAGCAGGTTTTGGTCACCAAGCAGCCCAACGGCGACGTCGTCGTGACATCGGGTGTGGCGTCGCGCACCACCGCGCTAAAGACCGACATTCCCTTTGATGGCGGTCTCATCCAGGTCATCGACAGTTTGATGGTCGCGCCCGCCCGCCTCGAGACGACCGCCCGTGACGCATACAAGGAGTTTACGTCCTTCCTCGGTGCCCTCTACACGGCCGACCTCGTCACCGAGTTCGCCGAGACGAAAAACGTCACCATCTTCGCCCCAAGAAATGCCGCCTTCCAGCAAGTCGCTGCCGCACTGTCAGGGATGAGCAAGGAGGCTCTCCGCCGCGTGCTGCAATACCATCTAGTGCCCTCGGTCGTGGCGCAGGCTTCGTCCTTGGCCAACCAGACCAAGCTCGGCACCGCGGTTGACGGGAAGAGCATCGACATCACGCTCTACAACAACGACATCTTTGTCGATTCGGCACGCATCATCCAAACCAACATCCTCGTTGCCAACGGTGTGATTCAGATGATTGACGCCGTGCTCAACGTCGATGCGCAGAACGTCGTGCCCAACGTGACGGCCGTCTCGCAGGTGCCTGTTTTCACGATCACGGGTACGGCGGAGACGGGGAGCGCCGCCCCGACACCGTTCGTCTCCGCACTGCCATGCACGGCGAGCTGCCCAGTGACCGGCGGCGGGAGTGGTGACGTTGGGGCCGGCAGAACGGCAACTGGTGGTGTGGCACAGAGTTCCAGCACGGGAGGCGCTGCCGCGGCGCGGTGCACCGGTGGCTTGGTAGGTGCCGCCGCGGGAGCGGGATTGAGTTTCGCCATGGGGGTGATGGGACTGGAGGGCTTGGGTGTCATCGTCTGAGGCGGTGGGAGGCAAAAAACACAATGCATGAGGGCAGGGAAGGCGTGTTGCGATAATGTTGAAGAGACGGTGGGAGGGTTCGGGTGAGGGGGCTCTTTGCCGCCTGCGGGCAATACAGCGTAGAGGGGGCGCAGTGTGCTACACCATCTGGACGGAGAGTAGCGGATGCTGAGATACCCGGGCATGATTTGAGTGAGCGAACAGCCGAGCGGCTATAGAGACTTGTTTGCTTGTTTACTCTTAGTCTCTTCTAGAAGCAACGATTCGCCTCCAGATGTGAAGTACAGAAGAGGACGGCCTCGCATTCCCACTGGTTGGGTGAGCGAACACTGATCGGCAAACATCTCACTTGGCGTCTCCAATCACGCCGGGCGTTGCGCCGCACCATGGCCTAGAGTTTCGCAGTTTTACCCTTTCTCGAAAGCTTCGGTGTTGGAAGGAAGAGAGTCAAACGGGTAATTAGGCTTGTTCCGCGGCAGCGGGGTAGAGGCGCACAGAGTGCTCAGAGTGCCTGGAGTGACAGAAACGGGCACGACGCTTCAACAAGAGTTATGCTTTTTTGACCGTTCTGCTTGGGAGGCCATCAGTGCGTCTCTTCCTTCCTCGCATATTTCCTCGCAAAACCCTTTGACAGATTGCCAGTGAGCATGGCGTCTGTCTGTTTGTCAACAGGTAAGGTTTGAAGGAGCAATAGGGCTGTTTGATTGCCAGTGAAGAGGGGGGCAGAACCGTGCTGGCGCCGGGCGACTACCGATACTAACGAGAAAACACGCGACTCGTTCCTTGCAAATGCAACACATGGTCTAGCGTGCTCAGAGTCAGTTGAAGTATGGTGGTGCGGATGTGTGTCCTCCGGCAGATCTGCTACAGCAGGGGGAGGGCTGCCAAGCAAAATTCCAAAGTGCGAGGCGGCGAGTAGCTTTCATGGCCGCGGGGCAGGAAGGCTGATACATCTGCCCAGAGATGAAGCTCTGGCGGGATGAAAAGATGGTGGGCAGAGGAGGGGAAACTGCGGGAAAGAAGAGGCCACAGCACACGAGCTGCGGACAACAGTCGTAGTCGACGCCGTCACATCTAGCCCGGTAGACAGCCGGTGTACTATGTAGGCAGTTGTATAGTAGTGTGTGTTGGATTGGATGTCAAGGATGGCCTGACCAGATCTTCAGACAGATTCTTTCGATGCACCGAAACATGAACCCAATCATCCGCCAAGCCTCGTACGGGTCCTTTTGGTTTCTGGTCGCCCCTCAAATTGTTCCCGTTCACTAGCCCCAGAGAAGACATGCTAGGCCCGTTCAGTGGAGTGACGGTGCACGGATTAGGCGTCTATGAAGGGGACCCCTTGCATAAGGTCTGAGTCTAAATGTAATAGCGGCCGGCCTGGGATGCGCGGATGTTTATCTGAACATGTGAGGGTTGCCGTGTTTCATGATGGCTTCATGATTTGGGAGCACACACCTAAGGACGTGTGTGGGCATGGGGAAAGGTACCAGAGGCACCGGCCGCCAAGAGGAAAAGGTGAGCGAGGCGGGTCCGGCTTGTTTTGCGAGCCCAACTTTGGACCGTTCCCGGACGAGGAGCCGAGAGGACAATGCAACTGTTAAAACCCCATGTGCTCGTCAATCTCGCCTTCTATCGTGATGCCTCTCGAGTCTTTCTCTTAGGCTTCGGCGTTTCTTCGTGCAGGCCCCAAGTTCTTTCCTTTCCTTTCCGCTGTCTCTCTCTCTTGAGACCTTGAGCTGGCCTCGCCGATAGCTGTGCTATCTATTCAATTCAATCTTTTTTCTTTCTTTTCTGTTGCTTTGAAATAGAGCCGACGTTGACGAGGAAAGAAGAGCAAGGATTCTCTAGGGGAACAAACAAACAAAACAAGGACAAGATGAAATTTACCTGGTGGACTTTGGCCACGGCCGCTACGGTGTTGGCGGTGCCGGCTCCTCAGGGGGCCAGCAAACGTCAACCTCAACAACCAGCGGCACTCCGACAACGCCCACTCCGCCCACCGGAACGACCCCGGGTGGCGGCGCCAACAATGCCTGCGCCCAGATCCAGCCCAAGGTGCAGCAGTTCCTTCAGGCAAGCCCGAAAGGTATGTGAATCGAGTATCGCACTCTAGGTAGCGAGGGGAAATCCTGGCGGAACCCTGATAGACCTGTACTGCGAGCTTTCAACGCCGTCGTGTACCGAGTGACTCGCTAACAACCTTTACTCCAATAGCGTCTCCCCAAGTGCCCGCGCAGTTGGCGTTCGACTGTCTCCAAACAGTGCCGAACAAGCCCGGCCCAGCCAAGGACTTGGTCAAGAGTCTGAAGTCCTACGTGCAATGGCAGTCGACGCTGGCTTGGCTCAAGTCGCCGCCGGCGTCCTACATGCTGCCGGCTACCGACATCCAAGGCGGCCTTGACGACATCGAGAAGAAGGCCGAAGCCGGCCAGTACAAGAGCGAATACGACTTCCAGCTTGCCATCTTCCAGCTGATTGCCTCGGCTCACGATGGCCACTTTGCCTTCCGCGGCGATGTGTTCAAGGGCTTTAGCTTCCGCAATAAACTCGCCGCGGACATTGTCTCCGTGTCTCGCGACGGTGTCGAGGCTCCCAAGCTGTACCACCTTGGTGAGTTTTGAAGGAAAATCCTAGCAACTCGGGACGGATGCTAACCCCCTCTGGCGCAGCTCAACTTGATAACAATGCGTCGGCCCCCGCCATCGTTAGAATCAACGGCCGAGACGCCGTCACGCTCATTTCTGACCTCAACCTGAAGTTCAGCGGCTACCAGGACCCCGACTCGCAGTGGAACGCCAACTTCAAGTCCTACGCCAGCAAGGAGAGCCTCCTCGTCGTCGCTGCCTCGCTTGCTTTCCAGGGCCCCAAGGTGACCATTACCTACGATAATGGCGAGGAGCGCTCCGAGGACAGTTTCGCGCTGATCCGCCAGGGCGCCAACTTCACCGGCGTCAACAGCGGCGAGGACTACTACAACAAGTTCTGCAACCCCGACACCGCGCCCAAGCCCACGCCCTCAAACCCAGCCATGATGCCGAACCAAACGAACCCCAACCCGCCCAAGACCACCGGTCCCCCGCCGCCTCCCCAGCCGACCATCGAAGGCTACCCCTTCCCTGTGGTCCGCGACAGCGGTTCCAACAGCACGGCCGGCTATTTCTTGAACGGAACCGGCTACGACGATGTCGCTGTGCTCTCCGTCACGTCTTTCGGTCCCCCGGATTCGATTGACGCCGTTGAGTATTTGACCAACTTCCAGAGCACCGTGGCCTCGTTCTTGGCAAAGAGCAAGGAGGCGGGCAAGAAGCGTCTCGTGATTGATGTTGCAGCCAACGGTGGTGGCTTCGTGGTCGCTGGATACGAGCTATTCGCCCAGGTATGTCGTCTCCCCCAGTGGACCTTGTTGCACCGCAAACTAACTGATATCTCTAGCTTTTCCCCGAGGTCGTCCGTTTCCAGGCTGACAACCTCCGTTTGTCGGAAGGCCTCGTCAACTTGGGTCGCCTCACGGCCGCCATCCCCGCCAACTTCACTCCATCAACGCCTGAGGAGCGAGATGCTCTCGAGTCCTTGAGCAGCAGCTCCGTCGTTAGCAATCTCCTCCCCGGCGGTGTTTTCACCCCGGACCAGCAGGCCTTCACAACGGTCGACCAGATCTTGGCGCCTGTTTCCCTCAACGGCGACAGCTTCACTGCCTACCAGCAGGCGCCTCTTAACCAGACCGACCCTGGTTATAACCTCACCGGTGTCGGCACCAAGGCGAACCCGCCCCCTCGCGTCTTCGACCCCGAGAACGTGGTCCTCTTCACGGACGGAACTTGCGGCTCCACCTGCACCATCTTCTCCTATCTCTTGATCCTGCAGATGGGCATCAAGACCACCGTCATCGGCGGCCGCCCCAACACTGGTATCATGCAGTCCGTCGCCGGCGTTGAGGGCGCCCAGGTATTCGCGTTCAACGACATCACGTCCGACGCCAAGGCCATCCTTGCCCTCACCCCCAAGGACAAGAAGGAAGAGATCATGAACGGCGAGCTCGGCGAGCTGGCCAAGGGCTACGCCATCAAGCGTGCGACGACCCCCAAGAGCGCCGGCGCCGTCAACGCCAAGAACGCCTTCTCCATGTCCGACGCAAGGACGCCGCTGCAGTTCCTCTGGGAGCCGGCCAACTGCCGCATCTTCCACACGCACGAGTCTCTGTTCAAGCCCGATATCGCGTGGAAGCGCGTCGTTGACGCGACCTGGAGCAACCCCATGCAGTTCTGTGTCGCGGGCAGCCAGGTGCCGGTGACCAAGAACGCGACCATGGACCCTCTGTTCAGACAGAGCCAGAACAACACCGGACTGCCTGGCAGCGACGCGGCCGCTCTGGGCATGTCCGGCGCTGGACTTAGACTTGCCGTTCTCATTGCGGTGTGCACGGTCGCGGTATTGAGTCTATAGAGAGTTTTGGTAGTTTGCTTCTGTTTACAAGAGCAAAAGCGGCTTGGGTGACTAGAGGCTCTAGGAGAATCCCGGTCCAGGGACTAAACTCCACTACGGCATTTTTCTAAGGCAGACGAGACAGCATCTGGAACAATAGCATCAGAGGTGGGAGTGCCTTTGACGGATGGTGAAGCAATGGGCAAAGCGCGAGTCAACTACAGAGGTTAGCAGCGGGTTCCCCGAGTCGAGGTAAAGTTGAGACGAGGGGACGAGTCGGATGGGTTGTAGCGAAAAACGCTAAGCTTTTTTATCTTCTGGACATGATTTAAATTACATTTGGAGTTGAACTGGATGACGGCGTATGTGAGGCCATATATCACAGCCTTGGGGTTGGGAAGGGGTTTCTTAAGGTTTCCACAATACGATTCTTCCATTTGGTCACAGATTCATTCTCTCTGTCGTCTGAGCCACTGTGCAACCCATTATAGCAATGATCGATGGTTAGTGTCGACATATTATACGGGCGGCTTTGCCTCATGTCCAATGACATCTGCTAGGTCATTCGTCATGCTTTGAGCACATGTCGTCTTGCGACTCGGTACAGTAAGAAGGGGACATCAAGAGCATCTTTGACAGTTGACAGCAGGTGAGTTCACAGAGGGCTGCCCTTTCAAGATCTTCGATGGCATTGTGTGCAGAGGAATCTGAGCTTGGGATTGGCTGGAATACGCTTTGAACACGACGATCTTCAAACCAAGTGATGTATCTACCTATTGTGCTGATCACATCAAACTTTTCTCGGTCTCGGGATCAGACTTGAATGGGCCAGGGTAGGAGAGAAAGTTCACCCTAAACTTACTTACTCTAGAAGCACCCGTCCCAAGAGTTGCGCCTCACGATAGTCTAAGGTATCAAACCGTTTTTGAGTTGAGACCCCAAGTTTCAAAATGTCCGTCTATTTCTCCGTCGGACTATATGTCAATTGCACTTATTATCACAGTTCAGGGTCTATGTTCTTCGAGAGTCTAACGGCTTCTACTGATGTGCTGCAGACCGCGGGCCCTTCAAGTGTTGCATCATAGCATCCCAAGGCAGCAAATGTCGTTTCTTTGTCGTTTTTGTCGCCTGGGCTCGAAGACATAATCCCCAGCTAGCTCAGTTGGTCTTTAAAGTGGTATTTCGGGATTATCTCTTTAGAAACTGAGTAACCGAGTATGTGAATCCAACTTTATATTATAGATCAAGTGATACATCATGATTGAAACTAAACAGAACCGAACCAGATCAGTACAAAGTAGAGTTGGCGACTCGCCGAGCCCTGATATACAACCGAATAGGCCATAAACCCTACACTTCCACCTGCAGGGCAGCAACGAATGCGGCAAGGCCGCAGAGCCATGCACTGCCATACATCAGGAATCGGACCTTGTGCAAGCGATCCCACTTCTCAATCAGCTTTCCAGACTTCCTTCTATCCATCTCAGAAAGCGCCACCTTGTCGTCCAGCGTGATGAGAGCCTTGTTGGTCGGCATGATAAACATTGCGGTGTAAGGCAGGGCAACAATGCTACAGAGCGCGGACATGACAGCGAGCCTCCGAGAAACGGGTGAATCGCCCAAGGCGAACGCCCCCAGGTGTAAAGCTGACGTCAAGCCAGTGCCGACGATCACATATCTCTGACACCCCGGGTTCGCCCTGTCAGTTCATGTTCTCAGACGATGTGAAAGCGACGCAATTAGCGCCGCCACCTGAAGTGTGAGACTTACGGTAGCTTCGTCAAAGAAGAGTCTCCATACTCTCACTTTCTGCTTCGCGCTCAATGAGCTCGTCCCCAGTTGGTCCCTGATGATGGGCAGAGGCCCGGTGAGGGTGAGCCCGACGTTGCCGAAGAGCAGCGATGACGTAACGATGAGGCCGGCGCCGAGCGCACATGTGGCCGGCGGTGCCCTGCCGAAGGCGGCGACATAAGCTGATACGGACATTTCGTCTCTTCCTTTCTCAATCCCGCGACAGCTTCCTCACGTTCGCGATATCAAATGCGCGCTGCTCGCAGTCGTGCAGCGACTCGAAGTGGTTGCGTGGTTGCTGGTCAGTGCACAGACGGTTGGTGATGTGGTGAAGGGAGGCTCTGTGATTGTTGTTTGGGTTTCCCCCTGAGATGTGGTAACCACCCTTTGGGGATTGGATGGCGCTTATCCCGACGCGGGATGGAGGCTGGCCATGTCTCACCCTTTCGACACAAAAATAGAGGCTGGTTACCTGGGCGGATCGGACTCCAGGCTAACTACGTACGGCTTACTATAGACGCCTCGTTGGCCTAGCTTGTTGGCTCAGGCCTGATTTTCAGCGGGACGACGTAATTCACCAGCTCTACGAGCTTGAAAAACTTAAACCTAGCAATTGCATCTGGTTACATTTGGTGTAATATTCTGAAATTTACCTGGATTGATACTGACTCGAACTGTATCTTCGGCTACATAACTCGGTCGTCAGCAGGCATTCTCTCTTGGTGCGATATGCTGGGATATCATGATGCTATTTTCCCAACTCCAGCTCCACTGAATCTCCCTTTGTGTGAAGAACTTATGAATTGATTGCAAATCGGACTAATTTATTGTGGATGCTATACGTACTGATGGGCGATAACCAAATTGTAATGATTTATTCCATAGCTACTTGAACCATGTCTATGCCGTCCAAACCCCCGAATACTCAAAGTGATATGCCATGGTTAACGGGCCTGTTGGTGATTTGTACAGGAAATCTCCAGCGTCAAATATTGCTTGTAGTATTGAAAGCGTGCACGGTGATCAGGGCTTAAGCGGTGCGGTGGGTACACAATACAACAACCTCTATTAAAGCAATACAGTATCCCCTACTTGAAGTCTGTCTAGGGTTACCTTATCAGGGCGTAACTCGACGAAAGCCTGCTCATCGACAACCCCTCAGACATCACGATTGACGCACGCAAGATTGAGGGTCAACTCCTGCGACTTGCCGGCTACCAGAAGTGGTTCACTCATCAGGACCATGACGTGACCCGGTGGATTGCCATTTACAAGGACGGACTCACTATGAAGCACATTACTAGCGACATGACTATTGGTAACATTAAGACGCGCTTGGAGCTTGGCAGTGACAATCTAGCTGTAATTTTGGAGGACATGGTGGTGACTAAGCTTGTGTAGAAGAGTTATGAAACTCTCTTCTAGGTCGAGGATGAGCGTAGCTATAGCTTAATTGATGACTATTGGCCGGATGATGCAGAAGGACAATATAAGAAGCCGACTAGACGCAAGAGAAAGGCGGTACACGACTACTTTAAGCGACGGATGCAGAGACGGAGGAAGGACCAATTGAGGTAAATGAGGAGGATGCTTGGGAGGTCTTGTAGTTATTAATGAATCTGTCAATGTTTGTTTGTCTAAGTTACTCTTTTTGCCTTAAATAGGACAATGTTTGGCGTTTTGCTTTGTACTTTTTTAATCATTAGTTAGCATCATAGACGATGTATTATTCTTCTGTTTAGTAGCTTCCGATACGCCTTTTGTAGAAACTCCTAATGACTGTTGTGAAGCTATTGCGATGGCTGGTGACTGGGAGACCAGTTGATTCGGAACAGGCCATTTGATTGGACTATTGGTGGCCTACTTAGTGGACTACGACTGGCTAACTAAATGGCTACACCATTGGCCATCCTAATGTCTAATAACATGACTACTCTAATGGCTACTCTTACCACCATACCAATGGCCATCAGCATGGCAAAGGAATAGTCATCAGATAGGCTATACATATAGCTGGCCTAATGGCCTGTAGATAGACTAAGGGGTATCTTACCAGTCATACCCATAACTTTTCCTTCAAGCGCTGCTCTTCGAAAGCATGTCAAATGGTAGCACAACCTGATCAGAGCACTAGTGAGCTGTTGAGTGAGGCTACTGCTCCCAAAATTCCCGTGTTATCACAATCAGGCTGTAAACCATCACAAAAGGCCCTGAATAGTTCGGTGGAAGATGCATGATTGTTGATTGATCAAGTCAGATTCGCCTGCCCACGCTTTACCTACTCTGTTAGCTCTGGCCAAGGTTTCTTGTCTAATCGCAAAGACAGAAAGGAAAAATCAAGAGTGAGGCATCTTAGTATCGCCCTGGTCACCCCACCCCATTTCAGGATAATAAGCCAACGGAGAGAGATGGCACCGAGGCACAAAGGACCCAAGGTTGAGTAGATTTCTGAGAAGATTGGAACGCCAAGATTGGAAAGTGTCCTGGTCATTTTGGTCGATGACTAGAAGGAAGCTGATTGCCTAAAAGTCTGATATCTATTAATCCTTATCATAAAGAGTTCAAGAGTAGGAGACTGCACTTTGCTACGTGGGATGGCATCCACGGACGGTACTGATCACGAAAGTTATTCTAATCACAGAAGCCTTATGAAATTCCCTCCAACTTTGCGGTTTCCTGTGCGTTTGTTCTTCGAACTTCGATACGGAATCTTATCCTTTGCTTATGTATCAGGTCGGTCTCGCTTTTTTATGAAACTTTCAAATGGGCGCCATGGTAACTGCATGTATGCTCCACGACACCTTATGGTAGACAGCGGTCGGTCACTTGGACTCCATGCTACTCCATTGGCGAACATTGTATAGTACATGTCCCGGTAGGAAATGCTCCCAACCAAGATACTAGCTCCCGATATTAGAGAAAACCGGGTTCTAACGCTCAGAACGTCCGTCATGGAGCTTTGAGTTGTGCCGTATTCCCCAGTTAAATGGTTTCGCTGTTGAATTCGCCATGAATCTTACCAACTCTACTCCTCACTTTAATAATTTCTTGAATAAAAAACAAGATCACGGCATATAAAGTGCAATTGTGCTGCAGTGCTGTGAGGCTATGGGAATATCCCATCTCGTGCGGCAAGACGTCAAAAAACTCTCCCTGGTGCGGGGTAAAGCCAATTACATGTTTCGTTCATCTTTGCAGAGAACTACTTGCGCAACATTGTGCCTAGAAATAAGCATATTTGGAGAAAAGTTGGATATTTGAATGGACATGAATTTTTGACGTCTTGCCGCACGAGATGGGATGCCAGACGATAGCCCTGATCGGAGTTTTTGCCCGCAACAATGGTATTGGCGACCTCACAAGGACCGTAATAAAGCAGTTTATCCGGCCTCACCGACAAGCCAAATCTTGCAATCAAATCAGCATTTTCATCTGCAAGAACCCGTCTGGACGCGCATGTAGGTAAGTGGAGGGCAGCTGGGCCTAATAGTGATGTCAGAAGGCCAAGAGTCACGGTACTAGGGAACGGCTGCGGGTTCTGCTTGCCCTTGCAGCAACAAGAAGGAACCAGCAAGTAGCTGATCCCAAGCTCAGAAATGGTGGATGCACTTCACAGTCGCGAGCGCATCGCATCGAAGCGGTCCAACCCGGTTTCAAAGGCTCAGTCTTGTGTTGCGGGGAATGAGACATGGGGCAATAGGCAGGTCAAGCCTCGAAAGGGCACAAGGCAAAACATAACTTGCTGACTCGGGACCAAGCACACAAACCAAAGGTGCTCTGGCCAAGCCACGATGCATACCACGCTTTCGTCTAGCGCAAGGCACGGAGTGTGTGTGCACAAGGGCAGAGTCCCCACGGCTCTGGCGGTAAAATGTGCCCTGATGTTATTCTCGATGCGCTCGAATCGGAGGGCGCCATCAGCCTATTCGGAGTCCGGTAGATGACGCTGAGGACCCGGGATATTATCCCTGACCAAGCCCGGAGGCTCACTCCTTCTCCAATTTCCCCTCATCTCCACCCCCTCACAACCGCATTGACCATCTCAACTCCTCCTAGTTCCTCCAGACTTTCCCCATAACCTTAGAGCGGAGAAGTCGTCCGCCCACGTTCGCGCACGACGCTTCGATATCAACCGGTGCGGCCGATGTAACGGTGTTCCTTACTCTAACCGTCCAATCCCAACCTTGCTCTATCTTGAATCCTTGCTTGATCACACATGAACACGCGAAATCTCAACCGAGCCGAACTTGATATGCTGTAGAAGCTGCGGGGCGAATCGCTTCCGCAATTCTCGCCTCGGGCCTGAAGCCACCGACATACAAGACTTACGAGATTGGTTCAGCCGTCTGGGCGAAGACGCTTGCGTAAAGTGACCCTGTAGAGTGCGGGGTGATCGGGTAAGCTAGGAAGTGAGTATACTACATGAGATGATGTTCCAATGGCTGGTTACCCGCGCGAAATGAGTGTGTTCCTCCTCCGCCCTTTGGACGGCTAGATCTTGCATGTTGCAATTGACATTACTCGACGATGGTACCTTTTCCCTGGTTCATTGGCTTTGGCTCTGATCATCCCATGCAGCTATGTAGCTCGAGGTGCTTATAAAATCGTCACCCCTCCGCGGCGCATTTGATGGTTTCTCTCTCACGACACCCTCGCGTCATTGCACCCCAAATCTCAAGCAACCGGGAAGCAAAATGGTGTCGCTCAAGTCGGCCATCCTAGCTGCCACCTACGTCGTTTCAGCTGCTGCTGTCGATATCACCGTCAAGGTCTCTGGTGGCAATGCTACTAGTGGTCATCAATACGGATTTCTCCATGAGGTTTGTAGTCCTTTGTTTCACATTGCTCAATTTGAGTCACTTTCCCTAACGACTCTCTCCTAGGACATTAACAACTCTGGTGACGGCGGTATCTACGCTGAGCTGATCCGTAATCGAGCTTTCCAATACAGCCCCGAGTTCCCCGTCTCTCTTGACGGTTGGCACCCGATCAACGGCGCGAATCTGACTCTCAAGAACCTCTGCCAGCCCCTCTCCACCGCCCTTCCCGTCTCTGTCCAAGTCACTAAAGGCAGTGGCTCCGGGGCCATCGGCCTGAAGAATGATGGCTACTGGGGCATGGATGTTAAGGTGCAGAAATACACCGGTTCTTTCTGGGTCAAGGGCACCTACGATGGTGTATTCACTGCCTCCCTGCAGTCTGCTCTGACCGACGATGTCTTTGGCTCTGTCGAGATCCAGTCCAAGGCTAAGGCCAACGAGTGGGTCGAGCACGAGGTCGAGCTAATCCCGGAGAAGAATGCTCCCAACAGTAACAACACATTTGCTATCACTTTTGATCCTGCGGTATGTGACTGGTCTTCTTAATTACACGGTATGTACTAACACCTCATGTTCAGGGCACTGCCAACAGTTCGCTGCACTTCAACCTGATCAGTCTGTTCCCCCCCACATACAAGGGCCGTAAGAACGGACTGCGTGTTGATATTGCCGAGTCTTTGGCAGGTCTGCATCCAGTAAGAAGCCCTCTCTAATCTATATCGGCGATAACTTATTTCTAATGACTAAACAGAGCCTACTTCGTTTCCCCGGCGGTAATATGCTGGAAGGACTGAACAACAAGACCTACTGGGACTGGAAGGATACTCTTGGACCTCTCAAGGACCGTCCCGGTTTCCAGGGTGTTTGGGGATACCAGCAGACTCACGGGTTGGGCCTCGTCGAGTACCTCGAGTGGTCCAAGGACATGAATCTGGATGTTGTCATTGGTGTCTGGGCTGGACTCTCTCTCAACGGCGACGTCACTGCCAAAGAAGACCTCCAACCCTTCATTGACGATGCTCTCGACCAAATCGAGTTCATCCGTGGTCCCGCTGACTCCAAGTGGGGTGCTCGCCGTGCTGAGCTTGGTCATCCCGAGCCTTTCACGCTGGAATATGTTGAAGTTGGCAATGAGGATTGGCTTGCTGGCTACCCCGGCGGCTGGAACTCTTATAAGGAGTACCGCTTCCCCATGTTTATGGATGCCATCAGGGCGAAGTACCCTGATATCACCGTCATCTCCTCCGGTGCCACCAGCGACGGTGACGGCTACGACATTCCCGCCCCTGGTATCGGTGACTACCACCCTTACCGCACTCCTGATGCTCTTGTTGAGGAGTTCGACCGCTTTGACAACGATATCGGCCACATCGTGGGTGAGGTTGCTGCCACCCACCCTAACGGTGGTATCGGCTGGGAAGGCAACCTGATGCCCTTTCCTTGGTGGATTGGCACCGTTGGTGAGGCCGTCTCCTTGATTGGCTACGAGCGCAACGCCGACCGCATCCCTGGTACCTTCTACGCCCCTGTTCTTCGTAACATGAACCGCTGGCAGTGGGCCGTCACCATCGTCCAGTTCGCCGCCGACCCAGCCCTGACCACCCGCTCCACCAGCTGGTTCGTCTGGGAGCTCTTCGCTGCGCACCCTCTCTCACAAACCCTGCCTACCGTCGGCGAATTCGGTCCCGCATACTGGGTCGCTGGCAAGAACGAGGCTAAGGGCAGCTTGATTTGGAAGGGCGCCGTTTACAATACCACCGACAGCGCCGATGTACCTATCAATGTTCAGTTTGAGGGTGTCACTGCTGGCACGACGGCTTCGTTGACCGTTCTAACCAACCCCAGCGGTGACCCGTTCGCGTACAACGACCCCCACACCGGAGTAAACGTCGTCGCCAGCAACACTACTACTGTCACGGCCAACAAGGACGGTGTCTTCACCTTCAGTCTGCCCGAGCTTAGCGTTGCTGTTCTTGACACTGAGGGTTCTACCGGTGAAGACCAAGCCGCCCGGGCGGTCAGAAGCTTTCAAGCTTAGTAAATGATAGTCAAAGGGTAGACGTAAGGATGACGTTGCTGGGCTTGCAAGGCAGCTGTTGATGAGACACTAGACGGAATAATGTACAATCAAATATGATTAACTGTCAATTGTTAATATTAGATTTGATTTCTCCGCGATGGCTCTAGAAGAAAGCGACTCGCAATTTGCACTGCCGCTCGGAACTTGGCTTTTGCTACATGGAACGAGTCGAGGTACGATTACGAAGCAAACCAGCTCGCAAACTTTCGTTAATATTATGAAGACCAATTGCGGATTCACATCGATATGATCTGCATTGGTAACCCGACGCTTCCATAACTATTAGCTGGAACATAGCCGCCCTGAAACCACCCAAGGTTCATGTTTGCATACTCCTTCCTGCCCTCTGTATATGGGCCCAGTTCTATATCGATCGCCTTTGTGGCACCCTACTCTGTGGTTCGGGTGCAATTGTCTCAACCAGCTGCTCACCCTAAGATTGCTGCTTATGAGCTGGTAAAATAATTCATGGTGTGAGCATGGAGAGCAGTGTTAGTGCAAGCGCCAATGCTTCGTCCCATCATCTGGTCGCCAGTGTTTATATAGCAGACCGACCCTCCTCTATTTCCAGAACTTCTAACACCAATGCTCTCATCTCCGAAGTAACAGGGATTTGATACAGACTATCACGACTCGCCTAAGTTCCCATGGAGTGCTCCTTTTTGTTGACCTGAAAGTCCGTCCCTGCTATTGTGACAACATAGCTCAGCTGTAGAGCGCGACGCTTGACGATTTTACCTTCCCCGTTAGACGTTTTCTATATCTTCTCAGTGGTGTACATCATGCGGGATAACGAAGCTGCAACGTCCAACACCGTCAGTTGCGTCTCTTCAGCAACTTCCCGTATAATAGCGTCGCGAACTGTAGTATCCGTCGCATCCACCTTTCCTCCGGGTATCTCAAAAACGTCTGGGTAATGCTTCTCATTGGGGTTTCGTTTAAGAAGAAGGACGCTGAGACCTGAAGTGTCATGTCGCAAGATGGCGGCACTAACCGTTACTTTATCGACCTTGGGGGGACCGCTTAAGGAGATGTGGAGTCGAACCTCATCGCGCGACATTGACAGAAATTCCATGGCTGAATCTTTGGTAACGTCGGTAGACGAGGGTTGAGAGTGGTAGTGACATCCCAAGTAGCTGGAAAGAGTAGTGGTCGGAGGAGGAAGAGGAAAGGTAAAGGAGGAAAGAAGTCCTTATGTTAACTGGGATATTTAAATTTGAGTCGCCTGAACGTTTTTTCTTTCCATGTCTGCACTTACCACCAAGGTGTCAGGCATTGGGCACGATCAAACAGCCCTCGTCCTCTTGACGACGGTACGTAAGAATGCAAGTCACATCCATTCAGTCAAATATATAGGCCTGGTGCACCACGTAGTAATCCGGTAGCTATCTAACCCCCAAGATTAATTACTACCACCAAACTAATCACTGTTACGGGAAAACAGAAGTAAAAAAGCCTTTATTGTCTGTCTCTTGGCAAGGAGCTACTGGGCCACGATGCTCGCGCGTGAATGATGCCAGATAGCCTGCTGTACATTGTACCAAGACTAGTTTCCATGTGAGTGGGACTCTGGTGGTATGTTCTCGAGGATGATGAACTACTTAACTTAGAGTAGCAAATGGCCGTGAGGGTACGGCTGATTTCTCTCGTTCTGCTTGACCTATGCATTTCTAAATCATTTCTCGATTTCCTCAGGTATTTCTTGACGATAAATTTAATGTAATTTAGAGTTATGATCAACGCCTACTGATTATCCTCCGAAAACTTCAGTTCGTGATCGGTGACGCCTTTCAACACCTCACCGATCCCTGGAACCTTGCCGTCTCCACCCTGCATTATCTTATCGTAGTTGTCGATAATGAGCTGAATACCAGAATCAAACTCTTTCCCATCGAATTCGCAGTGTCCCCCGTCAGGCGTATTATCTTCTGTCTGGAGCTTATCGATTTCCCTGCCCTCCAAGCCCTTTTCCTTGACCACCTTCTCGTAGGCCTTGATCGCCTCCGGAATTGATTCTCGTAGACCTTGGTTCTCTTTCTTGGTAGACTGGTAGTGAATACGTGTGTTCGTGAGGGCGTCGCGGGACGCCTTCGATACCTCCATTTGAGGCTCCATGGCACCGCAACCCAACAACACTCCGTTCCCGGCAAAGTTTCCGATATGAGCAGGGATAAAGAAGCCAGATAGCAATAGAGATCCGCCCGAGATTCCGGTGAAGTAGACGTTAGAGGAGTTGAATGCCATATACTTGGGCAATACGTGATAGACGAGGTCATTGACAGCTTTCGCATGGGCGACGCCATCAGTGCGGTTGAGACCCTCTCCACCTCCCCAGTTGAGATTCTTGTCTGGTGATAAAATGGCCACTCCGGCCAAGTTGTTCTTAACCCCTTGGTTCGGCATTTTGAAGAATGACTCTCCGCCATCGCCGTGAAGCAGGACATTCAGGCCAAGGTCGCCCGAGGCACCAGTTGTCTTGCCACCGCCAGGAACTTTACTAGCCATGGTAAACTCGCCGGCAGGGCCACTGATACGGAAGCGTATCTTCAAGTCACTGATTGCTTTGTCAGAATTTCCACAGATCATGGAACTTTGCAACCGAGAAGGAGCACTCACTTCACTGTTTCAGTAGTATCTAAGATAACTGAACCATCATTGGTTGGAGTGATACCCTGTGGCACTTTGTTCGCTGCATCCGCTGGGGTTTCTTCTCTTGTGTCCAGAGACTTGGATCCAGGAAGACCATGGACGCTGCTAAGCAGGGCGGCAACCAGAATAGCCCAGGCGGCCTGTAGATGTATCGAAGATTTCATTTTGGAGAATGGAAACTCAAAGGCGCTGCTTGTTGATTTGTAAATGGAGATGCAATATGAGATGGAGGAGATTGAAGCCCGACGGACTTGCAATCTAGCTTATATATTTGCTTGTTCTTGGACACGTTACTGTCTTGAATCACAGAGGCATCCGAAAATAGTGACCAGCAGTTTACAGTATCGGAGCCTCTCTCTTCATGAGTTGAGAGTCATCTCGATAGATCTAGTCAAGAAACTTTCCTCGAAAAGAGTTTCATCTGAACTATCAGGGGACGTTTTAATCGGCATTGGCTATCCCGTAGGTTGGGCGAGTAAGGCGTCACTGGGCGACAGTGCAACAAACGGCGGGCGGAAAAGGGTTCCGCGTGATACGGATGGACCGGCTGCAACTTGCAACTCCCCGTGCTCCCTCCCATCGTTGTTTCCTTCTGAAACATGAAACGAACGCCCTCACGATGCACCATCCTTGCTGGCAAACATGTTTAGTGAAACAGCCAACAGGCGCCTTGAAGATGCCGATTTTCTCTCTTTCTCGTGAGTATCGTGTATGATCGACGGAAAATTTTGTTTCCCTGACAGAGGGCTTCCATTTGGATTGACTCAAGGCCGTATCAACCTTTTTGGTTGGGCAAAACGACCAGATTACCAATATTTTGTGTTTCTTTGGTAACAGCTTTCTCAAGCAGAGGCTTGGTCACATGCGATGCCGGTTTTAACTTTTTTTTAGAAGCCATGTTCACAATACCAATGCTTGTCGATTTGTCAATAAATCTACGCATCTGAATTATGCTCGCAAGACTCATTTCAATTGACATTGAACTCACTGGAGCCTCTGACGTAACTCAAATTTATTGGCATAGCTTGGATGGGGACGCCGGCCGGGATTCCTTCGGCCGACGGTCACAACCGCTCAGTGCCGCCCCAATGATCCAGTCCTAGTGGGCCGCGATGACCCCGCAAAGAGTCCCCGCCTTCGGACGACAGCGCACCGATGCGGAGACCTGTGGTCCCGATTCTCTCAATAAAGACTGCTGCTTCACAACTCTATTGATCGCGCGAAGCTTTGATACTACTCCTTGAGGCTATCCAAAAATCGATTTGATAAGGCAACTTGACAAGATGTCCATGTCCACGGAAGACTGCCAGAAGACCCGTGATGGCTTCCCACGCCCTTTTCCCAACACCCCGTCCAACGTCTTAGAACAGCTTCGTGTTACCGACAAGGTCATTGTAGTCACTGGTGCGGCAGATGGCATTGGCTTCGCGGTCTCTGAGGCTATGGCCGAGGCCGGGGGTAACGTTGCTTTGTGGTACAACTCGTAAGTCCCCCTTAGTCATTACAGGACGGGGTTTTCGTCAAAGCCTATGTTCTTGACTAATGCTCTGACAGGAACGATGCCGCAATTCAAAAAGCAAAAGATCTATCAAACACACACAAGGTGAAGACTTCGGCCTACAAGGTCGATGGTGAGTTTCAGTCAGATCGGGCTAGCTAGGCCCGAGTGGCAATTGACAGGACACGATGCTGACTGGGAAACACAGTATCCGACGCAGCTGGAGTCCAAGAAACCATCGCAAAGGTCGTCAAAGACTTTGGAAAGATTGATGTCTTTGTCGCGAATGCTGGTGAGTCGCTCAAAGCCCATATTGTTCTCATAAGCAATGAGCTAAGTGTGTGACAGGCATGGCCATTTCGAAGCCCATTCTCGAGCAGACTCTGGACGAATACAGGAAACAGATGTCTGTAAACGTAGACGGAATCGTTTACTGCTCCAAGTACGCTGGAGAAGTCTTCAAGAACCAAGGTTTCGGCAACCTCATCATCACATCAAGCATGAGCGCCCACATTGTCAACGTGCCCGTGGATCAACCCGTCTACAACGCAACCAAGGCATACGTCACACACTTCGGCAAGTCGCTAGCTCGCGAATGGCGCGAGTTTGCCCGTGTTAACATTGTCTCTCCTGGCTTCTTCGACACCAAGATGGGCGCTGGTCCCCAGGCTCTGCAAGAAGCGTACCGCATGGCAGCGCTCGGCAGACAAGGGCACACGAAGGAGATCAAAGGCTTATATCTTTACTTGGCGAGTGACGCCTCCACTTACATGACAGGGAGTGATGTGATCATCGATGGTGGGTACGTCTTGCCTTAGACAGCTAGGAACGGGATTTTGTTCAGGGAAATGTGTAGACTTAAATAAAGACGTTGAAATGATACGATATCCATGTAAACCCCTTAATCTCTGAGAGATTGCTGTGTCTTTTCTGTAATCGTACTTTTCCCCAATGAATACAGAGAGCGAACCCAGCCTAGCTATGGGCAATATAGGTTCTAAGCCTTCCATACCTCATGTACCAAAATATAAAATATAATCAGCAGATTCTTACACTTATGTATTAAGATTGCACTAGATATGAATGATTATCAAATTGATACTTATCTAGTCACAACTCCCATGGCTTTTCTATGTTGCTTTAATTCTTCTTTCTCGGCACCCCTGTAGAAGCCCGTCTTACTGAGCGGAAAGCATATCTCACCCAGTAGCCACAGGCGCCAAAAGAACGTATTAACTTTCTTATCTATACTTTGCCTCCAATGACAACAAGGTCCATGGACTCGGTCTTCAAAAGGACGGGTGCACGTCGGCAACATGCTTGACGAGGAAAATCTTGTTCAAGAGAGCAGCGACGGAGCTGATGACCGTCCATCAATGACTTTCCTCACTTAACAGCTGGGACTAAGATAACAGTCACATCAACAGTGACTGGTACAAGACTGGTGAGCCTAGCAACACAAGGTAGCTTGTCATAAGGGGCAAGGCGGAGGGGTAGGACGTCATTGTTATTCGTACGAGCGACGGCAAGAAGGCCGCCGTTTATGATCAGGGGAAAATCGGTGTCTTCATCCGTGGATATGACAGAAGGATACCCGTCGGTTGCCCGTTGAGGAAAGAAAAGGCTTTCGAGATGAATGAACGGCTTGTTGTCGGTCTTGACTATGGGGACAGGAGTCACTTTGAGTAAGATTCACATCAGCCTTGATGCGAAGATGAGCTTTAGACGACGGGGTGCTGAAGCGCAAAAGGACTCCCGATCGGAGACAAGACACCCGTTGAGCTCGCTATCTACGTCGTCAAGTGTAGAGTGATTGATATCTGCAGTGGCGTCTACTAACAGACGCGAAGAGGCTCCGAGGACCTCGCAAAGTCTCTGGCGCACAAATTGTGCCAGAGGCTGAGAAGGACCACTGATTCAATCCGATGCATCCGTTGTTTCCAAAGACGAAGCATATGCATTGAGTTGGCATGCTCTTCTTGCCCGATGGCCTGCTTGTGTTTGCTGGCATGTTGGAGATGCAGTCGAAGGAGGATTGGTGTTCCGTGCCAGCGTTCTACTCTTGAAGTCCGTCGAATCAGCTATTGAATGCAGGCAAACAAACTGCTAGCCAAACTCAAACTCAAATTTGGCCTGGTGGTTCTAAGCTGGATGGTGTTACAGCTTGCTCCCCACATTCAGCTCTGCGAGGTGAGACTGCACCCACAGACAGAGTCTGGTCGGAGCGGGAACTCGAGGATCAGCATCGTTTGTCCATGGTGGCTTCCACGTTCCGTGGTTCTGCGGACTTTTGCTGCATTTCACTTCTCGATGATTCACTCTGATTAGCTTCGGACTCCTCACCCTGCATGCAGGGTAGCGCCTCATCTCGTAATTGGAGAGACTTTCGGTGTCGATGTCGTTGTGCATATTATGCATGCCCAACGCGAGCAACGACTGACCCAAAAGGCTCCTGCGAGACTGACTTCACCCTGGCCAGTTCGACATCATACACCATTGGAAGTTCACTGATCGACTTCATAAACAGGACCAAATAGAAATGTTTCTGCTTCACAACCGATGACGCGAATGCGCGGCAAGTTGATGCGATCCCTCTCTTGAGTTATCCATCCTGGATAAGCCTTTGGCATGACTGACTTGTTCAAAGTTGTCCCTTGCGCTGGCGGTACCCACAGCCGTACCGTGCAAGATGGGGTGGGAATGTAGCACCCGCCTGCTATTGAGGAGCGGAATATGGAGCTTTCCCCGCACATTATCCTTAACCACAGGTCACTAGTCAAGGTGCCAGAGTGGTTAATGGGCTGCCCTGCTATCATTCGTGATTCCAGACTAGGCAGTGGCTTCGGTCGCGCAGGTTCGAATCCTGTCCTTGACGCGTTATCCTTTTGCAGTTTTGACTGTCTGTCTCCGTATCTGTCAAGTTATGATTCGTCATGCTTTGGTATGTTTTGCGATTCTGACCGCCAGGGCGTTAGTGATGTATTGCTGGGGTAGCTAGCCCCACACTAGCCCAGTGCCACTTCAAGCTGCCAGTCGGGCAACGACAAACTGTACCCCAACGCGACTGCCAAAGCTTCAACTGGCGAGAGCTGCACGAAGGAAAAGAAGCTCAAGGGGTTTTCCCGCACCGCCACTTACGTAAACAAGCATCTCAGAAGTGTAGTGATATAATATTCTCGCAAAAAACGTAATTCGTGTTTTCCTAGAGTCGCGTGTCAACGGTACCACTTGTCCCGCAACTCATATCGGCAAAGGCTTTCGGGGAACCAACGAGTCAGGCCCGGCGCCGAGGACACAGACGAATGCCTTGGCCGATGGAGGCGGCAAGGCCGGGGCTGTGGGCTAGATCCGAGTCCTTTGGCACTCGTGAGTCGACACTCAATGCCCAACTTTACTCGTTTTGTTTGCGCAGAACAAATGACTCAAAGGTTCATAGACAGGACTTGGTCACTATCTTAACAATCCACGCCCGAAGAGGTGGGGATTCGAAGTTTAAGCTATCTAGTTTATTGATACTGAAGTACTGAGGTGTCCGATTACGCTGAACCACCAACCCATCCCATTCCGACCCAAACTCCGAGCTGCCCAAGTGGTATAACCCTGAAACCAACTTACATCACAAACACCCTTAAGCTCCTACAGTATGGCTGAAGATTTTGGCAGCCAACTGGGTAAGCAACCTCGCACGGTCCGGCTGAGGAAGCTCCTGCAGGCTGTTAGCAAAATACCCTTACACCAACCAAAACACGACAGAGAGGCTAACTGGATCTACCCCGCAGATATCTCCAGATTCGCACTGACCTGGAATACGGCGTAGACGCTCTTGCCCTTCGCGTCTCGAACGGCACCGAGCCTGTTTCCAGCGACAGCTCCCGCGAACGCACCGGGCATGTTCCCGACGATGAAGCCCAGCGCGCCGCCACTCAGGCCGCCCACAGTGCCCCAGAAGGAGCCCGTCGGGCGGTTCGTACCCTCCTCGGCCATGCCCTCCTCGCGCAGCATCTCCTCGAAGACGTCTCCGAACTGCTGGTTGTCCGTCTTCTCGCGCTGCTCCTGGTTCTGGCCCTGTTTGCCTCCGGTGAAGAAGTTCCATGCCCACGAGTAGGCGTTTTGCGCATTTCCGGGACCAGCTTGCGGGGGCACTTCCTCCGCCGGGTCCTCCTCGTCGTCGGAAAAGTCGCCGTAGGTTGTGCCGGCGGATGCGCCAAAGATGTTGCGCTGGGCGTCATACTCGCGCCGCCTTTGGGTGTCGGAGAGTGTGTAGTATGCGTCGTTGACGAGCTGGAACTTGCGAGTGCGGGTCGCTCGTTCGGGCGAATCAGCGGGGACTCTATCAGGGTGTGTCTTCAAAGCCGCTCTATAAAACAGTGTCAGCATTTGGCATTTCTATTACAAGACACTCGGGGCCCTACTTCTTGTATGCATCGCGAACCTGCTGCGTTGTAGCCGTCTCCGAGATCTCGAGGATCTTGTCTGTGGCGCAATGTTAGTCGCATCTCTGGAGCTGTGGCCTGGGGGGAGAGGGGTGCGGGGAGAAAACGTACAGTAATTGGGAGGGGCACCGGTGTTCGCCATCTTGAATTCTGGTAAAGCAAGGGTATACGATGCTTTTTTGGATGGCAAAATGGTGATAAAGAACGGAAAGTAAGGGAGAAAGAGGGACGCAGGCTGCCAGTGATCAAGTACCAGATTGTGCTTCAGGTATCGCCTCCCGCAAACACCAGTTGTAACTGACGTCAACGTCATTGTGGCGCATGAAACTGGAATGCGAACGTGGCTTGATCGGAGTGCGGGGCTCTGCTGCCGAGTGGGCCCTACTTCCAGCCGAGTGGTAGTGGTCTGTGCTCTGCTTACCTCAACTCCCCGAGGGTCCTCCTTTGCGGCAGCCCATATCACAGACAATTGTTTCTTGTCTTCTTTTGCTCTTGATTCAACCCTCTCTCATACCTCCCCTTGGCATCTGCATTCGCATCCCAGGTGACCTCTTGGTCAGTGAGTGACGATAACAAAACGCATTGATCGTTTCCGAGTCCTTAGCACAGGCTGATTGTCTCTCGCCAAACCGACCAGTTCTGTCGGTGATGGTTTCGGGTAAAGGGGTCGACATGAACTGTGACGGCGATCGTTGGTCGAGGGATGTTGAGGTTATTATTTGAGCTCCGGAACAGCTCGCTTCCCATAACACCCTTCGCGATTGTTGCATTCACCAATGTCCCATCCCTTTGCTCAACGGGTACAGCACGACATCTACGAAGTAGGCGCGACAGAACTTATGCTGGCGGGCTGCCCATTTTGCCTATGCCAATATCCTTCCGTCAACTGCGTTCGGAGCCTCACTGTTGTCGATCCCCTTTTCTGAATCTCTGCCCGGTTCAAAGGACAGAGTTGGACAACCATCCGAACCTTGGCTGCCCTGCCGTGCAACTCAACTGCGCTTGTAGGTTGCATCCGCCCGTTGCGTGAACAACACGACTCCGCGGCTTCGCGGAGCTAACTACGCCGGCTTGGCTGTCGAAAACGGTATTCCTTGGTAGTGATTTGCCATCCTAAGTAATGGGCTTGATTGAGGCTCGAAGTATAGTTGCTCGTTTCAGGGGTGTAGAGGGGCCCTGCGAAGCATATCGTCAGCATTTTCTAGCCTCTAAGGCTAGCTTCGTGCCTGAAGGCTATTGTGGAGGAGCTATCCGCACTACTGGGAAAAGAGGAGCTTGGGAAAGTCAAATTGCCGGACTTCTACGGGTGAGCGAGCAATTGCCCGCCCAAACTGCAGCCGCCAGGCCGTTAAGAGCCACCCACATGAAGCCAAAATAGGTTATTGAGGCTCAGCTCCTGAGACAAGACGTCGGGGTTGGAGACGAGTAGGTGTAATCGATCGCTGTAGGATGCCACCGACGGTCGATTGGTTTGTCGCTCCGCCTCATCCTTCAGCCGACAGGTCTTGGATACCTATCGTGAAGTGTAGGACTCAGGCAGCCGTTTGACTGCTGGGAAAACATCCGCGCTGCTGTGTAAGATACGCATGCCGTCTATTCTAGGGACGGAAGGAGCTAGTCCTTTTGTGTTTATTTCAAATGCCCATTCACATACCAAGCGTTCCTCGAGCTGAACTTCAGCCGCACACCACTGCTCGACCTGCTGATGCCCATCCTCGGCAAGAGAGTGTACCATCTGCGCTGCCTAGTCACTGCGCAGTGCTGGTCTGCCTCTGATCCCAGTGTTGCCTGCGCGAGAATTACACAATGAGGATCGACATCGCCCCGTCTAACCCTGCCAAGAATTGGGCTGACTGGCTTGCGGTGGAGGCTCGAAATCGAAAGGGCAACAACACATTGTACCACCGTATCGCGGCTTGAGAAGTTGGCTCAGAATCACCCATGCAGCTTAAGCCCCATCCATGGCTTGGCGGGGCGGCACTTTTGTCGCTCCCCGCAATGTTTACCTTTGCCCGCCGCATACACACCGGATCGCCTTCGTCACCACACAGACTTGATGTGTCAAAAGCAGCTGGGGTTGGTCAAGGTTTAACGAATGGCGATCTCGACAAGAGACTGGGCACTCTTCACCTTCGGCCGACTCATACACCGTTGGGAAGGAGCAAAGGCCTGCATTGGTTTCCATTAACCTGGAGCGGAAGGTACGGGTACCGCATGTGCGTACCGTATCATGGCAAGCATGACACTCAAAGACCGGACGGCCAACGCCTCGCTGCTTTTCCCCATATGCATAACAAAAACATTAACGAATACCACCGCCACGCTCATTTTGCTGCTTTAGTCGTCATTCCTCTTGCTTCCGGTCACCCTCGACAGCTCTTGAATATATATAAGGACCAACCCAACCCCGAGAGTCACACTGGATGAACCAATTTCCGCCAACCCTCACCCAACTTCCCTTCCGTGATCGTCGACGAGACCATACTGTTGGTCCAAGGCACTTGTGATTCTTGCGCCAAGTGCCTCAGCATACCATTCGCTACGCAGGTAGCCTCCTCCGGCGTAGGTCTATATTTGCAATGCTTCCTGGCTCCGCTGCTAAGCTAAATCAACAGAACTTCGAGGACCCAGTGCTAGCACAATGGCTCCCACCGGCACAAATGTTGACGCGAGCAGCGTTTGCACAACGCCAGCATGTCTCGAGATTGCTTCGGAGATCCTTCTTAGTCTTGCTCCCAACTATACCGATATCGATCCGTGCACAGACTTTGACAAACGTAGGTCGAACTGGCTCCAATTACCTTTTAACTCCCCCTTGCCCGCATGACTTTTGTTTCTAGCTTCCCCACGTCCAAGCTTTCAATCCCTGCTTTACAACTCGCTCATAATTCTCATTCAAGACATCCCCAAAGTCAAAATGCCATGACTCTACAATCATTGACACACTTTCTTGGCAGTGGCATGCGCGGGCTGGGACTCCAGGCACGCGCCGGCCGCCGGTCAGGGCAGGGCCTCCTCGCTGGGCGAAGTCGGCGACACTGTCTCAGTCTTGCTCAAGGACATCTTGGAGGGCCCTTATCCCTCCGGGCCCAATGCTGGATTTCTGACGGCATCTCTATCCCAAGAGCAAGTTGGTGCCGATCAAGACAACTTCAAGCTCATTGTCGAAACATACAATGCCTGCTTGAACAATACCGCGGTCGAGGCGGCAGGCCTGCGTCCTCTGATTAGTCTCATCGACCTCGTCACGGAGGCGTTCCCTGTCGCCAACACAACGGAAGACAAGGAACGCAAGGTCTCAAAGGGTGATGCTTCCAACATGGGCAAGGCTCTACTGCTATTTAGTCAGCATAGCATTCCGACTTTTGAGTCCATCGATGTCACTTTTGATGATCTGAACCCGGTGTGTAGTTCCCTGTTTGCTCTTGACACTTTTCAAAGTTTTTTGGCGCAGTCTTCCGCCCCTTCGAGCACCAGACTGATGGCGTGATAGAACAAAACCCTCATCTCGGTCCTGCCCGGCGGCACGCCACTGCTTACCGGCTCACAGTCACATAACAACGAAACGGTCGAAGAGTACCTGCGCGTTATGGCAGCGGTCCTCCAAGAAGTGCACCCTGACAAGCCTAGTCGCGATAAATCTGAGAAGCTTGCACGAGCCATTACTAATTTTGAGAGGGAAGCAAACGCTTTGAAGGCTACGGATGATAGCCGCGAGAGTGACAGCGTGAGTCTTTCCACCCCTTGCAATTGCCTTTTCATAACCGAAACACAACATCCAGCACGTTTCTCAATCCCGATGCTCCAGTCTCAGGCCCCTGACGATCCGCAATTGACGATTGTATATAGTCACCCGGCAGAGTGTTCAACTTGGAGCAAGTCACTAGCGTAGCACCTGAGCTCAACCACGACTATGTCCTCAAGAACTTGATTCCCGCGGATTATGAACCCCAAGAGCTCTACTTCTCACCTGCTTACTTCGGCAACCTCTCCCAACTCCTCGCCAACACTACAGTGGAGACGGTCCAAGGCTTCTTCATATGGAAGGCAACCTCTACCTTTTCCAGTTACGTTGAAGCCGAGGCTACAGAGCGATTGAACGATATGAAATCCAAACTGCGCGCCGTAGATCCGGCAGTGGTCGGTAAGCCCGCGAGATGGCAACAGTGCGTCGGTCATGTTGATGAGGGCGTCCCTTGGAGCAGCCTGCCTTCGGGACTGGGTTGGATTCTCAGCCGGTTTTACCTCGACAAGGCATACTCGAAGGAGGCTCGTGAGCTCACGACAAACATGATGGGCAGCATCCAGCAGGCCTTTATATCTCGCCTCGGTGAAAAGGACTGGCTCTCTTCTGACGTCAAAAAGGCGGCTGAAGAGAAGGTTAACGCCATCGTGAAGAAGATCGGCTACCCGGATGTGTCCCCCGACACTGCCAGTCCTCGCAACCTTGCAGACTACTTCTCCGGTCTGCAGCTCGGCAACACCTTCTTTGGCAATGCTGTCGCCTTGGCTCGTTTTTCCAGCAAGAAGGCGTTTGCACAACTCGGCAAACCCAGCGACAAGGCTTTGTGGCTCCAGACACCATCTACGACAAATGCGTATTATTTCCCTACCTACAACGACATTGTCATCAGCGCCGGCATCCAGCAACAGCCCCTGTATAGCGTCGACTACCCCTCGTACATCAACTATGGTAGTCTTGGTTCCGTCCTCGGCCACGAGCTCACACACGGCTTTGATAACAGCGGACACAACTATGCCGCCAACGGTTCGCTCGTCAACTGGTGGGATAGTCAGAGCCTGCAAGCCTTCAACAACCGCACCAAGTGTTTCGTCGACCAGTACCAAAAGTTCACCGTCACTGCGCCTAATGGTACGGAGGTACCTGTTAGGGGCAACTTCACCCTTGGGGAGAACATCGCTGACGCAGGTGGCGTCGCAACAAGTTACACGGCATGGAAGAAGTTGCAGGCGGACAAGAAAGCCAAAGATGTTGACTTGCCTGGTCTGCAAAAATTCTCGCACGACCAGTTGTTCTTCTTGAAATGGGCTCAGAGTTGGTGCGGCAAGTCGTCTTCAAAGGAGTACGATGTCTACACCATTGGCTCTGACGTCCATTCCCCCGGGTTTGCCCGCATCAAAGGACCATTGGACAACTCGAAGGACTTCCGCAGTGCATTCAACTGTCCTCAGAAGCAGCCTACATGTGAGCTCTGGTAGACGGTTCGGCTCGGTGTTCCGGATGTCATGCTGGCTGCTACCCGGTAGCTGGATGACAGGCGTTCGGAGAAGAGCGTCAAAGACACTTAGATTCCCTGCCTCGTATTTTCCGGGCTGCCGCCTTTTGTACACGATAAAATCATAATATAAATATTCTTTAAACTAATTTTGCCAAGGAGCTTCCGTATTTTTTATGTAGTGCATTGCTGTTGTGTTTGCATATCTCCCAAAGGAGGACTGACTGCAACGCATCCATGGCGGAGGTCGAACCACGTATTCTGCATGTTAAGACGATACCACCACAGCCACGGATAATATCCGAAGGCTTTGACTGTCTTATTTAGCACTTGTCCTGGTGTTTGGGGGCAGACAGAAACTATGGAGAGGCATAAAGGTTCAAAGTGCTTATGAGAACCCAAATCATGAGAAGTGTTGAAGACAGTACATAGACTGCCGGCCCTCTGTACTCGAGTTACCAGCATGCAGAGCTGACTAGGTACAACTTTGAACGAAAACCTTCCGACGTTCTGCGAACGACTTTTTGTCATGCCATTGTTCAAGTGACTAGGCCAATAGAATCTTGCAAGAATCTTCTGTAAGGATGCGATTGTTTCCAATCGTGCCGACCTGGAAGCTTGCTTCGCACCGCATCAACATTCGGTGCCAACCGCGTGGAGTGGGGCAGAAGCCCGGGGCCGGGGCAGACTGCCGGAGCAACCGCCGCCGACCACTCTCAAGCGTGGGCGACGTAGCAAAAGTCCATTGAGGATGCTGGCTTTGTGAGAATTTTCGTTTTGCGAATGATATCTCCGTGAGTAATGGCAAAGTAGAGGCATCGCGACCCAAAGTAACACCCGAAATGACCCTCACTTGCTATGAAGCACAGTTCCGTCGCGATGTACCTCACTTGGAGAAGGAAGACTCGGTCGGGTCCAAGAAAGCGCCAGAGGAAGGAATGACTCTGCGGTATGATGCGACGTCAGGTTCGACGAAACGCAAACTGCAGATCATGCAATCCTCCAAACCAGCCGTCACCACCCTCAAAAGTCGGCGGGCAACGCGACGACACTCACAAGTCGATCACGCCCAGCCATGTCGCATCGCTAAACCGCCCGTAGCCCACCCGGCGGTGGATGCCCACATCGCCGCTGCACCGCGCCGCAACCTCGGCTACGCCCAGGGAAGTGTCGGCGAATTACGCACTAGCGAACTATATGACAGAGAGAAGACCAGTCCTCGTCGGAACTCAACTTCCCCTGCCACTGCGTTCAGGAGCGAAATTTCCATAATCCTTCCAATTGACTTTTGGCAGGCGTAAATGACCCAAAAGATAACAGGCTCTTTCCCTGGTGCCATGATGGGATTGTTTGTTCGGTTATGCCGCAATGGTGCCGGCGGCCATCCTCGCCGACACTGAACAACGGGGACCCGACTCATGAAGCGGGTGGCCTGTGGGGGACATGCTTGGATTGTTGCGAGATTCCAGCACCCACCACGCGACGTTTGGTTGTTTTCTTTCCGAAGAGGGGTTTGTCGGATGGTTCGGATAAAGTCCTGTCAACCATCCATCTATGGCGGTCTGCAGCAGCCAGTGCAGCCACACTATCAGCTTTTGCGTTTTGATGGTTCAGCTTTTGCCCATCAAATCTAATCTCTTGGTCCACATGGTCTCGACCAGGACCTGGAAATAACATGTAGATAAACAGCGCTGCCCAGCCTGACCCGGCCTGATCCAGCCCGCCATCTCATCCAAGGCCCCATGATGCGAGAGCAAGTTATTCACCGAACAGGGAACAACCCGACTTTTCCGATGTCGCATATGGTTCGTGGTATGAGATTTACCGCGCTTTTACTTGCACTAATGCCGTTGAGGTCGCCAAGTCCTCCAGACGTCATGAAAGAAGGCCTATCGTTCGGGGGGCAGTCTAACCTCGAGAGTTGAGGTGGGCAGGCGGCATATTAAATGAGACTGAGCCCACGTTCCCGCTAACGACTGCATCTCCTCGAATCGAGCTTTCCGGTTGGGCTGCCAGGAAGCCGGGCTTAAAGTAACGAACCGGGCGTATTGCAGCCGCTTAATGGTGATAGGTTGTCAACGACAGCGATGCAGCGCCTATCTCACCTCAGCCGCAGCCACCGCCCACGGATGAGACATTCAGTGATCATCCAAGTCAATTTCAGACGATATTGATTCTTAAGCCACTGACTCCCCCTGACACAAGGGACTCAATCGTAAACGAGTACCTCTTTCTCGCAAACACCGCCATGTCCACCATCGCCGGTCTTGTCCCTTCTGTATCGCCAATGGAGGAAACCACGCCCGAGGCATCGACGAGCTGCCACCCCCTCATGGCTCTCCCTCTCGAGCTCCGCCTTCTCATCTGGGAGGCCTTGGCCGCAGAGCCCCGCGTCTTCGAGTACAGAGAAGACACCTACCTCATCAAGCCCGCCCGCGAACACCGGCACGCGCGCCACGTCGGCCTCGGCATCTGCGCCGAGTCTCGGAAGGCCGTCCAAGCCCTCCTCCGGCCCTTCCCCTACCCCCTCGACATCCAAAAGGAGTCCCGTCCCTCCCCGTCTGCACTGGAATATGTCCCAAGCTCTGACATTGTCTATCTCCCGCCGCTCGTGTACCGCTGCCGCATCGGGGCGTGGGACTCTCCATGGACGACGAAGCCCGGCATCATGAACGTGGGGATCCACTGGTCTGTCCTGCCGGATGAGCGACGCATCGTCGAGGCCCTCAAAGTATGCTCGCGGTGTTTCACGGACATGACGAGGCTGGTGATCTTTATCGAGTTCAAGCCGCTCCCGCAGACCGAGGAGGAGATCGGAAACGGCGGGTTCGTGAGGTTGTTAGGTCCTGCGGAGGACGACTTCCGGCTGCCGCCGCTGTTCTCCGAGGCGCATGGGCTGATGGATGAGTTTTGGACCTGGGGTGAGCTGAGGATTGCTATCGAGAAGGTGAGGAAGGAGGTGAAGGGGATGCCAGAAGTTGAGGGGGTGCTGTACTGCAGGGAGGTGGAAGAGGTGTTTGTTTGCTGAGCCGAGGTATCCAGGTTGGGTTGTTCACTTTGAAGGCTCCGCTCATGCAGTGTTCCGGCCTCAACGAGGTCATCGAGAGGCCCGCGAGGTGGTTAGACATGCCAACATGGCATGAAGATCGATTCAGGTCCATTTTTTTGCTTTTGCTAGAGTAGGCACACTGGAAGATACCACAGTTCGAATAATACCAATGCTACTAAAGCTACGGCGGGATGACTCCACTTCGTTGGTTTGTTGTCTTTATTGACGCGGGCCAGCGAAGTAAAGACCCAAAGTTCCCCTCATCATCCGGGTGGCCTGATGCACAGCATGACGCATCTTGGATTCAATAGATTAGTCCAGAAGCTATGGAAACCGGGCCTGCACGACCTTACCTAGGCTTGAAAAGGCTATCGGGCGGAACTACTCGACACGCCGAAATTCGCTCCGCTCCGGGAACTACCCTTGCCCCGGGTATCCACTTCTCCGGGTGCCGGTGCCACGTCCGGAACTACCAACGTAGTGAGACGGTCGGCGCATGGTACATTGCATGATGACCCCAGCTACTTCCGATTCCCTACAAACTACATAGTCAAGGCGGTTTGGGCGTGATCCCCTACAAAAAAGGATGCATTCAAGAGACTCAAAACACGTTCGTCCCTTCTCCCTGCTGTGTTGCAATGCCCTCATGAGGTACGATGTCATCCCCATTGTTTGCTTGAACACGTCACGGCTCCAGTTCCCTCGACGAGACTATGTAACAGGTGTTCAGTAAAGCTCGACAACAGCCCGACGAGGAGAGTGCTACAGGCATCATCGCAACTGCTTCAACCGGGAATTTGGATACGTTCAAGACTGTTGCAACGTGAGGCGCAGGATTGGGCAAGTTTATCCTGCATAACTCCATATTGATCCTTAATAACACGAGGACAGCCTAGAACAACATGCTCAGACAAGAGAAACTGAAGACATTTAGGCTTGAAGAAGTGCTCTCGTATATCGAATATAGCGGTTGTTTCATGTGTAACTTCCAAGAAAGAGATGATCGACACGCTCTTGATCGCGTGCCACTTCGGTATGAATTAAGACGACAACGCATTCGATGGGCCCTTAACCGCCGTTATTGACCTCAGATCCGTCATAGAACATCTTTCTAGCCCTCCGCTCTACAGGTGTTAACATCTGCTTGTGCAGATTCCGGCGGACATGGGCGTGGTCTACGGCAAGACGATCTTTACCGTCGTCTTGCTAACATTACGTTCCATGGCCAATGATCTGGTGGTTACGCAGTGGGTGTGATCTCTCCTTATAATCATATCTTGACCGATAGCTCGAGGCGTCACTCCTACTAGAATACCTAGTACTGACTCAATCTGGCCCCTCTTTGCCACTTTTCAGTACAATCAAGAAATAAAACGAAACGTTCCAAGTACCAAATTGTAAGTCTGATAACCTGGCATTCATCATCATGCTTTTGGGGGCGATCAGTGGCTAACTTCCAGTGGGTCTGGATAGCCAAGATGCTATGCTCGCAACGCTGGGGGGTTATCATGAGGCCATCACTGAGCTATCGAGAAATCCAGCCGTGGGAGCGTCTTAGTCATATCAGACCGTTTTCAAGTCAATGTCATGCAAATGTCGAGGCACCTGGAAACAACAACAACCGACTCATGTGTTGTCATGCTCACTAAGGGCACAATACTTTGAATCAGTTGCTTGATAGAGGTTCAGTCGACCACCGACGTAGAGATCTGATGTTGGCGGAGGAACTTCACGCGGGATGGTTCCATTTCCCTCTGCTTTTTCTTGTATCAGGGGTGGGATTGGTATTCATACAATAGAAGGAACTGGCTTACAACTCCACCAATACCATGGTTTTCACGGTGGCACGCAAATACATCCCTCGCAATTACTTTTCTTTTTGCTTTCGCGAGTTCATCAGAGAATGTAACAAAAACCGAAAGTCGTTCAATGGTCGGTCAGAAGCGGAAGCTAGATAAAGTCCTTCGACTCGGGACCGGAGACAGAGCTTTTAACGATGCCTTGAACGTTTGAACGTTTGTTTTTCCAAGAAGAACTGTTTCAACTGCCTCGGTGCTTCCCGCTTGGCCAAACGAGACCTTGAGCTTACTTTGAGTGAACACAATACGGTTTCTGCATGCCGGGTCGCTCGAGACTATTTCTTTTGCACAGATGACAGAGGTTAATCACCGGCCCATCGCGTTGCTTCGAACGATTGACCAGAAGAAAGGAAGAAGGCCCGTACAGCTGCCATCTCGATATACGTCAAACAGCTTAGCAGATTAATCAACGCTGGTAGTACATCTCGACGAACTAATATAGCGTTGCTTTTCTATTGTCTTGCAGAAGTTGATCCTCTCAGTACCGGAGACCATGGAGGTCTAACACGGTTGGATACTCCTGGATTCGCCATATGTGTCTTTCACCCTCGAAATTAGCAAGTCCAACCTGCCTTGGGTATAAGCAGACACCATCATATTATGCTGAAGAGACTTGACCTGGTATACACTTCGACATGAACAGCAATGGAAAGTACTTTGGAAGATAATAACGCTGGCCACCTCCGGCAGGGGAGTCATATACGTCACCAGCATCACAACTGTAATGGACAAGCAACGGAGACCATTGACTTACTCATAGTGTAGCCGACGTGCAACAGGAGCCCTACGTCAGGTTAAGGCATGTCAGATAGCACAAGCACTTCCAGACCACGAGCATCATGTCATGTTACAAGCAAGAACCAGACGCAGACGAAAAGTCCGTCGATACGATGCCAACGGTCAGCAAAACACCTACCTCCCCAATCACCCTCGGAAGCACATCAACAGCGTGGTTGGCGTCTGTAGTATGACAAGACACCAGCCAACCTGGCTCTTGCCTAAAGGAAAGTTCCCGTCAAACATCACCCTGCTGCTCTTCCTCCCTGCATCAAGCTCATCAAACGGTTGAAGCAAGCGCCGCAGTATGCCCTTTCATCTCCACAAACCCCCCTCGGCCATCCCTTCCGCAGCCTCGCAAGAAAGCACCCTGTCTCTCTGTCAAACACGCAAGGCCGTTGAACGTTGATGGTTTGGGCGCCCCCAACCCTTACAGGAAGGGGGACGAGACACTTGTCTCGGATCGGAAAGAGTCGACTTGCATGGAAAAAGTAGCGGGACGATGGTGCCCGACGCTTCCGCCGCGTGAAAACAAAGACATTCTCCCTCTCTCTGTATCTCTTCCTCTTTCTCGAGGCTTCTCGAGCACCCTCCTCGCCTCATTGGTAATGCGGCCTGGCGCAACCCTGTCTCAAGAGGGAAACGTGGGCAAGGGGGCAAAACTTCTCCGGGGGCTGTTCTGCAGCCATGAGATACCAACAGTTGAATTCTGACCTCTCATCAGGACTCCTAAGATCCCCTTACGTCGCTGGCTCGATCTGTCAGCTTTGCGGAATGATCAGTCATGCGCAAGCCCGCATTTTGACGCAAGATGCCTCGATTGATCTCGTTTGGGTAAGCACCTTGGAGGGTACGGCCGGTCGTTACGGTACGTCCGTCAGATCGTCGGGAAGCCAGCCACAATGATCTAACCACAACTTGTCGTACCCTTGCCTCAAGCCAAACAGCACACCTGCATAGGACGACCGCGGTTCCGGAAGCAGAAAAACAGACACCCGGCCGCATCGGCGTGGCGGCGCTGCGTACCTGCGCGGATGGGGAGGGGGAGACAATCTCTGCACGCAGCTGAACCCAGATGCGGTCGCGCTGCCTTGCGTTTCCGGATCCTGCGTGGAAAGGCTTCCGGCGTCAGTCGCATGGCAATCTCACCTCCAGTCCAACCAGAGGACGCCCATGTCCTTGATCCTACGTTGGGAGGTGGTACAGCGGCCTGGACGGCGGCATCATGCACCCCTTGCGTCGTCGGATCTGCGTCTTGAGCGAGCCGACGTCGACAACGTCATCATCAGGAAACCGATAGGCAAAGCTTCTGGCTCGAAACCCCGGGCCGACATTAGAGGATTCTCGCTTTCGCGACTGTCCTCATTTCCCGCCAACAAGCTTAATAAAAAAACACGTTGGTGTCTCTCCTTAGTGGCTCGGCCGACCAGCTGAACCTACGAGCGCAGGTGCCTTAGGCGAACGAAGTTTTTTGGCTCTCCGGGGCTGAGTCCAGTTGCTCGAAACCACAGGAAGATACCAATGATGGGCGTGAAGATTCCTACTATCTACACATCACGGAGTGGTTGAACCTGCTGAGAACAGCGACGTTCGGCTGTGATTGGCAATGGGGGAAATGTGTGGCTCGCCGTGGGAAGGGGGGACTAGACGGCGTACGGCCGGTGTGGCTGTTTGATAATACAACACGGCTAGCGGCATCTGCAACTGGACGATACGCCAAGCCTCCTGCGACCAAATCGACTTGGACGAGAGATCGGGTAGGAGAGCGTTAGAGAAATCGAGCTCGCCCATTGTGGTAGCACTCGACTGTCATTGTGTACTAAACACATAGTGCGAGGGCACGAAGGCTGTGTGTTACGGCCGCCTGCAAGGGCCCGCGCAACTTTGGCCGACGGATTCGTAGCGAGTATGCGAGAAGCACGCCCAGCTGAGAAGAGTGCCTCCGTGATCACTATCAAGAGAGTTCGTCTAGCAGCATTGGTTCGCGAAAGATTAGCATATCGTGAAATGCGCACGTCGCCCTCGTAATCAACGAGCGTCCAGCAAAGGTGTTCTAGACGATATCTCTTTCAAGTCTTCTTGCCGTCTCAGTCGGACTAAAGCCCGGGAGGTTGATAGAAGATCCATTGGCCAAATATTCTAGATGCAGGATAGCCGCCTTGGCCTCAATGGCTTGGTGGTGTAATCTTTTTCAAATCTGACGTGGCTTGCTCTGGACTTTGCGTGAGGTTGAACATTGCTTTTTCTCCTTCGCTGGCTGCCTCGCCCGACCGCCATGCAAGTCTTCAGTTCGCCAAAGGCGCAACATCTTGCAGTGCGGTGGATTTACGACGATAAGCTGGG